AAAAAGAAAATGTTTCCAAATACTCCAACTTGGAGATCAAGACAATTACTCAATGTTTAAGTTGAGCTCTACTTCTATAAGCATCACCCGACTAAGCACTTATACAGAAACAACTAGAAGTTTGGCAATCCCAGCTAGACTTGAATGAATATATCATACTACAAGTGAGAGCCAGAAGATCAAACTAGAAAAAAAAAAGTTGGAGCATGAATTACAAACCGTCCCAAGTGCAAATGGCACGCTCCATTCCATAGATCATGCTTATAGGCACCCATTCGTCGAGGTCATCACCCCAAATAAATGTGTGCTTGTCAATTATTCCACCACCCCAAGCAGTTTTAAGCTGTATTAGTTCCATAGGTCCTCTTGTACGGCCCAATCGATCTTTATAGAACCAATTACCAGTTTTCATGATAACTATGATAAAAAAAAAAATATATATATATATATATCAATTAGCTGTTGAATGACATAAGACATATACGTATATAGCACATTTATTAATCAAGCAAATTAACACTAAGCCATTTATATAACAATCTGGCTGGTACCTACTGGTACGTCAGGATCCAATTGGTCATGAACATCGTAAGGTGCTGCTCTTAAAGCAGCCCAAAACAAAAGAAAATGAAGAGAAGGAAAATGGTGCAATGGCAGAGAGAAAGTGAGCAACAAATAAATATTTTCATATACTCAATTGTCAAAAAAATAAAAGAATAGTATATGAATATGGGATCCCATACATTTGACAGATAAAACTCAACAAAGAAAGCAAATAAATAAATGGTGCTGGGTAAGTCTGATGGAGTAAGATTTCCTGCAAAAAATGTTACTGCAAGCGCCTGACTGAAATATAGCAAATTACTCTTTCTCAAAAAAACTTTTGCAAGAGCATAAATGAGAAGATCACTTTCCAGAGGTTAATATCCATATTCCCACCATAATGCTCAGAAATAGTTTGCAGATGTTTCACAGATTACAACGCGACATAGCTATAGCCCCTCACCATTAGTAACTTGCAGTTGATGAGCGCTCTAATGGTAGTTTAAATGCTTGAAAGCTATAGAGTGCGTGAACACAAATAGAAGGAAAAGAATTCGAACTTACAGTCATAATAGCGGTCATCGAGTTTCTTATAACCTATGACCTGAGCAATATCAATGGGCCTGCCCGATGGATACGGCCGCTGCCGGAACCCCCAAAGCCCAAAAAAGAACTGTCTAGCAAAATCCCAGAATTTATCATCTGCCTGTTTTCCTTTTTTTATTGCTTTCCTAGGCATCGGCCTCCCGTCCAGCCCAAGCACATGAGGCACTGACTTCAAAATACAAAATGCAACACAAACAAACACGAGTAAAGAAAAAGAAAAAAACATACTCACACCAAAATCCAACTTTCATATCCTTGAAAAAATACAAATGAGACTCAAACCCGCCAAAACTTCCTATCTTCTGACCGGTAAGGTCTGGAATTCTCCCGAAGCTCGATCTCATTAAGCTTATCTACAATCTCCTCTGTCCGGGCCAAGAACTGCACAACCGGGCTGGCACGGAACTCTTCCCACCACTCCTGGTTCTCCTTAATCTCCTCCGGGGTCGGGTTCTCCTTCGTCTCCAAAATTGGGTCTTCCTGCAGAATCTTCTCAACCTCAGGGGTGTGCCTGTAATCGGGCAAATTCTCGCACTCCCAGTAGAACTGCTCCAGCATATCGATATATTTCGCAGGATTTTTCTCCTCCTCTGGTTCGGTTTTTTTCTCCTTTTTGGAGAAGGAGCTGGATATGGAAGCAAAGTTCGTTGCTTTTGAATAGGGTTTGAAGAGTAAGGACACGAGGTTGATTGGTTGAAATGGTAGCTTTGGTGGGTTTTTGAACCAGTTCTCGCCAAATGGATTGAAATTTATGGACGCCATTAGCGGAGCTTCGACTTTTGAAAACGAAGGAATGAAGAGCTGCGAGCAAGGACGAGGAGAGGAAGAGGTTCTCTGGTTGTCTTTTATGGTTAACTGCAGTGTCTTCTGACTGGATAAACCCTCGTCGAAGTTCCAGATTCAAGTGAAAGGGATGACTGATAAGGGGCCTGGGCTGGAAAGATTGATTGATAGCTCAATAAATGGGCTACAAAACCCAAGTGTCTTCTCATAGGCCCAACTATTTTCAGGACTCATGTGCCTCGAGTTTGCACTCAGTGAATTCTTTAGTATGTTGAGCCCACGGTCCACAATTATAAAGTGTCAAAATTAAACAAATAAAATTGCTATATATAATTTCAATTTTTTTACAAGTTAATTTGTAGATTTTTCGCATAACCATTTTGACTTTTACTGCTTCTAATACTATAGATTTGTGATTTTTCCTTTTCTCATTTCTTTAAATTAAACATTGATAACTTTTTCATTCTTAAAAATTAATAACTCAGTTACCTTTATATATGTATATAAGTTAATTCTAATTGATGATATTTGATCCAACACCTGTATAACGTATACAAAATGAACAAAAATGTTGTCTCTGTCTATATTAAACAGAAGTTAAAGTTCATCAGGCTATAGTTTTACCAAAAAAAAATAAATAAATAATAATAATAGGTATTGTTGACCTATATGCTTTCTTAACTAACACGAATACACGAACCTTTTTAAAAAATTCTAACTAGAGATGTGATACGGACAAGACCCCATTTATGTGGGGGCAAAGGTATCAAAATCAATGGGAATTCATAAAATAAACGTGAAAAAGCAATCAAAACTAGCAAAAGAAAAAGAAAGGGGGAAAACAAACAAGTCATTCATTAACATTAAAGTTGAGCTAATATAAAAAGACAGATAATAAAGAGAGCAAAAGCCAAAAGCAGCAGGCCATATCCTTTACTTGAAGCCATTACCACAGCATAAATAACACTCAGTTTCACACTAATCTCTCATTATCTTCTCCAAACAATTAAGTATTTCTTACATAGAGGTAGAGCTATGGTTCCTCACTTTCGTACTTTTGTAGCAATGCTAACCTTAACAACACTATCTCAAATTTCACTTTCCTCTGCAAATCCAGCTGATTTTTATGAGATCTCGCGAGAATATGATTCGTCTAACAAAGTCACTGTGTCTCTGTACTACGAGGCCCTGTGCCCTTACTGTGCGGACTTCATCGTCAACCATCTGGTTAAGATGTTTCAGACAGATCTAATCAACATTGTCAATTTTAGGTTTGTTCCTTGGGGCAACACTCAGATCCTCGCCAACGGCACCTGGGTTTGTCAGGTTTGTATTTTACTGTAGATATATTTTCATAGAAATTGTGAAAATCTGGATTTTTTTATTTTTTTTTTGCCTTGGGGAAATATTGTCTGTGAGTGATAATGGGTGAGATTAAATTGTGGGTTTTGTTAATTATCCTTTAATTAGTAAAGATCTGATTCTGATGTTGTTATGAGCAATAGATTGAAATTTATCTGCTCCTTTTTTCTGTTGGGTTGACTCTTTGTGTGTTGACTTTCTTGCAGCATGGTGATGACGAGTGTCTATTGGATGTTATTGAAGCCTGCGCCACAAAGGCTTGGCCTAATGTGGTAGGTTTTACACGTTTAATCTAATTTGTCAGATTGGTTTATGAATTGACATCGAATTATGAGAAAATTAATAGATATTTTTGTAAATTAATTTGATAGTTGGTAAAATCTGATCAAATGATTTTAGTTATGTTATAATGAGAAAGGTAATAGATGTTTGATATTTATATTTTCGATGTAGCATGATTCATCAGTGATTCACCTATGTTATATTAGTCGTTTTAATGTTTTAGCACAAATGCATATTTATATTATGAAAAGTTTATGTAGATTCTTTTGAAGTATGAAATTTTGTTCAGAAATTATGTAAGTATACTTTAGGAAATAAAACAATGAACTAGATGGAATATAGGATTTGAGTTGGCTCTCCTCTCCCAATTTTCCAGCAACTTTTGATTGCATCAGCCAGATAATATTTGTTTGAGTACAACTATTTTTTTTGTATTTTAATATTTTGCATGTAAACAATTTGTGGATGCAGAAGGACCATTTCAAGTTCATTCACTGTATAGAACGACTGCATTTGATGAACAAGCACACAGAGTGGAGATCTTGTTTCAGTACCACTCATTTCGATCCAAAGCCACTCGATAATTGCTATAATAGTGACTTTGCTCGTCAGGTACACGATTGAAAATCACGGGCTTATCTAACTCTAAATTTACGATGATTTTGTTAGGCCATATCAGACTACCTCTGTTTTTATGACAATATTGCTAGTTCTTGGTCTCATCTCAATAAGGCCTTTTTTTTAGGATTTCAAAATTTTCTATCAGAAAAATAATAAAAATAAAACTAATATATGTATCAAATTTTCCAGATAAATTGAAATGGATTCATTGATGAGTTTCTTGATTATCTATATTTTTTTCCTTATGCAGCTGGAGCAATCATTTGCATCTGAAACCGAGTATCTTTTTCCCACGCTTCAATTTGTGCCATGGCTAGTCGTGAATGGATATCCTGTTCAAGAAGTAAGTCCTGATACAGAACAGACACAATATTGTATGCTATTAGAAGCATACAATTAATAGTGACATTATCTTTTACATGTGACGATTAATTACCAAATAAAGATAACGATATCATATGACTTTTTTTTTATTTGGTTTTATCATATGGATGCAGGATTACCAAAATTTTGTTCACTACATTTGTGAAGCTTACAAAGGACCCAATACTCCGAAAGCCTGCAAATCAAGATCGTTTGAACACGATTCATCTCGAGCTGGGATTTCTACGCCTAAACTTGACCATCATTAGGAAGTTGATTTGACAGTACAGTACCTCTGCATTAGTAACAAAAAAACAAATCAGGGGAAACAAGTTCAGAAGGCTCCGGAAGTTTCTATTATGCAATAAACTTTGAAATAAATTTAGTTCCTATTTGTCCCTGATCTGTAATATGAGTGACATTTATTAAACTTTAATTTATAACTATTGATTTCATCCGATTGGTTGAGTCGTTTGGCAATGCATTTTGTTTATTGGCTATGTCGATGAATAGGAAGAATGTTTTGAACAAAGCACAATTGGTAAGGGGTTTATAATCTTACCGTTGATGATCCTGTGAACAAAAACAAGAATGTATATATGTATGTTAGCTATAGGCTATGTGGTTAAATAAGTGTTAGAATAGTAGGACAACTGTTTAAATACTTTTGTATTTGGGTTGGCCATTCTCATACACAATTAAAAATAGAATTATATCTTGCTCTTAGTGTCACACTAAAACTCATTTATTAGAAACCTACAGTAACTGTATACAAGTGAAATTTCATTAATATAAAGGATTGTAAAGCGTGATAAGTATATAAGGAAGCACAACATCAAGTAGTCGATATGTCCGAGTGGTTAAGGAGACAGACTCGAAATCTGTTGGGCTCTGCCTGCGCAGGTTCGAATCCTGCTGTCGACGCTTTTCATTTATTTTTTCCCTTTTTTTCCTAATAAAAAATTTGCATGCCTTGCGTGTGTCGTATTCTAACTGTTAATTAAATTTTCCTTTTGTTCTTTTGTTCTCTCGTCAATAACACTAATTTGCATCTTTACTTCCCTTTTTTCTTTTTCATACTTTTGTGAGTTGTGACTCTATTGTTTCTTTTGTCTGCCTTCGTTTCGACTTTCGACTTTTCCTCATTTATTGATATACGTACGTACAATTTCGCATAATATTCACCAAAATAAAAGAAAATTCCAAAGGTTGGCAATATAAATGCACCGGTTGTCCAGGACCAGAGAAGNGAAGTGATATATAATATTTGATTTATTAAATAAACCACCACTTTTTCTGTATAGCAAATTCATAATAAAATTTACAATTATTTAGAGATATTTCTCAAAACTGTTGACCCGCTCTAGTTCCAAGTAAATAGTCCAAGTTATCCAAAATTATTATTATTATTATTATTAGTATTACTATTTGTTTCTATAATTTGCACAAAAGGGACAGATGAAGTTTGTTTTCTTTATATATGATATGATCCTTAATTATTACCTACAATAATGACTCAAATAGCCGGCTATAGTGTATAATTAGTTAATTAATTAACAAATTAATGATAGTAAGCTTATGATTAGCAGTGGAAAGATATGATGATAAGACCTATATGAATTATTTCATGTTGAAAGTGTGAAAGGTTGGGAAAATGTCAAATAAGATTACGTTGTATTAAATGTGACATGAACAGTAGCTATAACTCTTGATAAATCAAATTGCTCAGCTCGGCTCAAATTACTCAATCTAAACTTCTCGTGATATCTTCCTACATATATAAATACCTTTATGTCTTGAAATTCAATGACATTAATTAGAAACACTTAACATAAGATAAGAAAATGAGATAAAACATAATATATTTCATACTCATCTGTATTAATTGTTCTTTCTTTATTTATTGAGATTTTTTTTCTTTTTCTTTTTTTGTGCAAATTTATTGAGACTTTTAAATATAAGTAAGTTGGCTGAAATTTTGTGTAATAAAAGTGTCACTAACTCTATACAGTATACACTATATAGAAGTCGTTCTATTTTGGAGACGTTTGTCGAAAATTGAGTGGCAATTTCGTCATATGAAGAGAAGAGTGTGTTTCACATACGTTAACTTTATTTATTTATTTAATTTCTTTATTCGAGTTTGATCGAGATTCGTGTTCATGGTTATTGTTAAATCAAGTCGTTGATTATCATTCTCCATTGATTACTTATTGTCTCCCAAGTATACATACATATATAAAAAATACTAATTTCATCATAATATTTCATGTCTTATCAAAACTTAGCTAAAAAGTTGTTGGATGTTGAAACCGGAGAATAAACTAGCTAGTGATCTTTATTAATTTCATACGTTTCATCATGAATCGTTTGAAAATTANNNNATAATGGTTTCATTTCTAATTATCAAACAATAATTACAAGCTAATTACATTGACGTTGATCTCAAAAAATTGAATGTTCACACTTTTTGATCTGAAAACCACACAAGTGCTTATCACTTGGACCCATCTCATCCCATCCGCCCCACTCCCATTTTGTTGAGTAGCTCCAATATTCTTTGCCATTATATTTATTCCTGTGCCACTGCAAACTAATTACGTTCACTCATTCAATTCTTTCATTCATACGCGTTAAACTTGACCTTCAAACTCTTTGGAACAAAACTATTCTTCCTTCCAATTTCCTTATTCATCAATATCATCTACATCTACTCTTTCCCACCACCAAACCCTCATCCCTTCAAATGTTGATGATCATCATCAATACTTGAACCCATAGCTAGCCTATACCTCTCCAAACCTTTTAGAACCACACTTCAAAACATGGCTACAATTCTCCTCATTCTAGCACTCTCCTTCTTCACTAACCTTCTCTTTCTCTCCCAATCCCAACCCTACTCGAATTTCTCGTACAACGATTTCACTGCCTCGAACCTCATCCTAAACCACGAAGCCGCCGTTCTCCAACCAAGCGGAGCCTTACAACTCACCAACCGAACCCGAAACGCCATTGGCCACGCGTTCCACCCGACCCCAATCCCAATCTTCGCCAACAACAACAACAGCAACAACTCCTCCAACTTATTCATCTCCTCCTTTAGCACCTATTTCGTCTTCCAAATATCTTCCCCGCCCAACGGCGGCGGTTACGGCTTCGCCTTCGTCCTCTCCCCCCGCCCGGGATTCCATAACCCCTCCCCCGGCCACCTCTTGGGCGCATTCAACCGATCCAACGACGGCGACCCATCCAACCACATCTTCCTCGTCGAGTTCGACACTGTCCAAGGGCACAACGAGGCCTCCGACGCCGACGCCAACCATGTCGCCATCAACCTCAACGGCATGACTCCCACCGCCTCGCACTCCGCCCTCCGATACCTCGACCGAGACCCGGCTCTCACCGAGGAAATCGACATGGAGCGCGACGGCCCCATCCAAGCATGGATCGAGTACGACGGCCCCACGGGCCTCATCAACTTGACCATCTCGCCCCTCAACATCACAAAACCCATCCACCCCCTCATCTCCCGGCCCATCGACCTATCCACGGTCCTCGTCCACCAAGGAATGTACGTCGGCTTCTCGGCCGCCACCGGGGAACAAACGAGCGCTCATTACATCCTCGGGTGGAGCTTCCGACTAAACGGGCCGGCCGACCACCTCAACCTCACTCGTCTCCCGATTTTACCACCCGACGCCAACGACAACGGCGGTGACTTCTCTCCCTCGAGAACCAACCTCCCGACGGCCCTCATCGCGACCCTCTCGGTCGTGCTCTTCATTCTTCTAGCCGCGCTAGCCGGCACGGTTTTCTACCGAAAGGTCGTCGCGAGTTACGAGATTCTCGAGGATTGGGAGCTCGAGAGCCCGCACAGGTTCCAGCACGCGGACCTCCACCGGGCGACCGGAGGATTCAAGGAGAGCGCGAAAATCGGGTCGGGAGGATTCGGTTGCGTCTACAAAGGGGTCTTACCGTCCACCGGATGCCAAGTGGCGGTCAAGAGAATCAAGTCGAACAACCGAATACAGGGGATGAGGGAGTTTGCAGCCGAAATCGAGAGCCTCGGCCGGCTTAGGCACAAGAACTTGATCAACCTTCAAGGCTGGTGCAAGTACAAGGATGACCTCCTCTTAGTTTACGACTACATCCCCAACGGAAGCCTCGAATCCTTACTCTACAAAACTGGCAAAACTCTGACTTGGGAACAGAGGTTCAACATTGTGGAAGGGGTCGCCTCGGGACTTTTGTACCTTCACGAAGAGTGGGAAAAAGTCGTGATCCACCGCGACGTAAAGTCGAGCAACGTTCTGATCGACAGGGACATGAACCCGAAGCTCGGGGACTTCGGGCTGGCCCGATTGTACGATCACGGGAAAACGGAGCACACAACGAACGTGGTGGGGACAATCGGGTACATAGCGCCGGAGCTAGCCCGAACGGGCAAGGCCTCCAAGGGCACCGACGTCTTTGCGTACGGTATTTTGCTTCTTGAAGTGGCGTGCGGGCGGGGCCCGGTGGTGTACGAGGTGGACAGGAATGTGATTCTTGTGGATTGGGTGGCAGAGTGCTTGCTCAAGGGGGATCCATTCAGGTCGGTCGACTTTAGGTTGGGGTCGGATTACAATGTGGAGGAGATGGAGTTGGTTTTGGGCCTCGGGCTGCTTTGTTCGCATGCCCGGCCCGAAAAGAGGCCCACCATGAGGCAAGTGGTGAAGTATCTCAACCGGGACGAGGTTTTGCCCGTTTTCGATAAGTTGAGCTCCACTGGGTCGAGGAGGGTTGACGAGATCACGTCGAGGTTTTTGGCGTTGGGGTTGACCGATAGTGTTGCCACGACGACGGGGTCGTTTAGGTCTTTTTCGATGTCGAATACTACTTTGTGTGATTCGGGGAGGTGATAAGATTTAAGGCTGGTAAAAGTTGTAGGAGGATCAAGAATTATTATAAGGTAGTGTTGTTTTAAGTTTTAATGTTCAGTTTGAAGTTGAAGATTAGATATTTAGATTTCTTGTGATAATGTTCTAGATTGTTGTGATACATTTGGTTGAGTAGATCTGATAATCAGACTTTTGGTTGACTTTTCGTCCCTGTTTTAAAAGTAGTTCTTGTTGGAGTTCAATGCTGGTTGTTTTTCTGTTGCAGCCAAATTTGTTTGGTCTGTGGTTTCTCAATATACTTTGTTTTTCTTTTACTTAAGCGTCTTGGATAGTTTTGGTGACTCAAATGGCTCCCACGTTTTTGACTTTTTGCATCTTGAAATGCCACGTCCACCTATGTCTATGTGGCGCTATTAGATATTTAATGACCATTTGTTCAAGATATGCATGTTTATGAATTTATGTGAGAATAAATGTTAATAAATTTACTAATTTATAATCTTCCTTCAAGTAGGCATATTTTTTCCCTGATAAGAGCTCGTTTCTTCAGTAATAAATAATACTACGTTTTTACTTGTAACGCTTTTTCTTATCTAGATAATTATTGTAAGTTGTACGAAGAAAATAACAAATCCCACATAACAAAGCTCTGCAAATGCAACTCACACATCTCTTAATCATTACCATGCACAAGAATTTCTATACAATATGATCACAAGCTCCAAATGAAGAACACGAAAGATCGATCAACGGCTCTTTCTTTGATTGTTGCCAATTATAGTGTCGCAAACCGGGCTCCCAACCCGACATGGTTTGGGTTTCAACCTCCATGGAAAAATGCTACCTAAACCGCAGCCCTTTGGCGAATGGCGTGAATGTGATCCCCTAGAGAAATAGTCCCTCGTATGATAAATATAATCGGGTGAACTCAAGAAAGGAAATTTATTGTTTATAACCGATGCCTCGGCCAATGCTTGAGCATCCGGAAGAAATCTCTCTATGATAAAGCTCGGCATATCTGAGCTTCTGTCCTTTGTCGCTTTTTTGCAGCCGATCTCAACATGATCATCATATGTTGACTCGGCCAATGAGAATATGTCGATGGCATCCGAAAAACGTTCGTTTCGGCTGCATTTTTTGTCATCATCGGAAAGTGGTGGTGGGCGCCACCCAGGCGGCGGTTTCGGAGGAGGAGGAAGGGCGATATCGTCATTTGCATCCTTATCTTTGGGCTCGCCGGGAATCCTTTCCCACAAAAAAGGCACCATGTTGCCGGAGTTGGAATTTTCCGGCCATGTTGACATATTATTGGATAAAGGGCGCCGAGTCGATAAAGGAGGAACGTTCAAGTCGAGTTTTCCCGGGCATTCTCCATGAAGAATTTGTTTCTTGTTTTGCTCCATGAGTTTTTGAACTGAAGGGTTTTTNTAAGTGGTGTGTTGAGATTTGAATGAACAATTGTTAATGTGGAAGCTTTTGATAAGTAACTTCTACAAGGGCAATAAATTATGGGACAGTTGGGATTATGTGCATCTCGTGTACACTTGGGAAAAAAGGTTCACTTTTGAGAGTTCAAACTTCAAAGGTCTCTTAAATAAACCATAGCTTTTTTCGGCACAAACTGAAGTGATAACACGTGTGTTGGGAGACTTTTAAATTCTCATGCATATTAGGATGGATTATTTTGTAGTTAAAAGCTTGAGAAAAGCTAAAAGCAGAGGAAGGCTCTGGACATAACGGAGAAATATCTTATCTGCCAACACATTAGAAAGCAACAGCAGATTATACAGACCTTGATCACAACCTGCAATTTAATGTACATAAATACTTTTGAAAAGAAAAGAAAAAAAATGCAAGCACTTTCTTGTGCTCGATGGAACAGAGACATTGTATCACATAACAATTTGCTCAAAAAAATTATGTGAGCTCATCAATAATCTACCTTTAACCAAAATAAATAAATAAAAATGAAAAACAAAAAACAAAAAAAGGAGTATGTGTGAGTTTTACAAGGCATTTTCTCTCTTAACGTAGATTGTGGATGAGCTCAACATAACCTTATGAGCTCACATAATCTACCTTTTTCTCCAAGTCATCTGCAATTTACATACTTTTTCCATTTTCCTTTGGCCGGATGCGCTATTCACAAAGCTCGTAAGGAGACTTGGGAAAAAAAACAAACTTGCTCCATGAGCTGTGACGAGAAATTATGAGATATCCACCAAAAACGATGAGAATCTCTTTCCCGATCACTCACTTTTGTATTTCACTAGCCCTTTTTAGTGCTTTTCGATAGAGTTCGATTGTATCCGAATGATTAGGTTCGAGACAAAGGGCTGCCTCACAGTCTCGGATGGTAGAAGAATAATCTCCCATTGAATCATGGAATGCGGCACGAAGATGAAGCAGCTGTAGGTCCGATTTGAAAGCAATGGCTTTTGTGAGCTCTGAAATTGCTTCGGCTTCCTTATGGTCATCCATCAAAACTGAAATGGAAGACACCATTCAGTTACCAGAAAGTTCGTGGTGCTCAAAAAAGGAGCTCATCTGAAAATACACTTTCTTCATCCATATAAACATAAATTATATATTCAGCATCATACTGCCCAANTCGTCTTAACAGGTCAAGGCGTTTCACTCTACTCTATGTTATTCTCTACGCCATCGATGGAAGCCTACCATAATGCAGTAAGTTACTGTGTTATATAGGTTTCTATGTGGCACCTGAAATTTTGTGGATGTGCACTCTTTGGTGTTATGCGGTATGAGGTATGCTTTAGTTCAGTTATTTTTTAATTTTTTATTTTTTTTTTTTCTCATTTTTTGTGCAAATTGTACTAATGGTACAATAATCCAGCTTATGCATAATCCAGAAATGAAAACTCACCAGCAGCCCGGTATCGATATGGATAAGTCCTCAACGGGTCAAGTCGGGTGGCCGTGCTGAGGTCAGTCTTGGCCATGTCACGTTCACAGTACTCGGAACGTTTCTCATAAGCCGATGCATTGTAACACGCCTTATCGATCAGCTTTGTCATCTCATCATATGCGGCCTTTCTCATGTTCTTGAGGTGGTACACTCGGGCCAGACCCTGGTGAGCCCTCGTGTGCTTGATGTTCAAAGCGTTGGTGTAACAGTCAGCCGCGTGGTCCAACTTATCCACATCAATATAGATACTCGCTAGATTACTTAGAGCCTGCAAGGCCAATACTAGTCAATAGACGAATCGTTTAACTCTTAAAAAAAAATAATAAAAAAAAACACTTACTTGTCCTTTCCTAAGACCATCAGAGGGACACCTGAGGGCCTCCTCAAGAAGCTGGATAACATAGAAAGACGAGTCGTGATCAGTTGTCTTTTCGGACAGAACATATGCTTTGAGGAAAAAGGCCTCGAACGAACGTTGGATTGAGATGGACTCCTCGGCTTTTGCTATGGCTTCTTCACGGTAGCCTGTGTCATATAGAATCCATCCCTCATAGACAAGCCTCTCGTGCTCGGAAGCTGCATGGTTTCGGGCCATTCTTAGACTTCTCATGGCAGCCTTGTGGCAGTTTAATCTAGGGCAACATAGTAAAGTTACTCCAACAAGTTAGTAGATCAAAGTAAAATATTCGGATAAATAATAGGCATAGTCCTGAAGTTCAGTCAAATTACCAGAATGAAAAAATAAATAAAAAAAAAACACCAGCCATCTATCAAAATGACATACCCACCCAGTTAAAATTAAGTTTCACTTTACCAGTTACAACCTTACTAGATGTATTTCATCAAGTAAATAACAAACTTGAAGAGCAATGTTTGAAATACTTCAGGGGTACGGTACTCCACAACTTTGATCCTCCTAAAATGGAAAAGTATTATGAATCCCGACAAGTATACCCGTGACAGCAACAACAATACAAAAGGGAAACAGAGTGAAACATCACATTCAATTGAGGAAAAATGTAACAAATGAACATGCAAATACACAAAAATTTACAACAGCCACGTACATAGAACAAATAAAAGCAGTTACAAGGAAAGGGAAAAAGAACATTTACCTTAGCAAAAGCAAAGATTGTCTGAACCTCAAAAGGCTCTTCCCAGGATCATTAGACAACATATGATGAACAACAGCTAAAGAACCAATATCATCCACAGAAGACCACCTATCATACAGCCGCATCCAACAATCGGCCTGGCTACACTGCTGCACGTGATGACATAAAAGCTCAACCAGCTGATCCCCTGGCAACTTCCCATGAAACATCATATACTGAGGATCTAAAGTCAAGAGAGCACGCACGTCGGTCAAAGCCCCTTCGTATTCCTCCAGAGCAATCAAAAACCAAGCACGCAGTTCGAGACAATCGGGCGAGACCTTAAAACCGATAATCTTGTTAATCTCGGATATAGATGTAACGAGTCTGTCCTCCTCCATCATCGAAACAGCTCTGTATTTGTACGGAAAAGAAAGCGTGGGGTCCATTTCAGTAGCCGTGTTGAGATCCATCATTTTCTCTTTCCCACTACTGTATAAGGACCGTTCTTGATACATCCACCCGGCAGCTGGCGGGTAATCAGAAATTAGCGAGTTCATTAATTTATATGCTTTGTACTTGTGCCCACGCTTGTTAGTCGCCCTCGCCACACCCACTAAGGAATAAACGTGACCCGCCTCAAAAGCCGCCTCGAACCACTTCTGAGCATCTTTGTACTCTTTCCTCTCGAGCATCACGCAGCCCAGCTGGTGAAAAGCCAACTGCTTCTGCCAGTCCTCGTTCGCACACTCTCCCATCCTCTCCAACAGCATAACTGTTGTGTTTGACTTCATATCCTCCTCCATAGCTATCTGACTCAACAAATTGTATAGCAGAAAAGACGCGTGCCCCGCCTGACTTAACCTGTCCTTGGCCTCCGAGCTGCAAAAAACTTTCATCACGTTCGGATTGTGCATGGAATTCGGAAGCTCCCTTAAGAACACCTGTAGACAAGCCGCCACCAATAGATACGCGGTCTCATCAAGGCCGTACTCGACTAGTAGCACAGCAGTGTCCATGTCATCGACGAGGGCCGCCAAATAAGCATCACAAGCGGATTTCATCTCGAAACAGCAGAATCTATTGGCCAGGACCAGAAGCTCGAAAACGACATTCGGGTCGAAAGAGTCCATGCTTTTGGTCCTGCTGAAGACCTCAGCTGCCCGCATTGCCTTTGCCGAGATCCCGTTCTGTGTGAAATATATCCTCTCCTTTTTCGACTCCATAAAGCTACCGTAAAGCATCGACTTGAATGGTCTCGAGAGGGATGCGATTTTGTAACGGTTGCACCTGACTTCATCGTCCCCTATACAAAACCACATATCATAATCATCATCATCATCTTCTTCTTCTTCATCAACGCCATTATCGCCATCGTGAAAAGTCGAGGTCGAGCACTCCTGGCCCTGCGAGTCCTGAGGAGTTCGGGAGCACGAGCAGGTGTCGTGAGAGGACTCGGGATTGTACCCCGAGACGAGGGACATTTTCGGGCATTCCATGTTCCACCCACTGCAGTCCATAGCCGAGACCCCGAAAAGCTCGTCCTCCCTCCTCTCGAACCTCAGCCAGGCCGAGAGTACAACCTTGGAATGCACGTCCACCGCGTGCTGCCTGGCCGAGCGCAAGCACCTCCTGAAGAGCTTCGGGTCGGGAAGCCACCGGAAAATCGCGCACTGCTCCATGTAAAGCTCGGATCTCCTGGATTCAGGGCAGCCCTCAAGCCGCCTGTAGACTTCGGCCAGAGTCCCAACAAAATCCACAAACCTGAGGCACGGGTCGATCTGAGGCTCGATGAGATCCGTCTGCGGGGGACCGTAGATCGCGAGGGCCTCTGACACAATCTCCGAATTTAGATTGTTGGGCTGGGAGAAACTCTGGTAGCGCCGATGTGATTTCGACCGGACCGAGTTTACCCTGAGGTGATCCTGCAAATGTTGGAGGAATTTCTCCCCGACGCCGCCGGCGGCGGCGGCTCCGCTGGCCGTTGGGTTGAGGGCGTATACCTGTGTACCTTTACACCCATCCATCATCTTCAAACTGCGCATTGTATTGAATATGTGTTGCTGCATCTTTGCTCAATCAAAAACCAAAAAATTAAAAGCACCACCCTATCAACATATCTAACAGAATCGTAAAGCGAATGCGAGAAAATGCAATTGGGTTCAGCTAAATGTGGGGAAATAGATCAAATGTGTACCTGCAATCACCGCCGTTGACCGATAAATGCGAACAATTTATGATCAAATCAAGCTCCTTTCTTCATATTGGAGAAAGCTACGAACATGGATTTTCAGAGATTCCCCTTATTTTTTCTATTTTTGGTATTTTACAAGCTTTTTTTTTTTTTAATTTAATGATGGCGATACAGCCATACAGGGTAGTGGTGGTTAACGTGGTGGTGGCCGCTAATATGCACGGCCACTCTCTCTCTTCTTCTTTTCTCTGTCTAAATAAATTGGAATATATTTATAAAATTTTATTAAAAAAATAATTTGTCTGTCTAAATGGATTTCTCCACAAAGTGAAATAAATGCGACGAGCGCGTGTGATGAAGAAAGTATGCAAAATAGAGACTTAAAAATAAAACCCGTTTGCAATGGAGAGCCGCTGAACTGTTACAAATAGAAAACCAAAAATCCCAAAAAAAGAGTATATAATGTATTTTTTCCCAACCCGCATTTGTCGGGACTATACCCTAATTGGAGTACAAAGTATATGAGCTCGACTTATTTCGATTCGCTTCATTTTACATTAATGAGTCAAGTTCGAGTTGATTAAATTTTATTTAATTAACAAGTCATTCTTAATTCGGCTTTACTCTTTGAAACTCAAAAATAGATGTTGTTATGTAATTTTTTATAATTCAACTTATTAATATTAAAAAATGTGTTAAGTTTGAGATCGAGCTCAGTTCGAGTATCGATAGCTCGAGTTCGCTCGTTTACTATTACAGAAATTCATCTCCTTTTAATTGGAGAACAAAGTTTGTGAGCTGACTTGTTGATTCAGTTCATTTTATACGAATGAGTAAAGTTCAAGTCAATTAAATTTTATTTAATTGAGGAGTCGTGTTTGATTCGGCTTGGCTTTTTGAAACTCAAAAAAAGATATTACAATATAATTTTTTTTATAATTCAACCCATTAATATTAAGAAATGTATTAAGTTCGAGATCGAGTTCAGGTTGAGTATCGATAGCTCGAGTCAACTCGTTTACTATTATAGGAGATCATCTCATATTAATTGGAGTACAAAGTTTGTGAGCTCAACTTGTTTCGATTCGGTTCATTTTATTTGAATGAATCAAGTTAGAGTTGATTAATTTTTATTTAATTAACAAGTCGTACTTGATTCGGCTTGGCTCGTTGAAACTCAAAATATATATCGTTACATAATTTTTTTATAATTCAACTTATTAATATTAAAAAGGGGATTAAGTTGGATCGAACCAAAATCGAGTATCCATAGATCGAGTCAACTCAGTTTACTATTATACTAGAATTAATGAATTATATAAGGCTTCGTTTGTTTTGAGGGATTTACTGAAAATTTTGAAATTCATAGATTTTAAATTTACAAATTCAAATACTAATTCATGCAAATTTTTTTTTTAATTATTCTTTTGAAGGATTTGAAACAATGGTGCCTAAAGGATTTTGTGGCGCGTGTTGTGTGGGGCTTCCTCTCTTTTGCGAAAATTGAAAAGTCAAGTTGGCATAGAAGACAACATCAATGATAAATGGATAATGACTAATGAGGTGCAAGTGGGCTGCCACGCATCCAAAATGTATGCTTTCTCGTTTAGCTTGGGCCTCCCCTCGGTCCACATTCCTTTNTACTCACTTGGTACATGATAAATGATAATAATAAAATAACATTAGTATATTAATGCGGGTGTTAAAATAAAAATTAAAAATATATTTTTTTGAATTTCTAATGATTCTTATATTATTATTTATATTTAAAATGACATCTATTATTTATAAAATTTATTTGGCCTTTATTATAAATATTATTTAATTTATACTTTATTAGGGATTTGATATATAAACTTATTTAACTATAATGCTAAATTTTGTACATAAGGAATCATATATGCTCTAGGCCTGTCCATTAGCCCATGGAGTACACTAATTGGCCCATTGAGGGCCTAAACTACATAAAGGAACTGCCAAAAAAAGACACACCACGAGTCTCGTGATGATCTGCATTTAGGTGTAATGATCGGCACTCCTCTAATATTTACCTTCCACTGAAGATTGTTGACCCCTTTCCATTATGAACAGGAACCAGCAAAGCAAACTGATAAAACGACCGCCAGCCGGTCTCATCATCAAACAATGAACTTTTGCATGGGGGCATGTGTCACACCCCATACGCCCTTAGTTGGCTCATAGTCATAATGTTTTTTTCTACTTTTTTTTTTTCCGTATATAAATTCAGCATTTGGGGATTGTAAAGACAACAACTAGTTCCTCATAAAAATTGCTATGTTGTGTCGATCTATCACTACAGATCGGCGACCTATCTCTGCACTGTTCAATTTCAGTTTCAAGGTCATACCTTTATTTATCTTATTTCGAGCTAGAAATTGTTACTGCTATGGTCCATAATCCCAATAATCCTACAATTAAGTTGTCATATTATTACGATTGATGTCTACCATCAACAATAGACATGGCCCACGTACAGGAGTCGGCCCGCCACCCACATGGTTGGGTCCATTGAACACGGGCTTTAGGCTCACACCAAAACGAGACTCGTATTTTGGTCGAGCTGATTATAGATCACCTTATTCAAGAAATATAGTTCATTGATTTCGAATCATGAACTAGCTTGATTGATTTGTGCTATTTGAATTATATATATATATATTTCATCTTTAAAAAATAGTGTCGGGCCGAGCCTAGACTCGGCGGGTCTAAATCGAAATCAGACCCATCGATTGTTGAAACTAGAATCGTAAGTCCCCAGGGGGGATTTTGATTCCACCATGACAGGCTCGCTGACTAGTCGGATCAGGTTCGAAACCGCTGGATCGGGTAGTTTAACAATGCCTATTTGAAGATATAGGGTTGTTGCTAGGCGGACCTAGCGGTTACGCAACAGTAACTTTTAAACAAATATACATACTTTCGAAGTAAAATGTCATGCTCTAAAAACAATGTAAGCAATAGTATGACGTTTTATAACATAAGCTTGTACTTATACTAAAAAAAAATGATGGGTAAACTCGTCTAGCGATTAGCTCGCCTCATACAATAATTTGTGCTTTGAATGAGAAGATGTCATTGGGAACAAATCAAAAGAATGCACAATAAAATGCATATTATCAGGTTCCCATTCAATTACTAAAGGGAAAGACCTTCGCGTGTTGCCAAATAAGTTTGAATTTCTCGACTTCATGGTGTTAAGTGTCTCTACAATGCTTTGGACCCACGAACCTAAGTAAAAATCAGGTTAAATGAGAAAATAAATGCCATTGCAAATTGAGTATTGATATACTAAATGACAAGAGCTCAATCTACGGTTTGTCGGATTACAAACAAAATAGATCAATCGAACAAAAAACTAAGAAAAAACATAAAGGGATAGCAAATATAAATATAACCCCTCATTTAAATGTGCAAATATTTGTGGACAATTATGAAAAAAAATTGTAATAGTGCAATTGATTTATGATATCATCAACAAAAGAATCTATTCGCTGGTCTTTTGCACTGAATATTTTATCGAGTTCACTACAGTCGGTCCTTTTTCAATTTTTATTTCATCCTAATTACTCATATTTTTACGTTTTACGTTAAAATATCGCAATACATCATTGAGTTTGAGCAATTGTTGACAAATATAATTTTTAGTGGACCGTCATACCTCGATCCCAAATTTTTTGGTTAAAACCTGATTAAACAGTGAATACCAAGGATCAATGGCCAAATGTTGGGCTTAGTGGCTTATCATTTGGCTAATTTACACGTATACTACATAATTTTAAAAAATTCTATAAATACGATTTTCTTTAAATCATTTTTTTATAATGAATACCCTTTTATTGTAAATTTACAAACTATTTATTTTTTTTGTATGTTTAGTTTATTTATGGTTTATAATTGTTTTATACTATCAAATCTCGTGACATGGCTAAAAAATTTATGTTCATATATCAAACATAAACTATTAATAAATGTAAAATAAACATTGAAATATCCCACAACATAAATAAATCAGAACATGTGATTTTTTTTTTTCCCCAAAAACTAGGGATCATTAACCATATATATAGTAAATTGAACACTGAGATTCCGTCCCGACCCCGAACGGCCTCGCCCGGAGCCTTGAGTTGAAGTATCCTCCATTGCCGATGATCGACTGCAGAAAGAGGACAATTTAGCCTCGAGCCCCATGTTTCTGTCGAATTTTGCACCTTCAGTAGGGATTCACATGCCCTACTAATTTGGTGTCTGATCGAGGGGCTGACGACAGAAAAAGGTCGATTAAGAGAGGATTCATAATAGAATAAGTTGTATTTGTATATATTAACTTTACAATTCAACACCTTTCATTTGTTTGTATACAAGTGTTACTTACCTTTAGCAATTTTAATAGACTTGTAATAGGTATATAAAGGGTACCCTTAACCCTAAAACACACATTCATTATTAATTCTATCAGATTTTTCTTTTGCTCGTTCGTCTTCTCTCTCTCTCTCTCTTTACTATGTTCCAGATCTATTATGATAAGTCGTCTCCGCCGAAATGCAATTAGAAACCGCCGGTCTACCCACTAAAATTTAAACCATAAAATTCGACACCTAAGCATCAAGAAGTATGATCCTCTCGGATGAACCCCGAGGGTCAATTCATGTTGTTAAATATCGAGCCATTGCCCTCATTTCATCTGATTGTACACCAAAAGGAGGCAACATGCCTAGCAAAATATCCAAAATTCAGTCTTAACGTTCACAACAAGAATTTCCAGCCCATTGTATTTATAATACATGCACATGTCAACAGTCTATAATTCATTGCAGAAAACACGTGGTTCAAGAATTTATGTTGGACAATGCAAATAACTATTTTTTCTTTCACCCATTTCAAACACATACATACCACACGAAGAAGAGTCGAAACCATAGATTTCGTTAAAAAACCGTCGACTTTCCAACCTCCGGCGGACCAATTAATCCCAATCTGTTACCGTTATCCGCCAATCTACCGTTGCTGATCTGCTTCGATCTGACTCGTCAAAGGGATGATGGGGATCGCAAAAGGGAGGGAGAGAGAGGAGAGAGAAGAATCACAGAAGAAAAAAACAAAGATAAAGTAAAAATAAAGAACTAGTAAAGCGAGATGGAGGAAGGGAGGAGAATCGTATGAAAAATAAAGATACAGGAGAAATCAAAAAGGGAGGGAGGAAGGAAAGAGACAGTTGACATAGTTGATATATTTAATAGAGAATGTTAGTATAGATGAAAATAAAATTTAGGACTAGTATATGTGTAAATGAAATAGTCTTAATGACGTGTGGGACAATGTCTCTGAGGGACCGACTTAGTTATGGGATATAAGTTCGTTTTCAATCCATCGTTACATCAGTCTTTATTACTAATACTATTATTACTTTTTGGCTATTTTACATATTTATACATTTTTGGAAGTTTTTATAAAACTAAGATTTTCAAATACCATACATAAATTATTCCTAAACAAGTATAAATAAAAAAATAATGCTATGTAGAAATCAGGGACGAAAATTAACCATAAATCAACCATATTTAAACTCTGTAAAAGTTTGTATATTTAATATTATAAAAAATTTATAAGTCTGTAAATAAAACGAGATCTATATTAATATAAAAATGTTATTGAAAAAATACATAAATAGTAACTTTGACTTTTTAATTAAATAGTTGACTTCTTTTTTAAGGAAATATTTGTAAAAATAATTTTGATTTTTAAGAAATCATGCGAAACACGTTATCAAATGTCCAATTTGAAATTTGAAGTATTCATATTTTATATACAAGATTTTTACATTTTAGATTCTATCATTTCAAAAATCTACCATTTTCAAAGTAAATCATGTTTTCAATTTTTTATGCTTCCAAATTTAAATTTAAAAAAAAAAGTACGATACATTATTTTACGCAATACTATACTACAATAGGTATCACCTATAATTCAAATTATTGCTTCATAATTTTTCATGCCCAGATTTTTTCGCATTCGATTTTAATTTTGTATAAATTCTTTTCCTAAAATTTTATGAATTGCGGTAGATCTTTAAATACAAATTAGGTAAAGAGATGATCATGAACATATATTTTCATTAATCTATTACTATAAAATAGCTATAAAATTTTATGAATTGCGGTAGATCTTTAAATACAAATGATGTAAAGAGATGATCATGAACATATATTTTCATTAATCTTATTATAAAATAGCAATAGGGATTTACTTTAAGTAGAAAGTAACTTTACTACGATTGGTAACTTTTTTGAAATTATTTTTGAAATTGACGGTTGATTTGTAATTTGAATTTCAAATTAATTCAAACATTTAAAGAAAAATATCGTAAGCATATTTTTTTGAATACATTTCATTTTATCTTAGCTTACATATAATCACATTCCTCACAAACATTAAATTTGCTTATATATATATTTAAATTAATTACATCAATAAATAATAGTATTAATATACATTAAATATTATCATTATATATATAAGAAAAAGATATTACTTCTATAACTGTTATAATTAATAATGATATTATACGACAATAAGTTTTTGAATAAAATAATATTTGAGTATTATGATGAACCAAAATATGTAAAATTGTTATTTTTTGTATTAAAAAATAAATATATATTAAAATATTATTCATATCTATATCTATATATATATAAAGAGGTTGTTGGGAAAATATATTAATAGAAAGTTTGACCAAATAAATATAATGCTTGACTTGCTATTAATAGAAAGTTCGAAAAAACACATGTAAATCTTTAGAAACAAAATGTGAATCTTATTTTTTCGGTAACAAATTTGGAGATTCTTATGGCAACATTTGAATCCCATTTTTTTAGTATCAGTTTTATTTTTTTACCAAAATTTATATCATATCTTTTTTGGTAACAAATTTAGAGATTCTTATGCAAAAAATGTGTCAATTATTTATGAAAACAATTCTAAATACAAATTAATTTAAAAACCGTGCAAATTGGATACAAATTTACGAAACAAATAGTTGTATAATTTATAAACAATTCTTCCAATCTTAATGAATAATTTTTTTCTTTCAAAAAAAGTGTGTAAATTGGTTAAAACCACGTGTAATTTTTATTTTAATAAAACTGATATTTGGACGGGATGTACATTCAAAATTGTGCCCACATTTTTTGGTAACAAAAGCGGTTCATCTTTTAAAATAATTAATTGCACACCTTATTTAGATAATTTTAGATATTTTAAATCGTAAAATAGGGTAGCATCAAAATGCCCCTTAAATTATGGGTTTTGTTGAATTCATTTTTGAAAATTTCGACAGATATTAAAGTGAATATGAAATTCAAAATCTCTTCTCATTTTATTTTTAATAAACTCTGCATCCAAATATACGTGTGGTTTTGAAGTAAAAATTTGAAATTCAAAATCTTTTCTCATTTTAGTTACAAGAAAATCGGACTGTATTCAACACTTAGACCAATTTAAAAATTATTCCTTAAATGAAGGAATTTATAAATAATTGTTATCTCTACTCAATCACATGATTATTTTCAATATAAAAAGAGTCAGGTTACAAATAAGTGAATCATATATTACCTAATTCAATATCTTAACATTAAGGAATAAATCCATAGTATTATGTAAATTTGTATCTCATATTACTATATCATTAAAATATATTATAGTTATATTATCAAATCTTTTAAAGATATTAAATTCATATTGTAAAAAAAATAATTCATATAATTTTATAACAATTCTACTACACTATTTAACAATATTCATTTTTATTATATAATAAAATAATAATTAAATACTATATACTGAACAACAATAAGTAAAATTGTTACTTTCTTTTATATCAAGAGATAAATTTATATGCTAAAATTAAATTTTTATTAGTATAAATATTTTAGTGAGATAATATATTAATTACAAGCTAGCTTTAACATGCTCATATTTAATGTTCTGGCTAAAAAAAACGTTGGTTAAAGATGTGGAAAAAAACTTATAATAACCCTATTGTTTTTTAGACTTAACGTTGATTAAAAGAGATAGAAAATAGATAATAACCCTATTACTTTTTAGACTTAAACGGACAAGGGTGTAAAAATAACTCATTTAATATCTTTGTCCCGTGCATCGCACGGGGTACGTACTAGTTAACATAACGAGTTAACGAGCTAATATATTGTTAAAATTAACTTTTGAAAAAATCACGGGATTCTCCCTAGATTGAAGCAATGGTATATATATATATATATATATATTTTTTTTTTTTGGGTTGTTCGTGTTTCATTGTCTTACACATATACACTGGGCCAGCTCGTTAATGAGGTCCATGGATAGACCACAGCCCAAATTCATTGTAGGACCCAAAACAGTTATTGCTATGTACCCATATGATATGAACCCAAAACACACACACATTCATATGCACGAAACAGCCCTAAACAGAGTCCCAAAATAAACCTCGCTAAGAGAAAAATAAAAAACAAAAGGAAAATAGAAGGAAAGGGGGAAAAAAAAAAAAAAGACAAAACAAAGGCGGAAGAACACGAAAAACTGGAGAAGCACTGAACGTCTCCTCCAACCGAAGCTGGTTGTCTGCGGCGATCGTCCTTACGTCTCTCTCCGACCGGAGACCTCTCAGTTACCTGGTATCCCGGCACGGCGAGCTCAGTCTCACGCTAAAAGCTCCGAAAGGGTAAGTTCCCACTTCATAACCGCCTCACGCACTTGCTGAATCGATATTTTTATGTCTGTTTGAAAAAGAATGCTGCAGTCGAAATTTAGTAATTCTTCCTTTAGCTGTAACCATTTGATTCATGAATGTGAAATAGTTGAGCTTCTAGTTTATACACACACGTCGATGTATTCTGTAAATATATGTTGGAACTGTCCTGTTTGATTTGTTTTTTATGGTGGTTGCAGGAGCAAATGGCAAGGGCTCATGCAACAATACAATTCACTAAACAGCCCTATATTGAAGATGTTGGCCCTCGTAAAATGTAAGTATATTATAACTAATCTGTAAACATCCTAAAAGGCTCTAAGGTGGAGAGCTAGTTGCATACGTTTGCATCTGATACGAATTTATTTTATGCGATGATAATTTTTTCATTTGTTCTATTACTCCACATATTCCCAGTGAGAGCATTCAATTTTCGACATTTTCTGGGACTGATGTACTAAAAGCCGGCGAAGTCGAAGTCTACCGTGGCGTTTATTATGACCCTAATAAAAGACCAATTCAAAATGGGTTGTTAGACCCTCACATGGTACGCCACACATCTTCCTTTGCTGCTACTTGTAGCTGAAAAAGTAACTCCAATGTTGAAATCAGCATGAGTCCCAACACATGGTTCCAACCCACACTGCATCATTTTGTAAACTATGCTGTTATGATATTTATGTTTTACTGTACTTCTGTGGTCTTCAAACTGTCAGATTCAAAATTTACAACATTTGAGAAAGTAGTCATCGAAATGTCATATTCTCTCTCTCTCAACGAGACATTAATTATAGCCACCGAGTCATCGAAGGAATTTTTCTTTTTCTGCAGAAGCTAGAAAAAGTTTCCTATTATTCTTTACAACAATATAGATGGAAAAGCATATTTGAAAATTGTCATTGTGCGGAATTCAACAGTCTATTTGTTGCAATTTCTTTCATTGTTCTCCTTTTTGTTTATTTTATTTTATTTTATTTCCTGGATGCCATCGTTAGACTGTCAATGTGTCACGTAGCTTGGTGCTTCTTCCAAATCTTGGATTTCCACATTCTTTGATTGGCTGTAAGGATTTTATACCGACTTCATTCAAGAACAAATGAAGTTGGAGAAAGGGGTGTGGCAACACTTATCGATGGCATCCTCCAAAAGGATTCTTTAAATAAAGGCATACCTTCTGTGTAGTTTCCATTTTCTGTGTTCTGAATGATGACTCTGAATGGTTGTTCTGTCTGTTCTTATTTTATGTTGATGATAGGATTATTACGGATAAAATATCCTGGTCGGTAAGCATGGGTGCATGTTTTCTTTCTTTTATTTTCTGCCTAGGCCAGCTCTTATAGTTAGTGAATCTTGTGAGCTTGGAGTATACTGAAATTTGGACAAAGGATTGTACATTCAGAAGCATACAAAGTTATCATTCTTATCGAGTCAATTCGGCCACTTCCTATGGTGCAACATTGTTTTGTTTTCTATTTTGGACTTGCTGTGTACTTTGATCAGTAGATTAGATCCAATTGTTCGTGTCATGCTCTAACTTTGCCCACAGATGGACATAAACACAATACTTCGGCAGGAAAATGTGATTGATGTTGATAGGAAGTGCCTTTTGTGAGATTGAACTAATGAAGCTCTACAAAATGACAATTGAAATTTGCAATCTACTTTCTAGAAGTGTCTATTCTGATTTTGTTTCATGGCATATGTTGTAGGTGAAAATAGGTTATTGGTGTAGTATTAGTAAATTCAAAAGCATGGTTGTAGCTTTCTCTTTCAAATAATGCTTTGAAAAATTGTTAATTCTGTGTCAGTAGCATAGTATTATGTTCATCGGTTGGTAAGTTGCTATTTAAATGTACTTTTTAACAAATCTTATGGATGTTTTTGGTTTTCCTATGTGGATGTTTGGAAGGAAATATATTGACAGGCACTGTAACTTCTTGTATGTCTTTTGGCAGAGTAAATGTGCTGGTAAAAAGGGTGGTGGGCAAGTTTCCAAATGCAGCATATATAACTTTTTTAGGAATTTTAATTGTTCTTTTTTCTTGTTTTTAATTTTGTAATGGTATACCATAATGCGTGTTATCCTTTTTGTGTTTCCCTTCTTTCTTTTATAGGGGCCACCAAATAAATTTGGCTCCTGTGAAACTTGCTATGGAAATTTTCGGGAATGCCCAGGGCATTGTGGATATTTGCCCCTTGCTCTTCCGGTGTACAACGTTGGATATTTGGCTACCATAATAGATATAATGAAGTGCATTTGCAAGGTAATAAAATTGTTATCTTTCTTATTATTGGTTTTTAATGGAAAAATTTCGTCATCTTTTTATCTGTAAATAATCTGAAGTAACAGTGAATCCCTGTTGTGCATTATTTAAAATTTTGCATGGCCGAGTATTGATCTTTACTCACGGAATAATGGTAATTGTTTATTACATGAATTCTACGAAAGCATGAAGGATACTCTTCTTAATCCTACACAAGAATAATGATTTGGTTTGGCGTTTAAAGTGCTTCTTTTGTTGGTCGTGGACATTTGATGTGGTAGAAGCTCATTAACATGTAAAGTGACCTCATTCTTTCTTTCATCATCGTATCACGTGTCACTTTTTGTTCATGAAAATAAGGAAATTAGAGCTGCATTTTGTCCCATGGTGGCATTGCTGAGAATTCCTCATTAATCTTCTATTTTTTACATACAGAAATGTTCCAGAGTACTTCTTGAGGAGAACTTACGCCAAGATTATCTCCGGAAGATGAGAAATCCAAAACTTGATCATCTGAAGAAGTATGTGGTATTTAAAGAAGTGGTGAAGAAGTGTAATGATATGACAAATAGTAGAAGATTAGCAGTGTGCTTCCGATGTGGATATAAAAACGGTTAGGCTTCTTAACTATATGAGACAATATTTAACTCACTGAATCTACTCTTTTACTTTCTTTCGTCTTCTTCTTCTCCTTAGAAAGACCAGGGGACCGTCCTCTAGCTCTGGCTCTGCATGTCTCATAGGGGTTGAATTATGTGGAAAAAATCAATCAAAGCTTTCATTGATATTTCCAGATTGTGAGGCTTGTTCTCAAGACATATCTAGTTCTATTTGAAATGTATCATCACTTTATGGAACAGGAGTAGGAAAAAAGTACGATTATGAATGTAATGATTTTTAACCACTGGAAGATGTCTTGGAATGTGAGTGGACTGTCGAGTTTTAATATTCAGACGAGTTAATTGTGAGAGATGAGATGCTTAAGTGTGTGTTTGTTTAAGGAATTTTCGGACAAGAGCTTGAGTCCGTTACATACCTAAATGCCTCAAGTCTAGTGAGTGAAGTGATATATAGAAACTGCCTAGCAAACTCCCTTTGAGCTAGCTTTTGGAGATGAGTTCTATTTAGGCTTATTTAGGCTCATTTATTATGGTATCAGAGCACACTAGTTTGTTTATTTGGAAGCTAATTTGGGTTTGGATCCGATCCATTTGGAACGCACGCGCGTGACAAGGGGGTGTTTGAAGTAATTTTTTGTTCCACATCGATTAGTTATGGAATGTTATTGTATATAAGCTTGGTTTGGACCCCTTTTCCCTTTGAGCTATCTTATGGGGATGAGTTCTACCTAGGACCATTTATCACTCTGATTGCCCGCTAACTTCTGATGATCATTTGATGCCCTAAGATAATCATATTACTTATAAAAGTACATTCTAGAAATAAAAGCCTGTCCCACCAGTTCATTTTAACTTTCAATAACTGAAAATAAACAACTTAGTTAAAAAGGGAAAAAGATAATTAGAGGTCATAGTATTAAATGTAAGAATTATGTTGGGTCGATTGTTCCTTCTGCATGCTCGTGTATATTTGGTAATAAACAATGTTAACTACAGTGAAGTATCAACATTAGAATGGTGGATTAGAATAGTTTTGGCTGCTTCGTGGGGTAAGGGGGACTAATGAGGTCATGCACTTGTTGGTCATTCATTGGTAATTGGAGGCTTGTTCGACGTGTCAGCTTAGACTTTGTTTGATGTACTGTAGGAAGCATCTTCACTATTTTAAATTTTAAAATACACAAATGAATTAATTAGGTATTTTAAAAAAAAAAAAACTATAGAGAAATTCTCTTTCTTGACAGTTCTCTTGGCATAGTGCTAATAATGGACTAGATCAAAATGGCTCAATTAAATTCTAGTGCTTCTTCTATTAGTGAAGTTTCTAGAAAAAAAAAAATATATCAAACGGCGCAATGCACTTTGGGTCGCTACGGAAACAGCCTCCTTGTATAATTACAAGGGTAAGGTCTGCGTACAACTGACCCCCCAGACCCCAACCTGTTGGGAATATACTGGGTATGTTGTTGTTGTTGTTGTTGTAGAGAAATTCTCTTTCTTCTGGACTGGGGAATGTTTTCTGAAAATTAATAATCATATGTATACTTCACAGTTCATAGATGATATAAACACATATCTGACTTTTCAACTATAGTTGGGATTTGTGAGGCAACTCCATGGTGCTTTCACAATAAAATTGCCTTGTAATATTGAAAGCATGCTGTATTCCTCTAGTCCATATAAATTTCAGGATACTTTGCTCCCCTCCTGTTAGAAATTTTATCTTGGTTGTATTCATGTGTATCTCACTTTTCTTCAACCTATGGATGAAGTCTCAAACAACTATTTGTTTCAGGCAAGGTAAAGAGGGGACCTTTAAAAATTCTGCATGATCGTGGTAAACTGGATGGCCAGTACCTGGATGAATGCCAGTCTGCTATTTCCCACACAAAGGAGTCCAAACGACAAGTTTCTGTTTCTTCTTTTATTGACCCTAAAACTGCCTATCAGCTACTGAGAAATATGTTGGATGAGGTACTCATCTCTGTCTTATTATTTAAATTTAAAATAAACTTTTGAAAAGCCTGTTCAGGTCTGTATACAGTTAAAGTTCGTTTTCTTTCCCATTATATTCTGGTTAGGTTATCTTTATTCATTGATTTAGATCTTCATTTATGTTCTTGTTTTCCTTTTCTTTTTCTTTGTTGCAGGATTGTGAGTTGCTTTATCTGAGCGATAGGCCAGAGAAGCTTATGGTCACAAATATTCTTGTGCCACCAATTGCCATACGCCCTTCAGTTTTTGTGGAAGGTGGAATGCAAAGGTATTTGTTACGCCTGACTGTGCACTGTCTTCCCTATGCGTGTAACAGATATTGCTATTACTTTTAGGTTGATATATGTTTGCTTGGTATTTATATGTTGAAACAACAGTTATAAATGTTGAAAACAACATGAGATTAGAGTTATGGAGCATATGATGCTTGTACACCAATGAGCGTGAGAATAGTAACTTTGTTCTATCATTAACTTGTATACCCTCCATTACTTTTTTATCATGAGATGACAGTTAATTCCTAGAATAGCAGCTCATATTAACAATGTGCCGAAGTCTGAGATTCTGATGTTGTTAATAATCAAGCAAGTGAAAGACACTTAAGCTACTGGTTGTAGTTCAGGAAAAGAATCGCAACAATCAACAAAGTTCAGATTCACCAACTTGAATACTGAATTACTTGAGACCTCTTCTACTCTTGTAATCACTATTTCAGAACGTGATGATCAGTGTTAGTAGTTGATTTCATTCAGGAATATAGAGTATAGGCTAGGTGGTATTCCGAATAAGTACTGGGAATATTGAAAAAACGTTGTCTCTTTCTTGCTGCTACTTTAGCTGTTTTTGGGGCAATATTAACCTAGCTGATGTTATACTATTTAAGATATACAACAACAACAACAACAACATACCCAGTATATTCCCAACAGGTTGGGGTCTGGGGGGTCAGTTGTACGCAGACCTTACCCTTGTAATTATACAAGGAGGCTGTTATACTATTTAAGATATAACTGCACATTTTTTTAATAAACTTTATTTTATTTCATTCGAGTCTGAACCAAGTGATGATAATTGATTACTGAAGATTGGAATGATTTACTTAGGTTTCCCTGGTCATGGCCAACTGCCAAGAAAGCCTATTCATAGCTTGTTATCTTGTGTATTCCACCCTTGAGATTGCTTTGACTTTTTACTTTTCTTATTATCTTTTTTCATTGTTTCTAAACATAAAGTTATGTTGGGGCTGTTGCAGCAATGAGAATGACATTACAGAGAGGCTAAAACGCATTGTCCAATCAAATACCAGTCTTCGCCAAGAAATGCTGGAAACTAACCTTTATAGCAAGAGCCTGGTAATAATATTTACTTCACTCTGTCTAAACAAAGCAAATTTGTTCTGCTATGGTTATTGTCCTTGTATTTATGTTTCTTATTTCAGAGAGAAATAAACCGATTGTATTCCATATATCCAAGGTACAATATACAATGATATATACAAGTCTATGAGCGAACTAAAGAAGAAAACATATCGGGCCTAATCTGCGAGATTAAAACATATTACTAATTAACACCCCCCTCGAGTTGGAGCATATATATAAATAATGACCGACTTGTTACAATTGTTGTTTATCCGTACCCCGTTTACTGCTTTAGTGATTATGTCTTTGAACTGAATTCTGATTAATATATCCTGGCGAAATGATCCTTTTTCTTCTTTATCACGAACAAAGTGGCTATCTACCTCCATATGTTTGGTTCATTCATGAAATACCAGATTCAGTGCAATGTGGAGCACTTCTTGGTTGTCACACCAAAGTTACGCTAGTGTTACGCTGGAGGATTAAGCTCTAACCTTATCTCTTTTAGTAATTGATCTCACAAACCAAATCAGCAAGCCTTAGCAACTGAACGAGAAACAACATTTTGTTTCTCGTTTCTCCATGGGACTGGATTACCTTCCACAATGATAAAATATCTTGAAGTTGGCCTCCTATCATATTTGCAATCGACTTAGTTAGCATCAGTATATGCTTCAATTGACCTAGTGGAGCATTTGCTATGTTGTACATAAAAACAGTCCATGTCTAGGAGCTCCCTTTTGATAACACAAAATTTGCTCAAGAAGAGCCGAATAACAATTGGTTGGTCTACCAACCGTAAAAGCAGGATGTGTTACGGTGAGATAATTCAACTTCCCCACAGGTCTTTAGTGCCGCTCAGGTCATGAAATGGCTTACCATCATCTTTTCTATTTCCTAGTTGCAAGTGGGTGACATAGATAAGCACCTATTTTCCTAATTTCTGAAACAAGTTCAAACACACATTTCCAATGGCCATGGAAAATTCCTTTCTTGCTTCTCATTATCTCCTCTCCTAGAAATATTTCAAGGACTTCAAATTTTGTACGAAAAGGTGCATAAAGAAATGACTTCAACCTTAAGTCCCATCACCGTCATCTCCCGTAATTACTATATCATCAACATACACAACTAATAAAATGATCCTATGAGTAGTGCGTCGATAGATTACATAATTATCAGATTTGCATCTCATTAAACCATATTCCAAAATGATTTGATTAAATCAATCAAACCAAGCCCGAGGACTTTGTTTTAACTTTCAATTCATATCCGTGTAAGGATTAAAGAAGCCAGCATACCTTCCAGCAAGAAAGCCATTAAAAAAAGCATTTTGAATATTAAGCTCGTGAAGAGACCAATTAGAGATATGAGCTACTAAATATGAGTAGTAGCATTACAGGTTTAAGTTTCGCCATGTGGGAGAAAGTTTCAATAATTAATGCCATAGGCTTAGGTATATCATTTAGCTACTAACTGAGCCTTAAACGATCCAAAGAGCTATCCAAATTTTGTTTTATCGTAATAATCCACTTACGTCTGCGTATCAACAGGTATATCGACTAAAGTCTACGTACCATTATGATCAAGAGCATTCATTTCCTCAATCATAGCACGCCAACTAGAATGGGCCAAAGCTTCCCTAACAGTTTTAGGATAGAGATGGAATCTATTATTGCAAACAAACTTGAAGGGATAGACAAATGATCATAGGAAACATCAGACGTAGTTGGATATGTACATGAATGTTAAACCATGATAAATAGGCCTGGTAAAACTTATCCTCAAAAGCTAGCTCAAAGGAAGAGGATGCCCAACCCACACCACATCCAATAGCTAATTGATGTGGGACAAACATATTTTCTAACGCCAGCCCTCATGTGCAGCTTGCCAAACCAAATGGGGGGCTGGTCCAAACCCAATATCGCCTCCTAACAGCCTAACATATAAACTCGGGTGCTCTGCCATGTAGAGAGAAATAACTGATTGTATTCCATAACCAAGGTACTATATATATGCAAACTAAAGAAGGAAATCATATCCACCGTCCTAATCTACGATATTATAATATATTACTAGTTGATATCCTAATCTATACCATGTATACATTAACAATTATGCCTGTATTATGTTAAATACTATTCTTCATACAACAGACACAAGTGGATATAGATACATTCCATTTGTTTCTATCATTTGAACACCTGTTTTCTAAATACTGCTTCAGGACCACCGTCAGCAAATGCTTTGACAATAAATAGGAAAGAATTTCGATATTTAGTACAAATGAGTGAAATGACAGAATCCGCTTCGTTCGTACTCCTTTTAGTCGAGTGAAAGTCTCTATTTCACTTTCAAACAGACTGAAGTCGATTCGGTGTGACACAAATAGTTCATGGTAGAAAATTGAGTTATTTAGGTCCTGGAGAACTAACAGGGCGGACTGCTAGTTTTCGAATACGAGATATCCATCCTAGTCACTATGGTCGTATTTTCCCAATTGACACATCTGAGGGAATCAATGTTGGACTTATTGGATTCTTAGCAATTCATGCTGACCTATTTAATCTATCACGCTTCTAGTTTTCTCTAAATTAGCCATCTCAAGTATCTTTCTTCTGATCATACTCTTACAAAGTGTTAATATGATATGGGCGTAGGCTAGCTGGGATGATCTGCAAATAGAGGTTGCACAATACATCAACAGTGATGTCCGTGGATTGCCGTTCAGCATGAATGATGCCAGGCCATTGAGTGGTTTTGTTCAGCGCCTGAAAGGTAAGCAGGGAAGGTTCCGTGGCAATTTATCGGGAAAGCGTGTAGAGTATACTGGACGCACCGTTATTTCTCCAGACCCAAATTTGAAAATTAATCAGGTTAGGCTATCTACTTAGTCTTAAACGTCAAACTGCTTTATCTATTTATGTATTTATCTATCTGTTTATTTGTTTACTGACAGGTTGCTGTTCCTATGCATATGGCCCTAATCTTAACTTATCCGGAGCGCGTTTCTCATCATAATATAGAGAAATTGAGGCAGTGTATTCGTAATGGGCCCGATAAGTATCCTGGTGCAAAGTTTCTAAGGCATCCTGATGGTACTGAGACGTGAGTGTTGAATAATCATGAAACTATATATTGGCTAGTTTTGTTGTGTGCTTAATCTTTGATTCCTCTAATTCTTTTTTTTTTTTTTTTCATTTTTCATTTATGTGTGGCAGGTCATTAAAGGTCCATCATATCAGAAAGCGTGTCGCAGATGAGTTGAAGTATGGTTGCATTGTGGATCGTCATCTTGAAGATGGTGATATTATTTTATTCAACAGACAGCCAAGTTTACATCGAATGTCAATAATGTGCCATCAGGTACCTACTACATATGAAACGTGTGATAGAACAAAGATGGTACCATTTGCACCACCTTATATAGTTTATTGCAGGCAAGGATAATGCCATGGCGCACCTTGAGATTCAATGAATCAGTTTGCAACCCATACAATGCAGATTTTGACGGTGATGAGATGAATATGCATGTACCACAAACAGAAGAGGCCCGTACTGAGGCTCTTATGTTAATGGGGGTAAATTTTATTGACTTCTATATTTGGCTTTGCCGTTCAGCTGCTCTGCATCACTCATGATCACTAGTTTGACACTTTAATGTATTTGTGATTTTTGACCGAAACATTCTATCTTCTCTACCACCCTATCAACCTTATTTTACGTCATTCTTTGATGTGAAAATCTACATGTTCTTCTGTCATGTCAACTTCTGCTGATGTCTACTTTCAGTTATTAGTGTATTATTCTCAATGGTTAAACCATATTGAGTAAGATGTAGTGATTTCATTAATCTCTTTATAAGCTATCTTTACCTTATCAATCAGTTTGGATCAAGTAGAGCCCAAATGTGTTTCCTCTTGACATTTCTATTGAGTAGCTAAACACTTTCAGGCTTGAAAACTTTAGATAGAAGTCTGTTCTAAGAGCCCAGAGGATGATGGTAGCAACGCTTACTAGGTTTAATTGGTGGCCGATCTCAAGTAATTATTGGAAAATGAATTGCAGATTTTGGGCGATTCACCTAGTTTTTTCATAAATGCCTAATATAGATAAAATAAGAGAATGATTTCCTGTTGTTTCGAGAAACTATCTTTTTGGAAGGTTGGATAGAGGACTTAGCAGGAGTCCTTGAAGGGTTAGCCTGATGCAGAATGAATTCCTGGTACATATAAAATTTATTACGGCAAGGAGCCTGTATAGAATTTTGGTGTCTTAAACATTTCAGATGAGGTAGTTGCCGTAAGTGATTAACATAGCACATATTCACCATCCTCCAGAAAATTTTGTTCAGATTATTGCTACTACATGAATTACCAGAGAGAAAATGACCAACCTTCAAAGATTTCACATATTATGATTTTGACTCTCTATTTGAGCATTCCCACTTCAAAGATGAGGAAGATTCTACTTATTTGAATAAAGTTAATTATCTTGGAAGTTTCTCTAATATGTTCTTTTACATATGGACAGCTATATTTGATAAGATTGTTGATTGTTAAATTGTACATCTACTTGTGGATGAAAAATTGGACTTGATAACTATTTTATATAATTTCTGCATTCTGTGTTTCACTCAATCCACTTTTGATTGTTGTGACACTGTTGCAGGTGCAAAACAATTTATGCACCCCAAAAAATGGAGAAATCTTAGTTGCTTCGACACAGGATTTTCTAACGTCGTCCTTTTTAATAACAAGGAAAGACACGTTCTACGATCGCTCTTCCTTTTCACTAATGTGTTCATATATGGGTGATGCGATGGATCCAGTTGATTTGCCAACTCCAGCATTAGTTAAGGTGAGTTTGTGGAGCACACTTCCACTGCTCTAAGTGTTATTTATGTTTCTTTTCTAGTAGTTTAGATATTGTTTTCACTTTTGTGTCTTTTAATCTATAATTCTGTGCTTTTTGATCTTGTAATTGATCCCTACTTACTATTATTAATTAAGGCTTGTGGTTCAACATCATCCATTTTTATCAATTGGTGCCACATTTCCGTAGCGGTGGTATGTAATATGGTTGTGCTTGTGCACCTCACTTGTTTTCATTACACTTGATTTATTGATGATATATTGATCTCCCATTTTGTTCTTTTTTGGCATGCTATACTTCTTGATGTCCCAAAAAGTTTTTCAGTTTGTTTGATTTGCGCCTTTTCTTTTTTCTGCAAAGATATAGTTTAGTTCCTCACAAGATCTTGGGTGTTAGGATCCTAATGAACATCCACTTAGGCATGGACAAGAAAAGACATGCGTAGTTTTCCTACCATTTGGTGTCACTCTATGCTTTACGGGGAATGCATAAGGTTACACTTGTTACTGTAGATCGTTCGAATATTGTCTCAGAAAGTGAAATTGCACTTCATGCACTATTGTGCTTTACGAGTTTTTTTTCCCCATATGCCAAAGGTACCTCCACATAGTGACTTTAAGTCTTGGATTGGTGGTGGCAAGATGGAGGTGCTGGATGTAAATGATTAATACCATATTTTTCACTGACAACATCTGTTTGAATTAGGGTGCTGCTTCAGTTTCTCTTTATATTTTGTAATCAATTAACTTTTTGTGAAAGTGAGTGAAAACTTTCAGGAATTATAAATGGAAGTTAAAGAATATAAAATACAACATTCCCTAGCTACTTTGGTGCTGCATGTAAATGTGAACCTTCCCTTAGATGATTGTTTATGGTTGCACAATCTTATTGACGAAACATGGAATCCAGCGTCCTTTTTTTTCTTGTGTTTGTAAGCGTGCACTCGTGGCAGATGTCGTTCAGTTAATGTTCCATTTTTGTCTGGTTGTCAAAATGTCATTGGTGGCCTATCATGTACTCTTCAGTGCTGATGTTCTTTTTATGTTTATATAATTGATATTCTAATTATATTTCATTTTTTACATCTTACGCTGCAGCCGATTGAGCTTTGGACTGGTAAACAATTGTTTAGTGTTCTATTGCGTCCCCATGCCAGAATGAGAGTATATGTAAATCTCACCTTAGCAGAAAAGAGTTATGGGAGGTCAAAAGAGACAATGTGCCCTAATGATGGATTTGTTTATATTCGTAACAGTGAGCTAATCAGTGGACAACTTGGAAAGGCTACATTAGGTCAGTTTCTTTTCTATTGTTTTGCTATTGTCATAATGAAGAAATGAGTAATGACTGAAACATTCATGAATAGACGAATATATTATGGAAAGCAATTTGATGAACATGAGATGGTCGGTAGTTGGCTTGTTTCTTGGAACCTGAAGTATAATCAAATGATTCAGTTTCAATAGGCATGTCATTTACAATTACTTACTGCCAGTATTTTGTCCTTCCATGGAACTTAATCCTGAAATTGGTGACTCAGCCTTCACTGCTTATAGATCTGGCGACTCTATTGGCCACTGTTGCTGGAACGGGACATGGAATTAATTGAGTCATCAAATGTTGAGCGTGTGAAGTCATACTGTGCATATGAGATTGATCATTTTCCATTTGTTTAAGAAATTATTTATTTGTGAAATTTGCTTTCCTAGCTTTATTCCTTTATTTAAACAGATATTATTCGACTTGGTTACAGCATATGACTTGTGTTTTGTCCAAATGTTTCATAAAGTATATTCTCATCATTCTATTCGCGATGTCTTTCTCTAAGAAGTACCTAAGATGGTCCAAATATCTGTAGTGTTGTCTCATTTCAAAAATTGTATGGACTCTTTGGTAATTAGTAATTAGTCATCAAAGATGCCTCGCATGAATGCTAGTTTGCTTCTTCATATTCTTTAAAAAAGTCACCAAGGAGAGAGAAACGGTTTATTATTACCTTTATGGTGTTGCATGCATGCTTATTTGTCCATTATAAAAACAGGAAACGGGAACAAGGATGGACTTTACTCTGTCCTTCTCAGGGATTACAATGCACATTCTGCTGCTGCTTGCATGAATCGCTTGGCAAAGTTAAGGTGATATCATTGCTGATTCAGATACCTTAATCAAGTGCTTTATTATTATTCCAAATATTTGAGGTGTATGAGTCTCTTTTTGACTAAGGCCTACTCTAGGTGCCATATACAGCAATTTCCATTCCCTGTCTGTTATGTGTGCGAGTCACCTATGGTTTCTTTGTTTCAGACCATAAATGGTCTGTTAAAACTTTTGAAAAACTTGTTATTTTATTTTGTTTTCTTACACTAATTGTGACATGTTTTCCATAGACCCTAGGCATTGGTTGAAGTGCGATGTACCCTGGAATGCTAGAAACTGATGCCCATTGTTCTACCGAATATTAGCAGCCCTATATTAAGCTAAATAACAGAATCCCTGAAAGCATGATAAGTAGTGCTTCAGTTGTAGAATACAAGAAATACATCGAAGGCGTAAAATGCTCGAGTGCCTTAAAAGTGAACAAACTTTCTGTGGCTGTTTCACAAACAATTTTCTATCCAATTATATCTGTGACAGTAGTTTTTACCTATGGAGAACGCCAAAGGACTGGTCTGTTCTGTAGAAAATGATTGCGAATATGGTCTCTAGCAAGCAGGTTGATATTGAGTGAGTTTATTCTTGATTACAATATATAAATCCAGTACCTTGTCGCACATCACCAGGAAAGAAGAATAAAGAAAAATCTATATCCATCAATTTTTTGGTGGTTTCTTGGCAATAGAAAGCAGTAATTGATCGCAAAATTTATATCAATGCTACAAATTTTTCAGACACTAGGTGAATGGCTAACCATCAAAGTTTGTGGAATATTGGTATTAAAAGTAGAACCAGATATATAATTTGAAGCTGTCCCTTTTAAATGGGGAAATGGGTTGAGGCTGCTATGGGTATGAATGCTTTAATTTTGCTAATCCTTTTCACAGGCGGCGACTAAAATTTTGCCGGGAGCAAAATGATGATTTTTTTATAATGTGGACTTCGGATGTGAGATGAAAAATGTAATGATTTAAGATATGTCATTTAAAATAGTAAAATAATGATTGAAAATGATTGGTTGTTACATCTATGTAAGTGGGTGAATATTTGATTTTTTTGAAGAATGGTGTAGTAATTGTTAATTCTTTTTTGAAGATTGTGATGCTAAGATTGACGAAAGTAAGTAAGACTGGGTTATTCAACTTATTTCTGCCATAGATTGAAATGATTGAGATTGATGATTTCTTTTGTAAATGTATGTTCTTGAGTCGTGTTACTTTAGGAAAAATGAAGATGCGGGGAAATTTAGTTTTGATTTTTTTTACTGTTGTAGTGCTCGATGGATTGGAAATCATGGATTCTCGATTGGAATCGATGATGTTCAACCTGGTGTTGAATTAAACAAGGAAAAGAAGTTGACAATTGAAAAGGAGTATTCCCAATGTACAGAGTATATTGAAAGTTATAATTCCGGAAGTCTAGAGCTACTACCAGGATGCAATAATGCTGAGACTCTGGAGGCCAAGATATCTGGAACCCTGAATGATATTCGAGAATCAACTGCCCAAGTAAGAGGCTCTGTGTTTTTTGAGTTCTAAGACTTTTGATTTTTTGATGATATCTTAAAAGTTTTCTCACTGGTTGCTCTAAGATGAGTCTACTAGATATTATCCTGCTCTGTGAGTCAATTAGTTAGTTGCAGTCTTTTGGAATTCAGCTCATGAATTGTGGTAATACTATAATAGTTAGTAGCTTTTGTCCAGTATCTTTCATTCTTATGAATTCTCTGGATCCATAGCTTCAGAAAGTCTTTCCGGTCTTATCTATCTTTCAAGCATAAGCATTGTTTATAATAGGGTTGTCCAAGACTACTCTAGTTTGTGACTAAACCCAAACTAAATAATTTCCATATGATTGTTTTTCGTTTTTGTTTTTTAAGATGGATGATTGTATTTTATTGTGACATTCTTATGGATGCGGTTACATGTTGCAATTTTTTTTTCCAGGTTTGTATGAAGAATCTAAATTGGAGGAATAGCCCCCTAATTATGTCGAAATGTGGTTCTAAAGGGTCTCCAATCAACATTTGCCAGATGATTGCATGCGTTGGTCAGCAAATTGTTGGAGGTCATAGAGCTCCCAATGGATTTGTTGATCGAACCTTGCCTCATTTTGAAAGAGGAGCTAAGGACCCTGATGTATGTTGCTCTAATTTATTTTCTTTATTATATTTTAGGTAAACATTATGTGTGCTTGTTTGGTTATACTGTTATTTTCAGTTTGGTGGTTATACTGTTACTTTCAAGATGAATATTCTTTTTCTTTGTTCTTTAAATGCTATAATTAAAATATTATCATATATGGTATTGGATCTTGAAAAAATATCCTGCTACTATCAACTTCACAACTTACTATATTCGTATGATTGTGTGTTTTTCTTTTTTTTTCTTTTTCCAAGAAACAGACAGAAACATAACTTGTATTTTATTAATATTTGATTAACATATTTTTGTGCTTTAAGTTTACTGAAAACTACTTGAACAATGGTATCTTGATTTTTACAACAAAAAGTTATTATCAGCTCAGTTACCCTAAAACAATCTCTCTTCTAACACCAAGACCAAAACAACTAACTTATCAATAGAAATACTCTGAATGAAGATTGTCAATAATATCTAGCTATAAAAGGAAAACTGTTTTCCTGTTTCTGAAAGCGAAATTTCAAATGCTATCTTCTTATAGATTCAAGCAGCAGAGAATCTGCTTCATTTAATTTTGTGGTGGTCGGATGTGTAATGACCCTATTAAGCTGACATCATAGCTTCTATTATGTTTTTCATGCATTTTAATCTAAACTTGTCCTAGTTAAACACTTTCTGCTTGGGAAAGCTGCATAGTGCATGGTCATGATATGTGGAGTAAAGCTTCAGTCATGGATTAGTGGTTTAAGAAAATCTGGCTCATAACTGCAATTGCCAATTTTTATGCTGCTTCCTATCATCTCTATTTGTTGTAAGAACTCTAAATGTTTGGTACCAAATTTGTTAGTTTGATCTGTATAAACCAGGCTATAAATAGATCACAGTATTTGATTGTCAAGCATGTTCTGACAAGGTCCATTCATATTTTTTATCATATTATTGTGCACTCAAATGATGTTGATTATAGTATTTGTTAACTTACCTGAGTTAGTTATTTTTGGTAAATTAATTATCTCTTAACTTAAATAAGTTAATACCTCAAACGTTCTTAATTCATATTCGTATGTGGGTTCAGGCAAAAGGTTTCGTTCAGAATTCCTTTTATACTGGTTTATCTGCTACTGAATTTTTTTTCCATACCATGGCGGGAAGAGAGGGCCTCGTTGATACAGCGGTATGCTTTATTTCTTTTGTTTGTACATTGTGTTATATAGAAGTATCAATTGTTTATTTTTCTTCCACAATATCTTCATTGTCTACTGAGCTTTTGTGCAAATGAACATTTTAACTTAATCGCTGCTTGGTAACACCACTCACCTTGCCATAATTAAGCTTGAGAGTAAATGAACAATTTAACTGAATCACTTTCTTTCTCCCACGGTCCACCTTGACATACTCAGCGGTTTGTAGTTCTTTTGTCATTGTTCTTTTTATCTTGAAAAGAGCAAGATTCTTTTTAAGCGTGAAAGTTGTACGAGCTTGGTTTTTGAAGAGTCAGTAAAAAGTTAATGAAAGAATCTTGCTCTTAGTCATGTATTGATTATATCTTAAGGCTTAAAAAGAATTATCAAGTTGCTGTTTCATTCCTTAGGCACTGACTTGTCATACTGAATAAATATGTGAGTTGATAATAGATGCAGGGCACCCAACGAATTTGCAGCATAACTCAATTGTGTCATGTACTTGGTATGAAACTTGTAGTGGTTGATTTGACCTCTATACTCCATTTATGAAAATATTTTTCTCGAAAGTCAAGCATCTTCTTAAATATATTTAATAGAAATAAAAGTTTACACTGTATTTTCATGGAATTCTACAGAAATATTGTTAAGAGTAATTAACTGTTAGCACTAGTTTATGAAGGTATTAGATTGAGAAAGTGGATTGTTTACTTGAGGAAAGTGGATTGAGCATCACTGGATTCTTATTCTTTTGGTGCTTTCTGGCCGTGCAACCAAAAAATAGAAAAATTAAAATAAAAATAACTTGGAACTGCATTCGATGATACAGGTTAAGACTGCTGACACAGGGTATATGTCTCGTAGACTTATGAAAGCTTTGGAAGACCTATCAATTCAGTATGACAATACAGTGAGAACTGCCAGTGCTTGCATTGTTCAATTTATGTATGGCGGTGATGGTATGGATCCTGCACAGATGGAAGATAAATCTGGGCTTCCGCTGAACTTCGAAAGATTATTCATGAAAACCAAGGTATTAGCAATACCATTTTCACCCTCCCTTGGGAATATTATTATCTGCATTATTGTAACAATCATGGTAAGTTATCATTCTTGTATTACAGGCTACTTGCCCTGCCATGGATCAAAAGTTTCTAAGTACCGAAGAAATTGAGAAAATAGTTGATGAAGTAATTGAGAAAAGGCTCTCAAGTCCTAAAACTCTTCAAGAGGGATCAGCTCAGGATGTTCCTTCTTCGGATAAGTCTGAGGGGTCCTTGGAAGCCTTTGAAAGCTCATTAAGAAATTTCGTGAAGAAGAAATATCCAAGCTCACTTCTCATGGAGAAATTGAATGGAAGGGTGTATTCTGAAGAAGATCGTGTTCGTTTAGAAAATGTGGCTTCAAATGTATCAGGGATTACTAGGCAACAACTAGTGGTAATTTTCTTCTCCACACACACATACACACACGGACACAGTCTTATACTGGCAATGTAAAAGTAAAAATCCTGCATCTTGGACACGGGCGAATCTCTAATTTTGTGAAAAATGGCTTGAAAAACAGTACAGCAGAAGAAGAGAGTGAATGCCGGATATGATTTTGATTCGTATCGTTGAGGACTTGAGTGATTCAATATTAACCCCTGATGCATACAATTGATTATCCCATTGGAAATACTTTTAGTACTCTTAATTAATTTCCTTATTTATGTATTTATTTATTCTAGGTTTCCTTTTTCCAATATATGTGAAACGTTTTAGCTGAGCCACTGGATATGATATTCCTTTAAAATCTTTTATTTATTTTTGACAACAATCTAAATTGAATTTGTGATTGCTCGGATATGACTTTAATTTCCCTGAATTTACTGTTAAAGGATCTGGTGACTAGACAGACAATCATTATGCAGCTTATTTGCTTGGTTCGCAATTTCGGACTTCTTAATGTTCATGTGTGAATTTAACACCTGTGAGAGAAAATAACTCAGAGAAAAAAAATATGGGTATTGTTTCCTGAACTAAATTCTATGGTTGTTATTCATCATTACAAATTCAACATAGAAAAATTTAATTTATCCAAGTCATTGTTTTATTAGTCGTGAAACATTATATGCTGTTAAATGGGACATACACACATTTATGTGTATATAATATTTGATAGACTTTGTGCGGGTTCATGCATGAGAAGATATCTGTTTAATGGTGTCCTATTCATTGTAAACAGAACCAACATAAGCGTGCACTCAAGTGCAGAATGTGGTAATGATGCATTTGAAACTCATATTTTTTGTTACTGTTTTAGGTCTTCCTAGAAACCTGCATCTCTCGTTTCCATTTGAAAAAAATTGAACCGGGGACTGCGATAGGTGCTATCGGAGCTCAGAGTATTGGAGAGCCAGGAACACAGATGACGTTGAAAACTTTCCATTTTGCTGGAGTGGCAAGCATGAGTATCCTAATACACACACACACACACATATATATACATATACATATATACATGTGCTTCACTATGCTGTATTAATTCGTTTCAACCTTTTCACTTTTCTCCCTGTAGCATACCATATGTTCCACTTAATCTTGTTAACAGATGTTACCCTTGGAGTTCCAAGAATAAAAGAAATTATCAATGCTTCTAAAAAAATCAACACTCCAATTATTACTACTACTCTGCAGTGTGACAACAATGACATAGTTGCGAAAATGGTAAAGGGACGTATTGAGAAAACTCTTCTTGAGCAGGTAATCCTCATACATTTTATTGATGATCATGCACTGAGTTCTGTTTTAATTAAATTTCTACACCAGCTGAGTATTTTATAGCTTTTTCTTCATCACAGATAGAATGCCAAGGCTTGGTGTTGTCTTATGTCAGTTTTCTACCATGAATTTTCAAATGCTTGTTAAATTTTCCTTTACAAGCATTTAAATAACTCCAATTTTGGCTTTTGGGGATTGAAATCATGTTGTGAATGTTTTCTAGTGATTTACATGAGGAAATTACTGAGTTGCTCTTTTCTTCTGAGACGTCTCTTTCCTGCAGGTAGCTAAGAGTATAAAGACTTCACAAGCATCTAGGTTGGCATCAATTGTTATAACACTTGACATGGAAAGAATACAAGGAGCACAGCTATCTATTGATGCTCATACTGTGAAAAAATCAATCCTACAAAATATGAAAACGAAAGTGAAAGAGCAGGTGCGATTTTCCTTATCCTCCTTCTGTGTGTGAGCATGTGCAGGCTTACAACCATCATTGGTTGCCTCTTCGTCTAAGTGACTGGGATATCCTTCCGTAGTGGGTGATTGTGCAGAAACCCATTCTATTATTTTTGATAATATTTCTTGTTTTCTGCAGCAAATTAAGGTATTGGATTCCAGAAAGCTGGAAGTTGTTATGCAGTCTGATAGAAGTAGACTTCAATTTGAGCTCCACGAGCTCAAGGCTAAGCTTGCGAAAGTTGTTGTGAAGGTAAATGTGATATGTAAGTTAATATGTGATGTCTATTTTTTTTGTGTGTATTCATTACGTGAACTCTGTTTCTCATCCTTTTTCTGGGTGACCTCTATTTGCAGGGAATAAATTCTATAGAACGTGCTATAATAATAAATGAAGCGAAGGAAAAGGATCCCAGTGGCAACAAAAAATTGAAGTTACTGGTAGAGGGGTGAGTTGATGCTTATTGTCTATCTCTGTTTCCTTTCCATGTGTTGTTACACTGAAACAGTTACTGGGGGATATATATCTAGCAACCCTTTATTTATTATTTATTATAATTTATAATGTGTTTAATTACTATAACAAAGTTATATCTGCACTGGTTTTGTCCTTCTCCTGACTTTCATGCTGATGCTTGATGGTGTTTTTGGTCGTGCACCACACTCAAACATGAAGGGCCATCAAGTCTTATAAGAATATTTGACTTTGTACAGTAAGATACATTTTTATTTATACCAAATTAAGCTTATGTCCATATCAACTGGACTTTTGGAAGTGGAAATAACATGCAACTGTGACGAAATATTAATTCAATACAAATCATAATAAATACTATTCTGGCATATCTATTGCATGCAAGTGTTGTAATTTATTCTCATTTTAGTATTGCAACTTCTACTAAATCTTATACATGTTGCCTTAAGTTTCTTACACCAGTCTCAAATTACTCATGTTACTCATGCGTGTATATATATGTATGTATGGCCGACACTTTATTGGAGTGCCAGACATATTCATAAAGGCCATAACATGTTCGTGTCCCATGTGATAAATCTAGAGCTGGCACCATCTCTATTCAATCTTTATTCTACATAACCACCATGAATAAGAAAAATTTCTCATATAATCATCCTTGCCAGAGGAAGATTAAGGAGATAGGTATTGTGGTGTGTAGTTATATGCGTGGTTGAGACATGGGAGGTATGGGAAGTCTTCTCTTTCGGAGAAGGAAGGGAGATCCGCGGACCTGGGAACCAAAGACCTAGACTTTGGCAATTTCTGAGAAGGTTTAATTAGAAAAGCTATTGACTGTTTTTGGCTGTATTCACCTTGCCAACTAGCTATCATATTCCTAAGAGTTCAAAATGTGCCATTAAAATTGCAGATAGATGCACGGTGATCGAAATTTATAAGTTCCAAGTAAAGATCACCAGTTTGTTGTTAGTGTATATATATATATATATATTGACTTCATTTATATTAACTTTTTGTAGACTTGTTAAAGAATAACACATCTGGTCAGCTAAATTTTTCAGTATAAGCTGATGTTTCAGGATACTCGTACTCTCATGTCGTGTCTACAAATTGATCATATCATCTTTTGATTAAGACAGCTGTATACAATCTATTGCATCCAAAATATCACATACGATGTAGATATTATTTATCGCAATATAATAACTTCTAGGGAGAAGTACCATGACACGCATAGCTGTATTATTATATCGGTAGTTGTTACTCATACTGCAATGTTTCTACATGCAGAACTGGTCTTTTGTCTGTCATGGGCATTGATGGAGTTGATGGCTGCAAAACAACGAGTAATCACATCTTAGAAGTACAGCAGACACTTGGAATTGAAGCTGCAAGACAGACAATTATTAGTGAGATAGAGTACACCATGTCAACCCACGGCATGACCATTGACATACGGCATATGATGCTTCTGGCAGATTTGATGACATTCAAGGTCATTTCATATACTTTTAATTCTAACCTTGTCTCTAGACACAACATAAAAAGTGTATTTCAGCCGTCTCACTTCTCGAAGAGTCTCGTCAAAATTCAACAGCCAAAGTTCTCCATCGTTGGCAAACTTCTAATAGCTACCATATGATTTTCTTTTTTTTTTCTTTTTTTTTTTGTTATTTATTTATCACCTTTGTGTTCAATCAATGCTTTTACAGGATATAAAAGTGCCAAATACTTATACAGTACGTAACAAATATATTTATGTGATAATGACTGTTAGAAGTTATGTTTGTCCGATAACGATTTGTTACTGGGTTGTTATTATGTATAAATGTTGGTTGGGCAACCACTACGTTTGATCTAGTTTTTTGGGATGAGTTCTACCAAGATTCATTTATTAAAAGCATTACTTGCGTATACCTGCGTGATAACGAGTGTTCTTTTTTTATGACGTTATTCTTAGTAAGCCACAAGGCCTACAGAACAGTGTAAAACAGTCTTCCATTCCATGTTTTCGCTTTTTCTCAACTGAATTGTGATGCCTTTCTTCACTTTTTGGAATTTCATGACTGAAACTTTCGTCCTGGGTTTTTCTTTGGGCATGTCATTGTATATACTTCCTTACTCATACTAATTTTAGCTGCCATTGTGGTGACTTTTTTCAGGGTGAGGTCTTGGGAATAACGAGATTTGGTGTACAGAAAATGAAGGATAGTGTCTTGATGCTTGCTTCGTTTGAGAAGACGGCAGATCACCTTTTTAATGCTTCTGTGAATGGGCGAGAGGATAAGATTGAAGGAGTTAGTGAGTGTATTATTATGGGAGTCCCAGTGCAAGTCGGCACAGGAATCCTTAAAATCAGGCAAAAGTAAGTTAAAATCTCGGCCAATTTATTTTGTAAACTTTTCGAATTCGCTCTTTACAATTGTTTCATGAACTGAACTCATTTATCTAAAATGCACTTGACTGATTTTTTTTTTTCCCCTAATAATGCAGCACACAACCCGTTAAATTGACTTACGGTCCAGATCCAATAATCCGCTGAAATTCGCAGAATGTACAGAAACTTGTGGTTCGTTTTTCTTTTGGCAGTTTTGAAACTCAGATTCCTAACGTCATAGTTACTGTGTTTGGGCTGAATATGCAATATTATTACACTTTGTAGATGCGTGAACATCGTGAAATTCTGTTTTTTCTGTATGAAATTAGCATGTGTAAGTGTAATTGAATTCATGCAGAGAAAAGATATTCTTTCCCCTTACATTCCATGTCCAAGTTAGACATATATATAAGAGAAGTTGATGGACTTGATTTAGGCCGAGTATTCAAACACGGATGGCTGTTTAGTGTTTACTGTTTAGCTTCGACAAATCTAAAAGAAAAGGAAATAGTTAACCTCGGCCCAGCCCACTAGGACTCATTGTTACGGTTTTCTGTATTTGGGCCCAAAAACTCAGCTGTGGCCCGTATAGAACATAATGACTTTCTGTTATAGTACCTTTCAAAGTAGGAAAAACTGGACCACTCAGACAGACAATAAAATGATAGTTTACCAATTCAGTACAAACAGAGCATTTAACAAAAGAATTGTATGTCCTTGAAAATTCACCTTTGTAGTACCGTCTACAAAGCTATATACAATAAAGCTGCTCGTCTGCTAAACTCAATGCATAGCCTACTTGATTACATTTTTTTCTTCACACTTACGAAGTTAATTTGTTTATGTTGATTGTGTAAATTTAATATAGAAGCTTAGTTGTTATAATGTCTTTACCATTATACCATAATGCTCTAATAATGACATAAATTAGCTACTTAAAAAGTACTTGTATTAGCTAGGACGTGCAAATTATGTATCTTTCATTGTGGCTTGTGTTAATTATCCTATTTTCTCCATTCTGCTACACTATTCGGGTTGGTCCTCGGATCATGATGTCCAAAATAATAAATAAGTAAATAAATCTAACTATAACAAAACCAATGGGAACTGTTCGTCATGGTTTTATCTTATCTTGTGATGGGTTTAGTTAAAATATCTTATCAGTTATCACAGAAATTAATGTACTTTTTTTTTTTTTTCGAAAACAGAAATTAATGTACATACTGTAGATATATATATATGTGCATGCATGCATCATCATTAAAAAGAAAGCTTTCTCAGTGTTATGTGATGATGAAATATTTGAGAATAGTTGTATGGACGATTGAGAAGACAGTTAAAAAGAGAGGCAGGTAAAATTTTGCAGTTTAACAAGTAACCATAATTAGTATCTGTAGCTATCTATACCCCTATTAAACACTCTGCACCAAAAGGCCCGAAATTCATGTGATTTTGTTTTGCTAAATCTTTTTCCCATGTCTTTCATAAATGTTGTATGTATATTATATTATATCAAGAGAGTACAGATCAAATGGGACTTCTGATTTTTTCTTTTGTACTTTTATCTCTTTCTGTATTGTTATACCCATAATCCCGTGTACTTCCCAATTATTTTTCATATTGAAATTTAGAGATTAAACGAGTCGGAGACGAGCTTCAATTTTTTATGCTCAAGCTAGGACTCGAGCTTCTATCAAGCCAACCCGAGTTTAGCTTGTTAGTTAAACTCAATTTTGGCTATTTCATTAATATTAAAGAGTAGAAATCGAGGATTACTAACAAGCCGAACATATTTAAAATATAGTAGAATTGCTTAAAATTCATGTTCTCTTATCTTAACGAGTCGAGCCAAATTAAAAAAATATATATATTATAAAATTACTTAAAATCCTATTCTCCAACCCAACTCAGTTTAGTAGCTAGATGAATTCAAGCTTAAGCCTTGAAAAGTCGAACTCACTAGTGATTTATTTCGTTTAATAACTCTAATTTAACTTTAATTGATGTGTAAGATACATAAAAACAAAATTACACATGGTTTTAGATTGCTCCACTACACACAACTCAAATGCTACATAAAATTAATTTGTCATATACAAGCAATTGAAATGACATATAATAATATGTAAGAACCTAGCTATGTGTAGGCTCGGTAGCTAGATAACATGCGAGTGATGAATTTATACTTGGTGAGTTGGCTGTTTTTCTTCTTGTCACACTCTCTGCCTGATGTGACATTAGACGAATTTAAGTTGCATACTTAAAGTACAAGTACTTATTCCTTCATTGAGTAGTTGAATAATCATATTATATCTACTTGTAAAATAGCTAAAGATGAAAATTGAAATTAATCAACTTTTTCTGTTTTTTGTTCTTTCAGTGCAGTGACTAGTAAACAAGAAGCTACTATTGTATAAGTAAAAACTAAAAAGTCAATGTTTCTCAGACACTACGACTACAACCATATTTTCATTGCAACTTATAAATTGATAGCCATAATCAGTTCAAGATATATAAAATTCTATTATCAATAATTATCCTTTGTTTTGTCATTGAAAATAATATTGTAACTCCTAAAAACCTAATACAAATCAATGATTGTCGATTTCTTAAAATTAAGAACAATATGAATCCTAGGTATAAATATATAATATAAAAGGACATTAAACATGAATCCCCACAAGGATAGTAGGTTTGGTCATCATGGAATTACCAAGAGGGGCCTCTCTCTTTTTTTTTTGGTTGGGATTTGGTCCCTCCTTTCATTGCTAACCAAAACAGAGAGTACAATCTGTCCATCATATAATCTTTACTTTCCCATTTTAACCCACTGAATAGCTCTACTCAACTCCACTTCCCTAGAAAACATGATCATGACTACAACATACGTCCAAAAACAATCAAGCAATATAAAAAAATACAATATTTCAACGGCCAAATTTTACGGAAAATGAATGAATGTACTGTACATAACACTCACATGGAGTGGAGTTTATTTAATTTTTTATTTTTAGTGGGTCTCACTCAATGTTAGTATTATGTAAATCTCTATGTACATCTCTATGTACCTATAGCACTTTCCAAATTTTACCTTATTAAAACTAAAATATTCTATTGGAACTATGTTTCTATTTATTTGATTTTTAAGTTGGAATTTGCATCGGATTATTGCTATAGAAATTTTCATTGGATTTTTTTCTGAGTCGTATTTGAACCGTTGAAAAATCTGACGGTGGAACCATGAAAACTCGATGAAAATTTTAATGGAAACTAATTCCAACGAAATATTTTTGTTTGCATTTGTTGAAAAATTTCTATGGAATTAATGACATAAGAATACTTGTTGAAATTGCCGTTGGAATATATTTTCGTTCAAATTTCATATTTTTCTTGTAGTGTATGCAAATATTATTATTAGACATACAAAAATAGTGAAGTTTTTCACATTTTTGCATATTATTTGGATCAATGGTACTCAAATTAACAGCTGTATAAACCTTCCTGATTGGAGTTTTGCTTGTCTTATTTTAATTTTCTTACTATAATTAAGAAATAACTTTTGAAGTGATAAAAGTTTTCTTGAAAAGGCACTGTAATAAGATCATAAAAAGGCACAAGAGGTTCATTAATTAGTTGCACTTCTTTTAATTGATTTTGGTATCTAAATTTAGGAAGTGTAGTGATGTAGCAATATCTCCATAGGATTAGAGCTAAATTGAATAGTAATAAAAGTAGCATGAGTAGTATAATATATTAATATCACATGTCAACAATCTTAATGTTTCTAAGCATACACAATTCTAATGTGAGACAATATAACCACATCTCAATTATTACATATGTATTTATACTTATGTTCTAAAAATCGATTTAGGGGCTATAGGTGGCACCAAAAACGCCACGATTTTAATATAAACGGTCATTTTGACCGCTTAAACGAGTAGACGATGTTTAAATGCTCAGTGTGATTGGATATCAGCACAATTAAAAAAAAACAATCAAAATTTAAATTTAACTCAACTTTAAACCCAACTCAATTATCCTCAATATTATTAATATAATTAAATAATATCAATCAATCATTTTTAAACTTCAAATCAACTTTAATTCACTATTTATATACTCACATAATTTTAATTACATATCACGTCCAATCATTTTTTTCCTAATTTTTCATCAAATCAAGTCTAATCATTTTATTTTAAATATTATTTTAATACGAACTCAAAATCCCACTCAAACTTAACTCAACCAACCACTTTATGAGAATCAACTACAGTTAACAAAAAAACACAAAGAAAACCAATAAAATCCATATCATGTCACACCCTAAATCCACAATTAATCTCTCCCCCTATATATATGTTACCACATCATCACTTAAAAGACTTGTCAACCACCACACATCACAAAAGACTCCACACATTTTGAAACCCTAAAATCAAATATCAAAACTCCGTATATCCATGGACTCCTCTTCAACTTCAAACCCTACTTCTTGCACGACTACGTCAGCACACACCGCTGTGAAGCAAAATAAGACAAAGAAGAAGAGTAGTGGGGCAGTCATGAGGCTGTCGACGGACCCACAAAGCGTGGCGGCCAGGCAGCGGCGCCACCGCATAAGTGACCGTTTCAAAATTCTGCAGAGCCTTGTGCCCGGCGGCTCGAAGCTCGACACGGCTTCCATGCTTGAACAAGCCATACAATATGTCAAGTTTCTGCAGGCTCAGATTTGGCTCCACCAAGCCATGATAAGCATAGCTGGAGCCGATGCAGCTGCGTCGGCTAATAATAATAATAATAATAACGATTACTTGGCTGATAATAAGCTGGAGATCAAGGAGTTAGGAGGATGGCCATCAGGTGATGCCAATAACAATATTGGTGGGCCCTTTTGATATTTATGTGTGTGTGTCAAGGGGCTCATCCGTAATTAAATTTACTACTAAGCTTTTGTGTTTTCAAGTCTTCATGTGTGCGTGTCAACAACATCCTCCTCTATTTGGACTAATCAGACTGTATTTTGTTTACCTAATTTTCTGAGTTACTTATTTCACAAATGAAATGAAAGGTCCCGTAGCTCAGTTGGTTAGAGCGTTGGTCTTATGAGCCGAAGGTCGCGGGTTCGAGCCCCGCCGGGACCATTTTTTATTACTTTTTTTTTTTTTACATCTTTGATGGGTATTTTGTTATAAAATTATTTGCATGTTTTGAATAAATAATAATAAAACAGATATACAGAACCCTCGACTTGACAGGATACCGAGAACAAAATGTGAAAATTTCAAGACCAACCTCAGAAACCCAAAGAAAAATTTCATGACACAATTCATCCCCATTATATTCTCATAACCATCACTCGATCTTCAAACGAATACACCTTCTGAATTCGTACCCGGAAAAATCATCTTCAACAACCGATTGAATTTACCTTCTAATCCAAGTAAAGCCTATGCGAACAAAGTTTTTGAATGTAGTCGAGCAGTCAAAAAAAAGGCTACAATTGTGACTTTTTTAAGACGCAAGCTATCATCAGATGCAACATGTCCAAATGCTTGCTACCAAACAGTCACTATAAATGCGCATAAACAAAAATATGCTGCTACACTATGAAAGCTACTAACTATATTGCTCACAATCCACACACATGGAGAAACTCAGTCATAAGAGAAATGAAACACACATAAGAATTCCAGCACATTTGGTCCCGGGCTTTGTTTTCTTCCGAGCCTCTCGAATCACATGATTTCGTCGTATTCAGAGTAAACCTGCAAAAGCCCTGGATTTCCCACAAAGTTCTCAGCCGAAAACGTCTGGAATTGGGAACCCGAGCATGTTGTACGAAAAACGAGAGAAAACTGCAAGCTCGTTCGCTACACCTCAAGAACTTGACGGTAAGCTGATGAGGCTATTGCTTGCAACAGATAAAAATATGGCGAAGTTGCCTATATCGATTGGAATTCTGCTTGTAAATACGTCGTTTGAGTAAACCTAGGTAAACAGCTCATCATCGGGAGCTCACCTCTCAACACATTCGAGCACAAGTCAACAACGCTTATAGAAGGGGAGATGCAGAGTGGCCTTTGGAAATACAGTAAAAGATTGTCAAATCCAACTAGGGATTTCATAAAATTATTTGAGAGGTCCAAAAATGTCATTTTGGATTGGTTGAACAAATTGCACAAAGCAAGATTTAATCTTCTTAGCTAGGGCAAACTCCAACCGATGCTTGCATCAACTGTCAAGTTGTTGTATCCGAGCTCAAGCCACAATCGAACCTTAACGAGCCCAACTATAAAAACTTACATAAAATTAATCTTTTCGAGCTTTGGCTTTAAATAAACTCGAACTAGAACTCGGCTCGTTTATCAAATAAGCCAAGCCCAACTCGAGCCTTAACGAGCCGAGTTCATGAGCACCTCGTTTAATTTAACAGCTCTACGTCTATGCTCGATTTAGCTTACACAAAATAGATACAAAGTTAGCTTATCAACTCCAACCTATGACAACATAAATATCCCCATTCAAAACCTTTCAATCAAATATCATCACAATTAAAAAGACATTCTTTGGAAAAGATTGGATTCAAATCAATTTCCGGGGACATCCGAAAGATGGATCCACACACATACACATTTTACAATTTCAAACAAATAACACACCATTTCACAACAAAAATTGGAAAGACCAAAAGTAAAATATAAAGTGAAGACCATAAAAGAAAAAGAAAATTTTATTCTTTCATAAATCATAAGATTAACCGATAAACAGCTGATCCACAAAATGTAGTTCTGAAAATTAGGAACTCGCTATTACATATTGAGAGTTCACAAAACAGAATGCGTTACAACGGAAAATTCATTGCCCTATTACTTGGATCTCTGCCTCATCTTTCTGCGCTTCCTCTTCAACCTCCTCATACGCTTCTTCTTCCACTGCAAAATCCCATGAAAAGAACAGAAAAGATAGAGACATAGAGAAAGAGATTGAGCTCAATCTAATGCAATAATAATCGTAAATAATCAAATGAAGGATCAAATCGATATACTTTACCTTGGCCCTCATTGGTGAAACAGAAGCTCCGATGAACGAATGCCCCCAAGGCTGGAAATGAGATAGGGATGAAGATGATGAGTATTGACTAAAACCCTAGGATCCAACTCATATATAAGCAGGCTTTTGGGCATAAGGGATGGACCTGAGTTGATTTGGGCTTGTTAAGGAATATGTAATTTAATGGGCTTAGCTTTATTATAGATCCAAGTCCTAAACTATTATTCAACCGTGATCAACTCACAATTGTGCATATCATGATCCGACTTGTTGCAGCACGGTGTATCCGTGTGGTGTGTTGATTCTATGGTTCGAAAAGTAGTGAATTTTCCATGCTTATCTTGATGAAATTTAGGTGTTCATAGCATACTATTTTATGTGTACTCATTCAAAATATAATTGGTCTTTATTATAGTCAGGTAAAAACAATAGTTTCTCACCTCAACTGGAGTTTGTATTTAAACCGTTTTGCTTCTCATGCTACTCTTTTAACATTCTCTACACTACTGAGAATCTTGGCAAAAACTACCATCCATTTCATAAGACATGCAAGTCAAGATCAAGATTATACCCAAAAAGCTTCCATCAATTCTCACAACACCATAATGTATTTCTTTGGTACCCAATGCTTGTCAACCCTCATTTTTTCGGTTGTCTCAATCCAGTGATTCGGCCCAATCTTTGTCAACTTTGGCGGGCATTTAGACCGAAAACGATCACAACAATGGCCAATTACGGAAAGATGTGAAATTGACCAGAAAACAACCGCCGCAGGCTTATGGCCAATTTCCTTTTGCTAATTAACACCAACAATGTCACATAAGGTAATTTTAAATACTCCAATTTTCCCTACTTCTAGCTGCATTAGCCTCAGGATGAAAGCACACCAATTGTATTGGAATTTTATGTAATTTTCATATATTTTACTCATCTCCACATTTGATTGTTCAATGGCCGCCTAGATAATAACTTTTAAAGAGGAAATTTCGCCTTTACAAAATCGACGATATAAAAAAAGAATCAACAAGTGCTGTGTAGAGAACACACATATCCAAAGTATATTTCAAGTTAAGGATTCACATTCCAGGACTTCAATCTACCAAACGACACTGGGCCGGCCAAAATTTCATGATTTAACAACAAATTTCAATTTTCTCATTCTTAAGCAGCTGAGTCCATAGGCTCGGCATCAGCACCAGCATCCTCTGACTTGTCTGCTTTCTTACCTGCACAAACATTATGCAGCAGCAGCAAGAGTTTTAGTTTTCAGAACTTTTCCAGTTTTTCCTAGTACAAACTAATTTTGGTACTTCTCCAGGATTTGGTCAAGTTTTGGGATTTTTCGGTTCAAGGCATTACTTATACCTCATCAGTCACCAACTGATAATTAAAAATAGATTCAAAGCGACCCTCAGAATTCAAAATTACCTTTCTTCTTTTTGCCACCTCCCTTCTTCTTTGTCTTCGTGGGCAGTGCTAACCAGGCCTTGATCTCAGTATCCTCAACTGTTTTCGTAGGTTGCAGGTCTTGTAGAGGATGAGACGTGATCCGATCCGATCCGTTAGGCATTAGCAATACCGTGAACTTAATGTGTGCAACCAGGTCACCTATATACATGCATAGTTAGGCTTCATCGTGAGGAACTATGAATATTAAAAGGTTTCTATTTATTTACAAGGATTATTAAAATCTGGGATACTGCTGATGGGAATAAATAAGGGCAAGTTGCAACACTGTGTTTTATTTGAAATTAGACATCGACTCGGAGATAAAACTTCTAATCAAGAATTACAATCGTGCGTCATACCAGGCTTCTCATGAAGTACAGGATATGGCTGTAGAAGTTCGTGATTAACACATTCTAGTAAACCCAAACGAGCGCGCTTATCTTCCAGGGCCCTGTTTAGCTGTTACGTTAGCATAAATGGGAAAGATATCTCCATATTCAGTAGAGAAAGCTGGATCAAGTGTAGAATATAACAAACCTGGCGGTGAAAGGCATGACAGGGAACTTCTGACTAATCTCACTAAATATGAACCGAGATGCCTTTATCTTTAGGTGATAATTCTTGTCGACAGCTCTTTTATATATTGTTGTCTGTTTCTCGTCCAACAACTTTGGCTGCAAGTTTCATTAAAGAAACAAATATACAGTATCAAAACCACATAATTTATCAATTGAAATGTGAGCATGAAAACTACCACGCCATGTAATTAATTACCTTGCCTTCACCAGTACTCGTAACAATGTCAATGGAATAAACTTCATTTTCCTCGAATTCTGCTTCATCAACTCTCGTTTCGGGGCCCGACGCACTCAATACAACTTTGTTTCCATCAATCACAAACTGTTTCATCTGATGACTTAGAACTCCTTCAACAATCTTGCAGTCGTAAGCAGCAGCAACTTTCTGGATTGCTTCCGTCACATCTTTATTCTGCCATTATTCAGGAAGAAAATAACTAAACTAAAATCTAAAAGCACAACTTCCAATTAACTCACCTAATCAAAGTCTAAAACTGTTGGGCAATGATAGGTTATAGTGTACAATTAAATTGGTATATCGGCTTTGCAAGATAATGAGAATGACAGCATGCAATGAATCCCAAGTAAGAAATATGCAGCCATAGAAGTATTGGCAACAGGGAAAGGAGGAAATCAATAGCACCATTGATCACCTCGGCAAAGTTGCCTTTTCACTCCAAACAAGTTTTCAGAAGAAAAGAAAATGCAAATTCCAACACGCCTTAGAAAAGGGAACATGAATCTCCATCAGTGTAACTATGACTATAAAAGCACTCACTGGATATAACCATCGCTTATCAAAGTGATCATCATTTAGAGAATCATGCTTTTCCTCGAAACATTGCATTTGTATCTCTTTTTAAGTCATATTTGATTTAAGATTCAGGTGGTCCGGGCAAAACAGGATTCCGATACCATGAACCCAGCATACACAACAATCGGTAATAAACTAATGCTAAGAATCGAGAAGTTTTAAGTAACTCGGTAAATTGTTAGCCGACAGAAAGGGTGGCCGCAATCGGAACTTCACCACCCAATTTATCTGCATAGGCCAAAACCATTATAGGCAACAGGGAAAAAGAGGAGATCAACAAGGATTTGATCACCTCGGCAAAGTTGCCTGCCAAGGAAAACAAAAAATGAAAAAGAAAAAAAAAAAAAGGGAATGCAACCAACAACGTGTTTCATAGTAGCAGCAGCTGAAGAGCTGAAACCAAATTAACATCAGGACTGGTAAACAAATCCCAATAGCTAATAACATTGTATAAATAACCAAATTTATTTTGATCCCCTATCAGAGTAACTATGACTATAGCATCATATGGATATCAACCCATAGCTCATACACATGTTCATCATATAGGGGGCATGAACTCTGAGTGCTAGAGAAGAAGAATGCACATTTTATCCAAGTTACACAAAAACAAAAAGAACCCCTTCGAAACAAATAATCAGGGAGAAGCAATCAAAGGAAAATACCTTCTTCCCAGGCCGCACGAGCCTCAAGGCAACCTCAGCTGCAGTATTTGCAGCAGCAATAACATCGGCTGCTCTGCCTGTGATAGGTCCTTGCTCAGACTGAACTACATGAGTATGAGCAACTACAGCAATAAACCCATCTATGTGACACCCCATGTCACTGCAAAAGGACCAAAGAGTAAACAAATAAGCCAACTCATCAGATATCCACTGGCCAGAATTTCTGGAAACACATATTACCGCATTCATACTTGCACTTGTGTTAACAAAAAACTCTCATACTCTAATTATCTCCATCTAAAAGCACAACAGATTAGAGACGTGCATTTATGAACACAAATGCTTACATTTTCAGAACATCGCCAGCCCCAATCTTAGTAGTATCATCTTTGGCAGGCGAAAAATGGCAGACAGTGTTGTTTACAGATATGCAAGTTGGGAAAGCAACACCTCTTTCAATCTTCTTCTTTACATTCTTGTACATGTTCCCAGCCTGACTGAATATGGTAAGACAGAGATTAATAAGGTGAGCAGCTAACAGAACTACTGCCATTACAACCTTTGGGATTATAATTTCTCACGAATCAAAATAGATTACTCACTCTCTGATGAAAGTATCGCCTTTCTCACAGAGGTCAACAACCAAAGCTCCCTCCCTACATTCGGACACCACCAATTGAAGTGCCTCTGCATAATTTCAACAATACTTTCTTACAAATTTCAGCTACATAAATCTCAAACGAGGAAAATATCAAGCATCAGCAAAATTCATTCAGAAATAAGAAATGGAAAAACAAAAACTAACTGTTGACAATCTCTGCGGCGGATTTATACTTGGTGACAACCTCTGGAGAGGAGAGATCCAGCTCCCTCTCTTCCCTCTCCTCATCCGACATTGTTCAAACCTTCATTAACAAAAAAACAGCAAAATTGTCGACTGGTATCCAGGCAAAACATGTAAAAATGAAAACGGATTATAACACTGAAGAATTGAGCAAAAACCCATAAGAAAACGCACCTATTCAAGCTTCAATCCTCCAAGTTTTGATATAGAGATGGAAAATGAGGGTTTATCAGAAATGAATTAGAATTTGAGGTGCCTCCGTTAAGAAAATGAGCTGTGTGCGTTATATAATGTGATCCTCTGTGTGTTTGGGGTTAGGGTTTTTGGCCATTCCCCAAAATCAGAAAAAATAAAAAGGAAATAATTATTCAAAAACGTTTTCTAAAAATTGATCAGTAGAGCGATTTCCTGAATCATGAAAAAGGATTTTCTCGAGAGTATTAATAGGGAAGCCCAGTCTTAAAACTATGGACTTGGATACAATGAAAGCCCAACTAGTATTACATGAAGTACTCAATATTATAAGTTATTCGGCCCAATATGCTCCCGGAGAATTGGTCAAAGTCTTCGCCGAATCTCGAGTGTAGTACAGTTTGTTGGCAGTCTATCTCATTTAGAGTTTACTTTATAATTATTTTAGCTATAGATCGACGACTTCAATTCCATTGATATTATTAGTTCATACTTGTGGCATATATAATAGATAACTTTATACAATGTGATCCTCAAATTGCTATATATAATAAATGTAATAGAAATATTCTATCAAGGTTTTGGTATTTCCCCCATTACATTATCATTTAAGGCTTAAATTTCTCATCATTTGATGAAACCAATTTAACTAATAAAAGGAAATCACATTTACGTGAGAGAATCTATCAACTTGTTCGAAAAAACACTTTTCAAGTGGGATTTTGAGAGTGTTAAATAATTAGTTATTTGGTGAATAAATTAGTTCTTTAAGAAGTCCTTTACAAAAAATTAAAAGAATATGTGATCTTTCGAGAAGTCAAATTTTGCAAAAGTATTTGTACGCTCAAGGTTACATTCATGAGCATCAGTCAAAGTCTAAATGCTAATGTGGATTCTATTTTAAACATGAATAAAATAGTAACTTAAGAAGAAAATATATGAAAGGAAGAATGATAACCCTTGTGATGATCAAAACAAAAATGACCTAACATACAAACAAAAACATAAAACCCAAATCTTGGTCAATGAAAATAATTACAGCCTCAAATTTATGTGAAGCTCACGTGGTCAACTTCTTAAATGAGCAATCCCCCTTGGACCATTTCACACACACACACACACTTGAAAACCATTGTATTAACATATTTTCTATTCACATAATGCTCCTCAACAACCACATGAATCAAATCAAAAAACAAATTGCCAAAATAATAATAATAATAAAAAAAAAAAAGTCAAAACTCTCAACACACAAATCACTTAACTAAAACTACACAGCTACATGACAGATTGACAGATCAGAGTACATGTAAGTGATAACCCATTAATCCAAAGCTCCAAAAAACCATGCCTCAAAATCTCTCTTCAGAACCAATTTTCCCTCTCTTTCTCCTATGCCTCATTCTAACTATTCTGCACACTCACCTCACCACAGCACAACCCCCTACAGCCCCCATCTCGAGGCCGAACTGCCCGAGCCAATGCGGGCAGCTGACCGTGCCCTACCCGTTTGGCATCGGGCTCGGGTCGGGTTGTGCTCTGGACCGCGGGTTCGAAGTCAACTGCAACTCCTCGTTCGACCCGCCTAGACCCTTCATATCCACGGGCAATCTCCAGATCGTTGATATCGACAATGAAACGGTTCGGATCATGAACTGGGTGGCTGCCACGTGTTATGGCCAGGCTGGCACCGTGACACGTCAGAATCGAGCCTCGATCAACCTCATCACAACGCCTTACGTATTTTCCGACCGGAACAGGTTTACAGTAATCGGCTGTGACGAGTTTGCCCTCATAGCTGGGCGCGACGGTCGTAATTTTACGAGTGGCTGTGTTTCATTGTGTTCCAACAGCCAAGACTTGATTGAAGGTGGAAAATTAATTAATAATTACTAGTACATTGTCTAGTTGACTAGTTGCTAATTTTATTTTTTTTATAATTTATTTAGCAAAGTCATTTTTTGAGATTTGGTAAGATTTTTATGTTGATTGGATTTTGCCTGGATTTTTGTTAAACATGCATATTGATGTCACAATTTTGTTTATATTTTTCAATAGTATGACATTTCAGTTCAAAAGTACGATTTTTTACTGAATGTGACAAACAATTCTATGTTGTGTTACATGATTGAATTTGAATTTTCAGGTGATTGTTCTGGCATAGGATGCTGCCAAACAGCCATCCCAAGAGGTCTGAAGAATTTCAATGCCAACGTTGGAACGTTAAACAGTCACATAAACATTTGGTCCTTCAACCCGTGTGGCTATGCCTTTCTGGGTGACCCAAACCTATACGAATTCAACCCCACGGACGTAAACGACACCGGTTTCCAAAACAGGACAATCGAGCGCGTGCCCGTAGTTCTCGAGTGGGCAATTGGTGCTCAAAATTGTAGTGAAGCTATGAGTTCAAACGGTTATGCTTGCCTCCAAAATACTCGATGTGTAGATTCCGAGACAGGGCTCGGAGGATACAGATGCAGCTGCTTGGAAGGATATCAAGGGAATCCATATCTTAGTCCTGGCTGCATGGGTATTCTGTTTGTATATTCTTATAGTCCTTTGGGATAAACAAATAAACCCAACATTCGACTTTGGTAAATAAAACGGCGTTTTGGTTTTGTTTTGCAGATATAAACGAGTGTGCGAACAATCCTTGTGCTGATAACGGGATTTGCACGAATACTCAAGGCGGGTTTAACTGTACTTGCAGCAGAGGATTTTTCGGTGATGGCACGAGAGAAGGCCGTGGCTGCATTGCCGACAACTCCCGATTTCCAGTTACCAAGCTGGCATTAGGTTTACTCTTAAATCTTAAGGCTTTAGGTTATGTTTGGTAAAATTAGCTGATAAGCTAGCTTTTAGTCTAATTGTTGCACTTCTTGAATGATGTTTCAACTCTCTACAGGCACGAGTTTCGGTTTTCTGGCCTTGGTAATAGCCTCAACCATACTTTACTTCAGCGTCAAGAAACGCAAACTCATCAAGCTAAGAGAGAAATACTTCAAACAAAACGGCGGCCTCTTACTACAGCAGCAGCTGAACTCGGACGAGCACACCACGAAATCCACGAAAATCTTCACAGCCGACGAGCTCGAGAAAGCCACGAAAAACTACTCGAACGAACGGGTTCTGGGTCGGGGCGGGTACGGGACCGTCTACAAGGGCATCCTAACGGGCCAACAACAGCAACAAGTGGTGGCCATCAAGAAGTCGCGGGTCATGGACAAGGCCCAAATCGAGCAGTTCATCAACGAGGTCGTGATATTGACCCAAGTCAACCACCGTAACGTCGTGAAGCTGCTAGGGTGCTGCCTCGAAACCGAGGTCCCATTGTTGGTATACGAGTACGTGTCTAACGGCACGCTTTTTGATCATATTGAGAAAAGTGGGAACATGCCGTGGTTCTCGTGGGATAATCGGTTGAGGATTGCGGCCGAGGCAGCTGGGGCTTTGGCCTATTTACACTCGTCGGCAGCTAAGCCAGTTATACACAGGGACGTGAAGTCGCCGAATATTTTGCTGGACGAATATTATACGGCTAAGATCTCGGATTTTGGGGCCTCGAGGTTGGTCCCGATTGATCAAGCTCAGGTCTCAACTTTGGTGCAAGGTAAAGGCTTCTTTTTTGAGTCCTATCAAGTTTTGATCAATTGGCTTTTTTGTGTGCTGCTGTTTCCATTTTTTCACTTGTGTTTGAAAAATTGCAACTGATAGAAGTTGATCTTGATTGCACAAAAGTTATTATCCCTTTTAGCCATCCCCATTTTCCTTAATCAGTATCTTGATTCTTGATTTTAAGCCAATATGCACATAAGTTAATCCCTTATAGCTATCTACATTTTCCTTCTTGATTTCAACTCGATCTGCACAAAAAGTTATCCCCTTTTACCCATCTACATTTCCCTCCAACAAAATGGCATCTACATTTCCCTCCAACAAAATGGCCATTACGAACGAAAAAATCAGCAACCAACGGACCCTCGTTTTCTCCTTTGGAAACAGGAACCTTAGGCTACCTCGACCCCGAGTACTTCCACACGAGCCAGCTCACCGAAAAGAGCGATGTCTACAGCTTTGGTGTCGTCCTAGCCGAGCTCATGACCGGAAGAAAGCCCCTCGACAGCACCAAAAACGACGACGAAAAATGCCTTTCGACTTTTTTCGTAACCTCCCTAAAAGAGGATCGACTCTATCAGATCGTGGACCCGAGGGTTCTAAGGGAAGGTAGCCTCGAGCAAATCAAGGCCGTGGGTGACCTCGTCAGAAGCTGCCTGAGGCTGCTGGGAGACGATAGGCCGACAATGAAAGAGGTCGTCATGAAGCTCGAAGGTTTCAGGAAGATCAGTAGGCATCCTTGGGCCGGCCCAGATGTCGATCAACAAGAAGCTCACGGGCTTATCAACGAGCATTCGGACTTGTACGCTGTCCACATGGATTCCGGCTCTTATCCTATCAACGGGCCTCCTTGAGAAACGAAGGAAGAAAAGCTCGGTTTTTCGATTCTTTTGCAAGCTGTACATTTTATTGCTCTACTTGTTCTGTTATCTGCAACTTCATTCATTGTAAGCAAGATTTCAACTTGCAACAGTTTGCTTGAACGCACATTTGTTTGTCATTGTTGTTATAAAGTTTGTAATGGCAAGATTTCAACTTCCATAAGTTGGGGCGTATTGTTTGTAGTGTGAGAATTTTCAACTAGTGAGCTTGTTATAAATTAAGTGCACTTCCATCAATTTGTTCTGAATTTTGTTTGAACCTCTTTTTGGTGTAGTGTCTTACCTAAGAGAGTTGACCAGTTGTATTGCAATCATATACCAACCAATGAGTTACGTTACATATTAATGGAGGAGAGGAGATACATTATTATTATAAAATTTTGAAACCATTTTGAGATAGTGTTCAAGTTTAAAAAGAAGACGTTGCACCTCCCACAGTATGCATGACTAAGCAAGTGCGTGTCACCATGGGCGCCTCTTTTCATATCCTTCCGCCACGTCCTCACCGATCACGCACACGTGTCACCAAAATTCCACTTCCAGGCACCAGTATATATCCAACACCCACGTTAATTAATTAGAGCTCACTTGTATAATAGCTTGCGGAACTTATTACATAATAATAATCCTCTCAATAAAATAAAGAAACAAAAAAAATGGCATCACAACAACAACAGCGAGAGAAACTGGACGCCAGGGCCAAGCAAGGCGAGACGGTGGTCCCCGGCGGAACCGGAGGCAAGAGCCTCGAAGCCCAGGAGCACCTAGCTGAAGGTATATATATATTTTAATTTTTCATGATTTTATATAATAATCAAACAAAACCCAATTAAACACAATTTAATTTCAAAAGTCGAAATCAACACTCATCTAATTGATGAAAATTGTAATTCTGTGTGAATTAATAATAATAATAATAATAGAAAATTGGGTAATTAATTGTACGAAAGTGCAGGGAGGAGCCGAGGAGGGCAGACGAGGCGGGAACAGCTGGGGACGGAGGGTTACCAAGAGATGGGGAGTAAAGGCGGGCAAACCCGAAAGGAACAGCTGGGGAAAGAAGGGTATCAAGAGATGGGCCGTAAGGGTGGGCTTAGCACCATGGAAAAGTCCGGTGGCGAACGTGCGGCCGAGGAGGGGATCGAGATTGACGAGTCCAAGTTCAAAACTTCCTCTTAATTGTGGCAATGTATGATGATACGAATGTGTAGAGTCTTTCTACATGATCAACCAAGGGTTTTTTTTATCAATAAGGAGATGGGAATTATGTGGTGTTTATAGGTTCATGTGATGTATGTTGTGGTCGTTTCTCTATGTACATGTAGCTTTTAATAACAATGGTCTCTTGTAATATATACTAGCTTTGTCACTACCTATGTGATGTGGGTTGGCTGGGAGAATATAATTTTCTCTTCTTTTTTTTTTTTAATTGTTTTTTGAGTTGGGTTAATTTGGGTAATTGAATTGGGCTACTACCGTTGTGTGTTGAATTCGTAATGAGTTGATTGAGCAGGCCCAGAAGAGTGTGTTAGACTGTTATAGTTCACCTATCTAGTGTAGGTAAAAAGTGGGGAACCAAATGGTTCTAATTAAATTTGGGGTCGCTTCGAGGTTGTTGTGAAACGGGAACAATACGAATTAAAGACGATAAAGTAAATGACACAAGATTTACGTGGTTCGGCAATATGCCTACGTTCACGGCGGAGCAGAGATCTTATTATTCACGATATATCAAATACATCAATACACCATGTATTTATATCATATCCCTACAAGGTATAAATTTACATAAATACCCCGTACCGTACCGCGGGGGCGAAGCCCCCGCACCCCCGGCCCAACTAATCGACCCAGCCCCACAAAGGGTCCGCTTCCCTCGCTACGCTCGCTCCGCTCCGCTCGCAGGCATCGGCCTGCCTCCTTCCTTTGTCAATATATGAGCCATATCTCTCCACCTTGGCGAATATATCACCTCCTTAGGAGAACACAATAGCGAGCAACTATGCGAGACACACCAAGCAGGTCGGGGGTACCATGCAACTCTAGCATGCAGAAACATTCAACAAATCCAAACAATGTTTGAATTTGTCATAAGTAACAACCTTAGTCCACATATCAGCAGCATTCTCTTCAGTACGAACTTTCTCCAACTGAATATCCCCAGAAGCAATCCATTCCCTAATCTTGTGGAACCTCACATCAATATGCTTCGTCCTAGCATGATATACTTGATTCTTAGCCAAATAAATAGCACTCTGACTGTCACAATATAATAGAACTCCACCTTGCTGAATACCCAACTCTCTAACCAATCCAGCAAGCCACACTGCTTCCTTTGCCGCTTCAGCCAAAGCAATATACTCAGCTTCAGTTGTAGATAGAGCAACTCCGCTCGCAGGCATCGGCCTGCCTCCTTCCTTTGTCAATATATGAGCCATATCAACAGAGGTCCCTGTTAAGACTATTTATTTGTTAAGTTTAACCTTTTTATTTATTTATAGTTTATAGTTTATAGCTGAAAAATTGAATAGTTTATAATTGAAAAGTTAGTTTATATGATAAAAGTTTAAATTTGATAGTTTATAACTGAAAAGTTAGTAATTTTTCACATGATAAAAGTGTAGTAAAATTAGTCAGTTGAAATATAAACTTTAACGAGTTTATTTGAAAAATTACTATCAAAGAAGCTTCGAGTTTTTTTACAACGTTTGTCTTACATGAAGTTTATTTAAACACGAAGCTTATAAGTTTAGTTAAATAAACTATAAGGGTGTAAACGGGTTGCCAATGTGCTTGAATTTAACTATTCTACTCATTAACTCTTCAACTTGGTGGCAACCTAATAGAGTTTGAGTTGTTTTCTTGAGCGAATGAGGTTCATTGTGCTTGAATTTAACTATTTGACTCATTAACTCTTCAACTCTGTGGCAACCTAATAGAATTTGAGTTGTTTGTTTCCTGAGTTAATGTGGTCCAATTGACTACTTGGCAACTTCAATAAATGAGCTTGGATAAGAGTTTGAGTTGCGAATGAATGAGTTGGTTGTTCGATAAGAGTTTGAGTTGCGAATGATGTTGAATTCGAATTTGATTCGTTAACTCTTTATAAATGAGTTCAAATTTTAACATTTTAATCAATGGCCAAATAAATAGTTTGAATTTGGCAAGACTCTTTATAAATGAGTTCAAATTGTAACATTTTAATCAAATGGCCAAATACATAGTTTGAATTTGACAATTTGGGAGCGGTGAGTTGCTGAGTTCGAATTTGACTCATTAACTCTTTATAAATGAATCACAAAAATATTAATTAAAAATAAAAATTAAGCTAAAATTATTTATGTAATTGTAGTGATATACATAAAACCAATTTTAGATTTTTAACTTTACAATTTTGTTTTGTGTCTTCATAATTTATTAGTTGCAAATGTAATTGGTAACTTAAATTTCGGCCATAAACATTTATACTGATAATTTAGAAAATGACTAATGAAAAATAAAGATATTGTCAGAGAAAACCAGTTGATAGATATATAATGCAGTGCAGAATGAAAAATTTCATCATCAATAATAATTAATTCTCTTAATAATCATTCATTCTCTTTTTATTTTGTATTATTGAATTTAAATTTCATATACGAGTAAAAAATACTAGTTTAAAACATATTATTTTCTATATTTTACAAGTTTCTCTAAATTAATGAACAATTATATCTACTAAACTGCCACCAAAAAGAAATAAGGCAACTCGTAAATAAAAATAAAACAATGGCAAGATAATAAAGTGGCAGGTCACACTTCACCAGGCAAAACAAGGCAGGCCCCTTTTGGCTCTTGGTGCATTCTATGCTGATTATTTAGTGTTGTCACAGCTGTCACCATTGTCTTCTCTTCATTCTTCAATAATTAGTGTCATTTTTGGCACAAGTTAAAGTGTGTGCATAGTGTATTTCAACACACCAACTGAATTATGCTAAATTCTAATTTGACACAATCTTTTGATACTAAAGATGACATAAATGATGTGTAAATATAGGAAATGTTGATTTAAAGTTGTATATTGTGTTAAACTTTATATCAACCATTATATTATATTGTAACATGATCTTACAAGACACACGAATTGAGGAGTGTTCGAATAAATCGACCAAAAAAATTTTGGTCGACATATACATTTCTACATAAAATTGATAATCATCGAATTGAAGATTGTGTGAGAAATAAGATAACATGAGTTTCTATGCATTAATGCCGTATTCTCAAGGAAGTATATTGAATTACATGGAATATTTGAGAGCCTATTACGTGTAAAGTAACTTGGATATTGTTTGTCTAGATAAAAATTTACAAATCTTAGCAAACTAATTTATGATTCTGGACAAAAATGCGGAGAACCATATAAATTTATGATTGTTACGTTAAAGTCACTCATAAATGTTAGCTGAGCATCATGAAATTAAAAGTAAAAAATTATGACGAGAAGTTCATTTGTAAAATTTACCCTGAACCATATAAGTGATTTTTGAGATTATTTATAACTGAAAAACTATTTTATATGATAAAAATATTTAGTAAAATTTAACTGATAAACTAGTTTAAATAAAAATTTTAACGAATTTATTTGAAAAGATACACAAAGAAGTTTATGAGATAAGCTCGAACTTTTTAAAAAAGTTAATCTTACCGGACAAAACTTATTTGAATAAATAAAACTTATAAACTAACTAAATAAACTATAAGCTCACCTATTTAGTTGTCAAACATATCCTAAATTAATTCTTATTATCTTGACAGTTACATGTAACTATCATATTAGGCTCTTTAAGTATGTCATCTTTGAGTATACATGATTTGTTTTTAATTATTATGATTAGTTATTGAAGTCCACTCCTATTTAAGTATAGTTGAGATTTAAATGCATAAATTCATCTTTTTATCTCCCCGCGTGTTCGTTTGCTGAGATGGGAAAATGATACAAAGCTAAACGAGTATATCAATGGATTTCTCAAAGGATATTAGAGAAAAGTATGTCAAATAGAAATTTGCACATGTGCGCACTCAAATGGATAACGAAAATGACGTGTTAATCCACACAAGTAAGCCCACGAAACACCCTGAGCATAGTACAAGTTAAGCAAGGTGATTGGATAGTAATATTTTACTCAAATGCATGGGCGTAGCCAGAAAAATTTATAATTCGGGATTACATATTATTGTAGCAATTACTGGAACTGAGTAGACATGCTTATGAGCCGGCCCGACCCGTCGGTTCAGCCTGAACCGACACAAACCGATCCGTTGATCATGGGTCTTGAACCGGTCTGTGGTTTTGACCTATCCGGTTCGTGTTCAATACTTACAGTTTATACATTTTGAACCGGCGGTTTCGATTCTGAACTGGAACTGGAACTAGAGGTTCGACCTTTTTTTTATATAAAAAAATATTATTTGCTAATTATTTTTTATTTTTTTTAATGAACCAGACGAAAAAGAACCGACAATTCAATGAACTGGTCCATGCATATGTTTGCGCCAGTTCAGGACCCTTCAACTCTCTGCCCGGGATTGGCGGTTTCGACCCGTAACTAGTTTTGGCCATGACTAGAATCGAATTATCTGTTAACTGTTTCGGTTTGAATTGTGAAAACTCAATCTCGACTCGCTTATATATTTGGACAAGTCAAACTCAAATAGCTAATCGAATTTGTCAATCAAACAAATAGAGTCGAACATGTTTGCAATCAACTATGTAGAGTCTTTCCTTTGTCATGGGAATTAAGCCATATTAATTATAGGAGACGAAATCAACAAAAAACAAACGAAATGGATAACGGATTATGCAATGAGACGAGTCTAATTATATAGTCCGCAGGAGAAGTATGTATCAAGCATAATTATCGAACTCAGTTAGTACTTGTCAAGTCAGCCCATTAAAAATTTAAATGGCAAGAGTGTGTTAGAACTTAGACCACATTATAATCAATTCATAAAAATATAATAAGATCACAATTGTCATTTGACAATAAAGAATTGTCTTCTTTCCTCTCACTACGATCATTACTTTTCCACCATTGTTGTCAGATAAACAAATTCGACTTGAATCTTGAGGCATCCAGCCCGAAGTTAAATGGGAGGCTAAATAAAAAATCACATGAGGCTATGTATAATTTTTTTTTTAAAAAAAAAAAAGTTAACAAAACTATTTTTTTTCTTTTGACATGGTATTGGAGCCCACCCTAGTCCCTGGGTGACTCCGCCCCTGCTCGAATGCAAGTTTGTGTGCTCTAAGCATTCGGGTGCAGCATGCTCGACCGAGGCATGGCTTGCTCGTAGGGCCGGCTAAACATGCTTGGCTTGAGAATCACGATCATGCTTCGTGCTAGTATGCAGTGTGCTCAGGCCCGACTCCTCAACTGTAAACCAATTTGAACATTATATCTCTTAATTAGAGCTGTTAAACGAAACGAGTCATTGTGAGTTCGGTTCGTCTCGTATCATTTAAAGTCCAATTTAGTTAATGAATCTACTCAAACTCAACTCAATAAGTCTCGAAATAGAGATTTTTATGTAATCTTCTATAGTTCAATTGATTTTAGCTTAAGTTTAACTCGTTAAGACTCAAACTCGTTTATCCAATTATTTTGTTAATAACTTAATTTCGCCAAAGCTCGATAAGTACTCAAACATGAGTTTAAGTATCAAAGAGCTCGAAATTTGCTATGCTCATTTATACCTCTACCCCTCATCTACTTATAATGGATTGCATCAAATGGTAAACTATGTGTGGAAGAGGATATGGACTAAGAAAACTAGTTAGAGTACACAATAGTTACAAAAATACATTGTGAGATACATTTTGTTATCTAGATTCATACTTAGTCTTTTTTGAATATGAATATAGGCCACATGAAATAAAATTACTAATTGAATAATGTAACTAATATAGCATAGATAGCTCTAACCCTGGACCGAAACTCTTATAGCTCGACTTAGGATAGTAGGTTGAAAATGGGTATCGAATGTCGAGCCACCTTAAGCTCTAGAGGACGAACTAAGGGACCTGAGGCTCTAGAGCTCGAGTTGAGACATTGAGACGTTTGTGTCAAGTTGAAGAGTTGGGGAGATATGATTGAGATGCCCAATATATGGATATAATTGGGGAGATATGATTGAGATACCCACCTTAAGCTCTGGTAGATGACGTTTTAAAGGACAGTGACACAGTGTAGCCATTTTTTAAAAAATTGAGGTATAATTGTGTATTGATATTACGCATTATTACACTTTGAATATATCTTGGATCTTATTGAAAGGGAGACTAATTTGATTGGTACATGTTCTATGTCGGTAATCCTCTCGGCGCTTTTCAAGTTCTCATGCGATAAGGTCCGGTGGATACGAAGATTCACAAAGAACCGGTTACTAAAATCAGGTCTATTTGATAGATCCCTATCAATAACTTCCCATATATGAAATCTCTAAAATATGAAAAACATGTCATAGAATTATCAATCAAATTAAAGCATTTGGCATGCGTGCTTATCTCTTACAAGGTACAAACATATATAAGGTCATTATTTTCTTTATTTATTTTACATTTTTTTTAAAAAAAGATATGAAAAAATATCATATTGACTTATAAATCAAATTAAAGTATTTGGCATGTGTATATAATATCTCTTATAACATGATGGGAAGATTTATTGGTTGAACCTAAAATTATGTTTTGAGTTTAACACATGATGAAGACTATTTTATTATTTTACAATTTTTTTTTTTCAGTTAAGACTTTTCGAGTACAGTGATTTCTTATTTCCAAAAAACAATATAATTTCCCAAAAAATGCTAAAAAGCCCACAAACGAATATCAACTATATCAATCAATAGTGTGTACTGTGAAAGGGTGAACTTACCCCTTTCTCTGGTTCTCACACGGCGCCTATAAATACCGTACCTTTCCTATACTTTCTTCTCCCCTGTCAACAAATTCATCAAAAAACAGGGCCTCTATCTACTATCAATTGTCACTGTATTTCACCGCTTCAATTTATACTCATATCCGTGTATCATACAGCTCCAAAGCTTATCTCTGCACACACAGCCAAAAATGGACCCTTATTCGCTGCATCTAGCAATGGCGGCACTATTCGGAGCGTCGTTCGTGGCGGTCTCGGCGTATTATATGCACAGAAAAACCCTAAACCAGTTGCTTGAGTTTGCTAAGGCGATAGAGAGTGGCAGAGAGGACGCGGCGGCGGCGGCGGCGGTGGAGGACGGCGGTGGTGCGGCCGAGCTCGTGAAGGAGTATCCTACCAGGCGGAGGAGGAAGGGGGACGGAGGGTACTACCGCCGCGGTTCGGCGTCTTTGCCGGACGTGACGACGTTTTCCGGCGGCGGGGTGGGTGAGGTGGACGAGAAAAGGAATGGTCCGGTGCATGTGGATGGTATTCCGGTGGGGTTGCCGAGGCTTCGCACGCTCCCTGAAGGTATGGTTTTGTCTCGATTTTCATCCGAATGATTCATTGGTGGGCCAATTTTATTTAGCTACTTGCCTGGAACCTGAAAAAGCTTTCTTGTGGTGGAATGAATCCGCGAATGATTTGATGTGCATTAAGTTAGAGCGAAATTGTACTTATTCGATACTTGTACTAATTGAGAGTGCTTTTTTTCAGACGGATAATACATTTTCTTCGTATTATTATAGTGGCTATGCAGCGCAAAGCTAACATTTTGCTGTCTGCTGCCTGTATTTACTGCTTCTAATGCTGAGAGCTCTAAATTTGTTCCTTTCTTAATTTACAATTTCTCAACTTGGTTTAACATCAGTGACTTTTTTAATTTCAGGGAACTCTTGTAATGCGAGTTCAACAAACAGAGTTGGACATACCCCCAAATCTCCTGTTGCCAGTGCATTTGAAAGTGTAGAAGGGTCAGATGACGAAGAAATTATGACTGATAGTGCTAAGCTAGACCCTACATATCTTCATACTAATGGAAATGCAGTGAGTTGGTTTGCTATAAAATGATTTCTCAGGCTCCTCAATTCTTTGTTCGCTTTCTATAACTTGCACACATAAATATGACTACTTGCACAGACGGCCTGCTCTGTTTATCGTTATACATCCATTACGCCATTCTTTAAACACTTGTCTGCAAAACTTCTTTACTTGGTTGGATTCCTGAACGACCTCTAACTGGGAATGCTTGTTACAGAATGTATCCGAGCCTACAAATGCAAATGGTGAAGCAATAACCGTTGCTGCAAGCATGATTCGCTCTCATAGTGTATCTGGTGACCTGCATGGAGTTCAACCTGATCCTGTAGCAGCTGATATTCTAAGGAAAGAACCAGAGCAAGAGACGTTTGTGCGATTGAGAATTTCCCCTACTGGTATTGCCCTCATTGCCTTGTTCTGATGTATCTAATTTCATTAATTGGTGAGTGGATTTAGACTTTGGCCGATTCGGAATCCTTCAACAGATGTGGAGTTTAACATAGCTGAATGTTGTTTCTTCTACTTGACCATGCTGATTTCCTTATTGGGGAAGGTTACAATCTAGCTTCATTTATTGCTGATTTCATCTCTACCCTTATAACCCTTAGCTCGCTCTAATTCGACCTTTATGTTTATGGTGTGTGCGGAGTTTTCCTATTGCTCTTATCAGCACATGTTGATAGTTTCCCTGCCAACTTTGATTGTTTTCGGATATGCAGATTTTTTTTTCTTTCTTCTTGCACACTACTTTTTATTCTTTATAAATCTGTAATTTTTAAGCTTAATAGTTTGCTTGTATTTGGGGTATTTACTTTTTGTTTTTCTTTCGTCACAATTGATTGATGCCAGAGATGCCATCGCTGGATGAAGCGGAGGTCTATCGTGCACTCCAAGATTGCCTTGAATTGCGGAGAAGTTATGTCTTTAAAGAAGCTGTTGCTCCATGGGAGAAGGAAATTATATCTGATCCGAGTACCCCAAAGCCGATCGAGAATCCATTTAATCATACTCCTGTGGGGAAGTCGGATGTAAATCTTCTCAGCCAATTAACATGAATACTGTGCTTAATCGGATCTATCCTAATTTCTCTGAAATTTTCTTTAAAGCATCAAACTATTTAGCCACCTATGTTTTGATGAACTGAGTTAAATTCCTGCAGCACTACTTTCAAATGGAAGACGGGGTGGTTCATGTTTACGCGAATAAAGATTGTAAGATGCGAGAAGGTTGACATCATTCTTCAAAATATATTTATCCTTTTGTCTGATGTAGCTATTTTCCTTTCTCCAGCAAAAGAGAAACTTTTTCCTGTGGCTGATGCCACAACATTTTTCACCGACCTGCATCATATTCTTAAAGTCATAGCAGCTGGTAATATCCGAACTTTATGCCACCACAGGCTGGTTCTTCTAGAGCAGGTTGATGAATCTTCTAATTGTGAATAATGCATTAGTTGCTTATTTTTGAATTAATAATTTATCTGATACTCTCAACATGTATGTTAACTCAGAAATTCAACCTTCATCTTATGCTTAATGCGGACAGAGAATTTTTGGCTCAGAAAAGTGCACCGCATAGAGATTTTTATAATGTTAGGAAAGTTGACACACATGTTCATCACTCTGCCTGCATGAATCAGAAGCACCTTCTAAGGTTTATTAAGTCGAAGTTGAGGAAGGAACCAGATGAGGTAATGCTTTGTTGTCTAGTATGTTCACCCTGTTTTCCTTTGAAACTGGTATGCATTACTTTACGTAATTGTAGATTTATGCCATGATACTGCTTTATGTGACGAGTTTATTTCTCATTTTCAGGTTGTTATATTCCGAGATGGGACATATCTGACCTTAAAAGAAGTGTTTGAGAGCTTGGACTTAACTGGGTAAGAACACAGCTTTTGTGATGTTACTAGTGGGAGAAGAAAGAGTTTTGAAGATACTTAACCAGGTTCATGTTCTGTCCATAGCTCCTACTCAAGCTGACGACTTTCTTATTAATAAAAAATGACAGGTATGACCTCAATGTTGACCTTTTGGATGTTCATGCTGACAAAAGCACCTTTCATCGCTTTGACAAGTTCAATTTGAAGTACAATCCCTGTGGTCAGAGTAGATTGAGAGAAATATTTTTAAAACAAGATAATCTCATACAAGGTACATTGTCTTGTTTTTCATCAACCTGATGGGACATTATAGTTAATACCCAAAAAATCATTGTAATTTGTGGGCCAATGTATATTGGAATTGCACACCAGTTATTTAGGCATAAACAGCATTATCAATTTGTGCAAGTTTTGAAATATTTGATTGTTACTCTGATTCCTTTCTGCATCTTTAATCCAATGACATGTTTTTGTTGATGGACTTCAAGTTTTTAATTAGTCATTTTCTCAACAGGTCGTTTTCTTGCTGAATTAACTAAGCAAGTGTTTACAGATCTGGAAGCAAGTAAATATCAAGTGGGTCTCTGATAACCTGTTGATGCATTTTTTTTATCGGATGCTTAATATATCTGCGGCGAAAATTTTATTTGTTTAGTGGCTTATAGGTGGGAGGAGGATAGAACTTGGTTGACTATTTGACCCAATTTTCGCATGTGTTACATTGACTCATGTCCTGTTTAAGTTATTTGTACCACGAGCTATTCATTTGCTACCTTTCATTATCCTAGCATTTGCTTTTTCTTTTTTTCTTTTTTCTTTTATATATTTTTGTTGATTTGTATGTCTTTCTTTTAGTGCGTACGATTCTCACATATGCTTAAACAGATATGGAACTATCTCTCAACATGTAGCATTTAAGTATTTCCGTGCTGCTGGAACTCCATAGTGCGTGGGCTATGATAATATATGCTGCTGAGGACATATCAGGACATAGTAACTTATATCCTGTTTGTTGAGTGTTCTAGTTTTACTCTCTAAGTTGTTGTATTACTCCTGTGCAGATGGCTGAATATCGAATTTCAATATATGGCAGAAAGATGAGTGAGTGGGACCAACTCGCAAGTTGGATTGTAAATAATGACTTATACAGTGAGAATGTTGTATGGCTAATTCAGGTAAAAAAAGTAGTGCAGTGAGTGCTGATATTCAAATTAACAACTGATGACCATTACCATATATGTAGTGGATGGTACATGTCTTCTAAATATTAAGTTGTACATCAGTTTTATCCTGAGCAGCATCTAGGGAAAAAACATTTGTTGGTGATATGCATCTCTTGAAATCTAGAATATCAGTATTAAGCATCACAAATTTGCAGAAGGGTGTCACATCTTTAAGAGGCCTGACAGATATGGAAATTATTTGATGGATCTATAGTGTTATATGGACTCAGTCTAGCTAAGCAGCTAAGCATCAGACATTATGTTCTTGCTGTGAGAATTTATGATGAAAAAAATGATGAGTATATAGAGGTGTCTCTTGCCACCAGTTGTTCAAATTTATTACTGATATTTCCATTACTGAAATCTTTTATCTCGTGGATAAATTTTAGGCTCAGCTTTCTGTTGCATGTGGGGATGTGGGTAACTTGTATCTTCATCTTCAGATATTAATGAACTTTGGCTAGTAATTTATTACATTGACATAAACAGAAAAAAGATCTATGATGATATTAAATTTGACTAAACTAATATAACATAGCTGAATGTGATGATCTGGTGTACTGTCATGTCCAAAATATGCTTTAGTGTTTTGAATACATAATTGCAAATAACTCATACTTGTCACTGCCCCATTTGCATTAGTTTCTATGCACCATGTAGGGATATATATCTTTTTGTCTTCAGAAATACAAATGATCTTATGTATATTGTTGGAATAATCATCTAGCTTCCAAGACTCTACAACATATACAAGGAGATGGGAATCGTGACCTCATTTCAGAATATCCTCGATAACATATTTCTGCCTTTATTTGAAGTCACTGTTGATCCAGATTCACATCCACAGTTGCATGTTTTTCTCAAGCAGGTCTGTTGTTTCCATCTTATTGTTTAAGCATATTATGCTGTATCCAGATAACTTGTATATGAGGTTCTCCATCAATATTTTATTGAACAGCAAATTATTGTGACTGAAGAGGTGCAGTTTTTTTCTTGGATTTGTTCTGAAGTACCATGTTTTGTCTTATACAGGTTGTTGGACTAGATCTTGTGGATGATGAAAGTAAGCCAGAAAGGCGGCCTACAAAACACATGCCTACTCCAACTCAATGGACCAATATATTCAATCCTGCATTTTCGTATTATGCGTACTACTGTTATGCTAACCTTTACACGCTGAACAAGGTGTGTCATGATTTTATTTTTTGGGTATATGGAGCTTCTTCTACTGTTGCTTACATGGAGAGGATAATCTTTGTCCATGAAAATTTTTGAAAATCTTCCCCTCACAAAAAGTGAGGGTAGAGAAATACTGGAATGGGTCTCGCAATTCTAGTTATTTATCTTCTATTTCTGAAAATTAAACTTTCAAATTTGAATTGTACGTTTTCAGCTTCGCGAATCCAAAGGTATGACAACTATCAAGTTTCGACCTCATTCTGGAGAGGTGGGCAATTAATTTTCATTGTCACATTTTTTCACGATTTATGCATTTCCTGACATATATCACACGATCAGGCTGGTGATATTGATCATCTTGCTGCAACATTTCTCCTCGCCCACAATATTGCCCACGGGATTAATCTTAGAAAATCTCCCGTGCTTCAGTACTTATACTACCTAGCCCAAGTAAGTGACAAACATGTAGAAAGTAACACAGAATACAAATATCTGCTTGGTCAATTTTTGTGTTTATTTATATCTGAATTGGCATTTGAGTTCAGATTGGTCTTGCCATGTCTCCTTTGAGCAACAACTCTTTATTCCTGGACTATCATCGTAATCCTTTCCCCATGTTTTTCCTTCGGGGGCTCAATGTATCCCTATCAACTGATGACCCGCTACAAATTCACTTGACAAAAGAACCTCTGGTAGAAGAATACAGTATAGCGGCCTCTGTGAGTTTTACTCATAATCTGGTTTTATCTTCTTGTCAAAGTACATAAACTATTAAAAATGTTCTGCATTGGTTACATTTATGATATTGCAGGTATGGAAGTTAAGTTCGTGTGATTTATGTGAGATTGCTCGTAACTCGGTGTATCAATCTGGATTCTCTCATGCTTTAAAGGTCAATATTTCAAGAAATGGGTCTTTTATTCCTGTACAGCATCACTAGTTTTAATGGTCTTTTATTGTTCATTGGATAATTTTTTTTATACAGTCACACTGGATAGGTAAGGAGTACTTCAAGCATGGTCCTGATGGAAATGACATTCATAAGACAAATGTACCTCATATTAGACTTGAATTTCGTGACATGGTATGTGCTTGATTTTACTATGTGACCTCAAATATTAATTTCTGAATATATAAAGTTGGTAGAATCATGAACTATGAAATTTTATTGCTTTTAGATATGGAGGGAGGAGATGCAGCTGGTATACTTGGGCAAGGCAGACTTTCCCAGGTTTATGGACCCCTGATGTGCTTGCCTTTTCCGCACCCCATGGATTTACTCGACTGGCCCAAGGTAATTATGAAATTGCATCCTAGTTAATTCACTTTGCTTAAAAGTTATTTGTGCTCAATTTTCAATTCAATTCAAGTTAATTATGAAACTGCATCCCAGTTAAATCTTAATTCACTTTGCTTAGAAGTTAGATGCGCTCAATTTTCAATCCAATTCAAATTGGTCTAGTTTTCCTTGTTGATTAAAAAAATTTACTTGAATTATTATGTATTTTTTATTTTATTTTTTAATCTTTTTGGAGGATCTAAAAACAAACTAGTTCCGAGTTTTTTACACCCAGATGCTGGAAGTCAATTTTACTCCTTACAAGAGTTTGCAAACACTCTGTGATCACTTTCGAACTCCACTCCTTTTTCTCTCTCATTCTCTCTCTTGTTCGTTTTGCCCATAAACTTCTAAATAACTTAAATTTACAATAATTGATCCTTGCATGTGATTCCAGGAACAGGGCCTGTCAGGTTATTCCGTTATTGCTTCTTGTAGTTGTTAAAGTGACAGAAATCAGAAGACTCTGTTCTAGCCAATTCGGATTTCATGCTTGGGCAAATTAGTGAGGTGATGGGAGAAGAATTTTCGATAAAACTAAGTCGTTTTTTTTTTGTCTGGTTAATGTAAAAGAGCGTTGACTGGATCACAATACAATCCACTGTCATAGCTTATATTTTCTCATGGTACTCCCTTTAGTGTAATATATATGTAGTTCAGTGTGGTGTGTATTACCAACAAGCTGTGTGTAATACTTACGCCCTGCCTAATAAACAAAATATTTCCGAAGTGAAATTCCATTTTTGTGTGTTGTCAAGAGGGACTTTAGAGATTAGAGGCATTTGGTTGATTTTCTGTTCTGCTTCTTTATGTTCTTTCGAGAGGACTGTACAAAATTCATTGTAAAATATGGAACTCTTGAGTGGTTTAATTATATATATGGTGCCGATATTATGATGATAGTAAATGAGATTATTTCCTTTTGGTGAAATGGTGATTAAATATTGCCATTGGTGGTTTAGAAATAGAGGAACCTATAGTAGTATGTTTGGTACATGGCTTTATACTGATGACAATGAAAAGCTGAAATATGCAGCTAGTGTATTTCGCAAGCAAATGCTTTTTACTTTAGGTCATGCTAATACTTTGAAATATCATATTTCAATTCAGATTGTCATAACAATACGATGACAATTAATTAGAAACAAAAAAATAAGATAAGATATAAACGTTTAACTCAAAATGAGAAATAAAAGAATCTACATAAAAATCTAGATCTTTAGCTTAGAAAAATTTTAAAAAGCTTTTTTTTAGTAATATAATTTGGAGGGAAAAGTATTATCTTTATTACACAATTTATCTTTAAAAAAAAATCCACCAGTGGCCAAAAAACAATGGCTTGCAATGAAAAGAAAAAATGTCCACTAAAATTAAAACATGGCACTAATATCCAAATTGTCATAAAACCTTGAATGCTAATTACATTATCAGCACAGTACACAAGGTTTTCAAATCCAAAACCATTATTACCACACTACATAATTAGGTAACACACAACTGTTTTAATAATACAAAATTGCTAACACAAAACCTCATATCTCCAGCAGAAATCCATCATAGCTTCATCATCATTGATATGGAGGAAAATGAGAGAGATACACAAGTAGCTGAGAGCATCACTGGTTCTTGAATGACTGCAAGCAAATAACAACGTTCAAGTTAATAAAGGTGACAACTTTAGACAAGGGGGTGAAAAAAACAATGTAATCTGAAAAACAACCTCGAAGTTTTTAGAGACATCCTTAACTTGCTCGGCTAATTCTTTCTTCTTTTGTGCAGCTGCATGATGCAAAACACAGAATATGAAATATGAAATCAAAATGCATCTAAATGAACTTTATACAAACAAAGAATACCAATATCAGATAATTCATCCATCTTCTTTGATGTCCTCACTGCAAACCTCTGGAATCTCGGACTGGTTTAAAAGGAATATAATAAGTTACACAAATATTTCACACGTAAACCAAAGAAAAAACGAGCCACTCGGAGCACGCGATCATTTATACCCAATTATGCATTATATTTCATTATTTCTTTAGGCTTCATAACTATAAAGTTTATATACGAAAAACAAAACTGTATATCAACTCAATGATAGATCACATACGGTATACCATTCACCTACTACAACAGCATTTAACAGGAGGCCATTGTTAGAAACCTTGAAAATCAGAATAAGGAAGGAACAACAAAATTTGCAACAATAAAAGTCTAATTACATAAAAACAAATAACAGATTGCAGTGGCCCTCAATCTCGGAAAGGTGATTTTTTTATATAAACATATAAAACAACCAAACCAGTAACAGAATTTTCTTCTGTCCAGTGCATATTAACAACAATTCGGCAGAACATTTTGCCTTCACAAGAATATATCCAACAGCAAGACCAAGATCAAAATTTTAATTCGGTACAGTACATATTAAGAATTCAGCAGATTATCGAGCATGTTAAAATGAGACAAGCAGTACAGAAATGTTTAATCACAAAACAGGTATTATCCAACAATGGCAGATAATAAATAGCTGCTCATAAATAAATTAAAAATGAAGTATGCCTCAGACCGATAAAATTTGACAAGAAGCAGCGATCATCTCCGCAATCATTACCAGCCTACGGAAGTCATCATCGGCATATTAAATCGAACTTTACCCATCCAACAAAAATTCCTTAACAAGTTTAAATTAGTCTGAAAATGTCACCAAAAAATGATAAAAAGTTAAAAAAAAAAAAAATGGGAAGCTTTACGATGATATCAAATTACCTATTTGCGAGTCCATTGACAATAAGCTCATTCGCGACATAAGAGATCACTCTGTGAATGAAATTTCCACCTCCGGCCATTTTTCGGGAATAAGAAATCAATAGAGGGATAGATAAAGGATATTTCAGAGGTTTGTTCGATCAGATTACCAATACATGAAAAGAGAGAGAGAGGAAAAAAAAATCTCGTCCGTACCAAATACGAACAAACCCTAGTTCCCGATTCTTCGACAGCTGCGATGGCGGACGACGACCAATGCTATCCGGTTTCCTATGGTTCCACGATTTGGGAGTATATAGTGGGCTGATGGGCCTGTTGTTTAAAGCTCATTATAACTGGACTTAAAATTGGGCCGTGATGTCAAATTATTTTGAGGAGGGTCCCAAAAGTTGTTTTAGGTCAATATCATTCTTCGTGCAATTATGTTCACTAACATTTAAATTTGTTAATTTACCCAATAAAATCTCTTAAACCAATTTATAAATTAAGAGGATACTTTCTGAGTTTAAATATGGTGATGATGCTCCACCAAATAAAGCCCGGTTCAAGTTGGCTGAGCCAACTAAAACCTAAGTTGAGCTCGATGACTCGCTCGCCAGAGACGGAGTGATCATCAGCGGAAGCTGCTGACTTGCAAAATGGGCATGTAGGTTCTCCCGACAGTAACATTTCAACGATCAAGTGAGTGAAAGTTCTAGAAAAATGAAGACCATAATAGTTGCATAGAGTAATAATGAGGAAGTTGGAGAATAAATGTAGGCATGTTCTTACCTTTACGTCTTGTTTATAATGGTGATATTATCCTAATTCTTGTCTTGGCGTCCAATAAAGGGCTGCCCGAAAATACAACGGGTTTCCCCAACGGGCTACACGAAAGGGACAGCTGGTTGCCCGGATTAACTGCCCGAGATTCGTTCTTATCCTCTTGACGAAGATTACTTATGTGTCCATATCGTTTTCCACCATTTCTCCAGTTGTTTAGGTAGCTCTAAGACTATGTTTCGTAAAACTAGCTGATAAGCTAGCTTATAACTTATGACTGATTTTTCGAGCTTATATCTTATAGTTGAAAAGCTAACTTATATGATAAAAGTGTTTGTTAAATTAACTGATAAATTAGTTGAAATTAAAATTTCAACGAGCTTATTTGAAAAGCTACTCAAATAAACTTATGAGATAAGTTCGAGCTTTTTAAAAATATTTGTCCTGCCAAACGAAATTTATTTGAATACAAAAAGCTTATAAGCCGATCAAATAAGCTATAAACTATCTTATTTGATTACCAAATATAGCCTAAGTAGTTGGTCTTCTTTGGCTCGTTTTAATGACCCCGATCATGGTTCATTTCATGAGCTTGGGTTGTTTTTGCTCACTTGGGACGTTTTTGGTCGTTTTATCATTTGGGTCGTTCTTGGCCTAAGTACTTGGGTCGCTTTTGGTTTTAAGCCTTTGGGTCATCCGCCACGTCAATTGGATCATCCACGTTGTCGTTTGATGGGCCGTGTTTGGGTTGTCCTCGCTCGGTCATTTGATGGCGTGGGATTTGGGGTTCTCCATATTTGTGTGAAGTGTGAGCAATAATGGTTTCATAGTGTAGCAACATATTTATTAATAAGTTAAACGGTTCAATCTACTAATTGTTAAGAGGGTGATTGTTTATGGATTCGACTAGTTTTTATTTGGTTCGTTTTTTAATTATTGTTAATTTTAAAAAAGGTGGTATGGTTAGTTGTTAGTGGATATGTTAAAATATTATTTAAATAAAATAATTAAAATTCATTTGATGTAAAATAGGAGAAAAATGATTGGAAGTGATGGTTAGTTAAAATTCTGTGCGTGGATAAATAGTGAATTAAAGTTGATGTGATGTGTAAGAATGATTGATTGATATTATTTAATTATATTAATAATATGAGAGATAGTGAAGTTGGGTTAAAGTTGAGTTAAATTTGAGTTTTGATTGGTTTTTTTACTGTTGAAACCATAAGGGGCAATTGGATATGGTTTGAACAGTAAAAAAATTAATCAAAATTCAAATTTAACTCAACTTTAATCCAACCTCACTATCTCTCATATTATCAATATAATTAAATAATATCAACCAATCATTATTACATATCACATCAACTTTAATTCACTATTCATCCACTCACATCATTTTAACTAATCATCACTTTCAATAATTTTTTTCTTACTTTACATCAGATCAACTTTAATTATTTTATTTAAATATTATTTAATATATCCACTAACAACTAATCATACCACATTTTTTTTAAAATTAACTATAATTAAAAAATAAACTAAATAAAAACTAGTTGAATCCATAAACAATCACCCCTAAACAATTTCATACAAAAATTTGTGTTGGATCTACCTAAAAGTAAATGATTCAAAAATTTGTATTAGATACATCTAACAAGCAAAGGATGCGACTGACTACAGGTAAAATTTTCATACAAAAATTAGCTTTAGATCTATTTAAAAGTACTTTCATACAAAAATTTACATTAGATACATCTAAACGTAGTTGATGAAAATTGCACTATAGTTATTTTAATTATATGCACTTTTCTCCAAAAGCTGACATTACTCGAGTTACTCAGAATCCGCCATCTTCATCTAACGACTGAGGATCACTCCCCAACATCCTTATCAACGGCAGATCTTCACTGTTGCGTATGGCGCGGATTGTCACTCGTGATCGTCGATAAGCATTTTCAATCCGACGGCACATAATTCTTCCCACACTAAAACACAAGCTACATAGTCGAGCCCCACCACCTCAACTTTCCACCAAGTCATCTCCATTTCAAAACGCTCCAAATCTCCATTTTCATCATCCGAAAAATCAAAACAAGAGCCAAAACCGAAAAATGTCCGGCAGAGGAAAGGGCGGCAAGGGGCTGGGCAAGGGCGGCGCCAAGCGCCACCGTAAGGTGCTGAGGGACAACATCCAGGGCATCACTAAGCCGGCCATCCGCCGTCTGGCCAGGCGCGGCGGCGTGAAGCGCATCAGTGGGCTCATCTACGAGGAGACGCGCGGCGTCCTCAAGATCTTCCTTGAGAACGTCATCCGCGACGCCGTCACCTACACCGAGCATGCCCGCCGGAAGACTGTGACGGCGATGGACGTCGTCTACGCGCTCAAGAGGCAGGGCCGTACCCTCTACGGATTTGGCGGTTAGATTCCTAGGGCTTGGACGTGTATTTACCTTTTTCTGCTATGTTTGAAGTTACGTCACTGTAATTTGGGTTTGGATTGATGAATGTACCTTTGTTGTGGTGAATGAAATTGGAAGTTTGGGCCAGCTGCTATTTTACCATTACGTTAAATTGGTGTTGAGCTCATTGGATTCCATAGATAGTTGTTGATTCTACGTTTCTCATCATATATTGTTTCAATTTTCGAATGTTATTCTTGGACAATGTGGCGGGTACTGATAAATTTGAAAAGGGAGATGAAACAGATCATTTTGGATCTGTATTGTTTTCTATTTTGCTTACAAATCCTGCTTTCAAGGTTTAGTTTTTTCTTGTAATCTGAGTAGGACCTTGTTGTTAAGTTTTGTTTCGTTCTTCAATTATTTCTTCGATTGAACTTATTTTGCTTACAATTCCTGTTTGTTTGGTTTAATTCATTCAGTCACACCCAAGCTCAGTGCACATGTTGGCAACGGTTGTACCCTTTATGGTTTTAGCAGTTAGGGTTATTCCTAGGGTTTGCTTTTTACTACTATATGCTTGAAGTTTACATCAGTATAATTGGGCTTGGATTGTTGAATGTGCCTTGGTTTTGATGAAGTTGGAAGTTCTGGCCAGTGACTAATATACATTTATGTTAGATTGCTTTCGAGCTTATGGGATTCATTTCTTCTATGCAGATGTAGATATATATATGGTTATTGAGCAAATATCTAGTTTTTGCCTAATATATGGCAATCTTATTCTTAGACAGACAATGGTGTGAGTTTGGAAATTTTGAAGATGGAGATGATATCAGATTAATTTGTTTGTACATTGTTTTGATTACAATCCTGCTATGAAGGTTTTAGTTTTTTCTTTTAATTTGACTACTACTTTTCTATTAGCTTTTGTTGTGTCCTCCAGTTTTTTCTTCTTTTAGATCTAGTTCTTGACTTTCTAATATGTTGCTGGTGTGGATTGAAATTATAATTTGAACATAGCATAAGATTTATTAATTCATTGAAGAAAATGCCCAGGCTTCTGGTCTGTCGTTCTCTCTAAAAGAAACCAAACTTGTACTCTTGTGAACATGTTATTGGTGACAAGTTGCTAAAGTTTTGTGACCTAAGCAACTGTAAATAGCTACAGAACCCGAATTCATGACTCTGAATATCCATTTTTGCATGCACAGCTTGAAAAAAACAGGAATTAGTGTCCTCTGAGATCGAGAGTTTTGTGAGCCCAAAAATGAAGTTGTTCTTTCGTACACAGGCTGCAACAGCATTCCTTTCCTGAATATTTTAGCTGGTATGCTTATTCACATATGATGATTGTAAATTCCTAATATATTCAGAGACATGATGTGCCAAAAAATAAAATGATTAAAAAAATTTGATAATGGAGATGCGGGGTATCGATCCCCGTACCTCTCGCATGCTAAGCGAGCGCTCTACCATCTGAGCTACATCCCCTTTTGGTGGCCACCCTTTGATAAACTTAATAAGGATGGATTGAAAATCATTTTCTTGAAAGATGATTCTGTTTTCTTTAGATGAGACAGAGATCTGTTTATCATTGAATCCTCATATTATAACTTCTAAAAAAACTATGAATACAATAATTAGCTATAAGAATAATTCACTAATATCAATTTCCAATAGAAATTAATTTTTAGTAAATAATTATCTGCATTTCCCTCCAAGCCAACACACGTTCAATATCTTTTAGTCTCAATGTTAGTACTAACATCTGTAAGGGATTTCCACAATTTCTGAATCATGTCACATTCATTGTGATTCAAATATCAACTGCTATCTTTTTCATTTACATCATATTTATATTATCTTTCTACTCAACATCTCTCGATTAAAACACACTCTCTCATAGTTGTTATTACATTCACATACAAATATATGTAGAACTCATTAATTACCTACTAATTCAATATAACTTTCATAGTCTATCCTCAATAAAATCACATTAAAATTTTACTTCAAGTTGAATGCAAGTGGGACAGCGTACCATGAAGAATTGTCAACTTTATTTCCCAATTTTACATACCTCGTCATTCAACTCATTAAGCATAGCTAATGGGTTCCACTATTTTCATCATTTAAATGAATTAGCGCATTTGTATTAACGATTCTATTAATGGTTTTCATTTGAAAGAAAAGGTATCTCAGATTATTAAAGTTCAGATACCACGTTTGTAAGTCAAATTCAAATTAATGATCATGCTTTTGGCGCTACATTTTTGTACACTCATCTTAAATTCAACTTGCATCACTGTCAAATAAGACCCCGCAATTTCTAAATCTGAATCTTTAAAAGTTTGCAAATGTAATTTAATCTTAATTCATAACTGCCGCTTTTGAGGATCATTTTATATATCAAAGTTTCTGTAAATTGGTTGTTTAATATTATTTCCTTTGTTATGACTAAGTCAATGCATAAATACTGTTAAAAGTCCATAATTTTTAGAAAAGGTCGGTGGGGTGATTGGGTTCAGATTTTTAACACGGGTTTGGTGTGGACTCATCACTCACTCATGTCCCATACACATTACAAAAGTCAATACATTCGGCTGCATGCATGCTTTCAACGGAAATAATTAATTATTGTACTCTATTCTGCGTTTCCTGACAATAAATTCTTTTGTTTTTTCGTTTTATTATTTTAGATTATCCATGCATTTGTTTCTCATATAGTCTAATGTACAATTAAATTGTATAGCTAGTAGTATAGCATGATTATGATTTGAGAGTAGCATTAATAATTTTTTTATAGTTTAGACTTTATACCATTCATGAGATGATGGAAAAGAGAACGGTTATTATACTTGTTGCTGGTTAATTAATCATATTATTTATTTACAAAAAATACATACTTATATTATATAATATCGTACTTTTATTTATAAATTGTATTTATTTGAGTTTTGAGTATAAAAATATGTATACTTTTGAAAATATATGATTAGACAATCTGCAATACCAAGTTACCAACCACTCTAAAATATTGGATTGTGTCTCACAGAGCTCGTGTAGCAGACTGTCTGATTGACTCTAGTGTCATGTAACTAACCTCGAGCTGGAATATTTTTGCATATCTAAATCTATAATTTGTCACATTTATAAAAAAAGAAGCTATATTATTATGCTTTTGGACACATGCACCTCTCTTTACATTAGATCAAGTAAAATTAATATTGGTAAAAAACTTACAACAGTCCACACTTGACCCAATCACACGTACAAAACTGCAATACATATGAACTTTCCTAAATGCAAAGTGTGAATCCAAAGACCTTATAAATTTTGGCATCTTCCTTTCATGGCAAATAATTCATCTACACTCTACTCCGATAGCCAATTTTTTAGCATCAAATTAATTCAAATTTCAAACAAATTCAATCAACTCATCATCATCATCATATATATCCAACTTATTACACTATCTACATTCTCAATACTTGCATATTTTCACATGAAAAACACACACTACAACAGAACAAACAGAATATCCATGTCAGCAAATCCAGCTAACCCCATGCCTTCCGGCACTAACTGCTTCTCGTCGGTTTTCCGGCGAATGCTTTGCTCCGGCAGCCTTCCGACCCACCCTTCCGACCAATTTCCGGAAACTTCCATAACCGAAAACCATTCCAAACACAATGAAATTGTGAAGAATCAGGGCACGGGCTCGAAACCTGGCGTGGTGGCGAAGTTAATGGGCCTCGACTCTTTTCCGGACTCGCCGAGCTGGGCCCACAAAGACACAAGCTTGGGCTCCTTTCTCCGTAGTCGGTCGGTCAACTCCATTGACTTTCTGCCGCGTTTCGACTCGTCAAGACTACACCGGCGGGTCAGAACGTCTGTTTCGTTTCGCGAAGGATTGTATAATTGTCGAGAGCTTGCGAGCTCGTCGGTTTCGAATTGTTCGGAGAAAGTGGGAGAAATTGGAGAAGACGAGGAATCGAGGGGCGGAAGTGAAGTTCGTGAAAAGTTGCGGGAGAAAAAAGTGATTCGGAAAAAGATGGAGATGGATGAAGGAAAATTTAAGAGAAAGAAAAAGAGACAAGGCTTGAATTTGAAGGAGAAAAAGCCAGTTATGAAGACAGTGGGCTTTAATTTTGAGGAAGATTTGTTGTTACAGCCTAAGTCAAAGTGTCTGAATATGAAACAGAACAAGATTATGTGTCGAAAAGAGAAAATGCATTCTGCAAGTAGAATATATCCTGGTGAGATTATAGCAGGTGAATTTATTTTTATATATGCTTCGTGATTAAATGAAATATTAGTCAGCTTTGATTTGTTTCATTAGCGTTTTTTCGGAGAAAATATGAAATGAAATAGTTATGAATTAGTTTGCTCACGTGCAAGACTTTACAAACGACTTACACAATGTAATTCATCAAATTGAACTCTAGAAAAATCTAATTAATTTTTGTAAATGTTGTCCCGCAGAAGTCGAACAAGGAGAGCATTCAAGGCGATCTAAAACTGCCCGTTCGAAGATTCCATATCCGAACAAAGCTGGTTCTCATGATCGGGGGACGATTAAAGCAATTGCTAAAAGGAAAAAGGGAAAGAAAATCAAACACAAGGAGCAAAATTGTTACTACAAAACAATGGTGGAAACAATATGTGGGCTGACAGAAGATAGCATAAACGAGAATTGGACGTCGATGGAATTTGAAGATTTCGAGGATGTTTGCGAAGTGCTCGGGCGGGGGATTCTTGAAGGTTTGTTGAAACAGTTTGTTGACGAGCTTGTGCGCGCAGGATTATGAAACGATGTATAAAGTGTTGATTTTTTTTAAGTAGTGAGTTAACTCGACAAATATGTGTACTAGGAACAACAACTCTTATGGAGAAATTTTAGTCCTGATAAGCAAGTTGAAATAAAAATTTCAACGGACTTATTTGAAAAACTAACCAATGAAACTTATAAGATAAACTCAAAATTTTTAAAAAAGTTCGTTCTACAAAACTAAGCTTATTTGTATACATAAACTTTATAAACAAACTAAATAAGCTAGAAGCTTGGTTATGCTGTAACGCTGTTTACCAATCACACTCTAATTACAAGATTGGTAGTAAAATATATTTTGAAAATCGTTCCATGTGTTGGCAAATGGCAAATGAACAAACTAATCATCGAAACGTTTATCATCTACTATCTACAAAAAAGTGCCAACTTGCACTGGATTGGGCCAAAGCGTAAATTGCAAGCCCAAAGTCTTTTGTTCTCTCCTATGGGCAACAACAACATGGCTCATAAAAAAACTTAATTCCTATTACTACTTACCGCCCCCTTTGAACAATTTTGCCCCTATTATTTTTTTCAAACATCNAAAAAAGGTAAGCATTGGACTTGCACATAAGAAAGCACTTGTTGTGTTTGGTCTCCTAATTGCATGGCTTTCCTTGACAATTATGCAGATTTTTCTCAAAAAAGGTGATCAAAACATAGAACTGAGATACAATATATCATTTCTCCATATCATTGCTTGGAAATAAAAAGAGACAACACATGTTATATTTTTCTTGTCAATCCTGATATTTTCTTGTTTATTTTTGAGAAACAGGGAACAAAGAGCTTCTCTTCAAAGTTTTTACTTCAAGCAATTGTTAGTTTTTAACTGATTCATTAGTAACGACATTTTAAGAGTTAACCATCGAATGATTGAATCAACACATTCTTCCCTCGTCCTTGACTTAATTGGACAATACTCACATTGGTAGGGTTGAACCTTCCGCTAATTATAATGTATTTGGCTAAACATGTATAATTTACTTTTGTTAATAGATATAATTTGCTCGTTTTCTATAATGTAGTGACCTAAATGGTAAAATGACCACTTAAAAGTAAATCAAATCGTGTAAATTAACAATGATAATTCCAACAAGATAAATTTTGTTTTTTATTATTCTATATCGAAGTTAGTGGTTGTTCAAACTTCAAAGTTGTATTATGGTCATAAACTTCAGTTTTAACCCGCTTTTTTCTGAGCATGAGGTGATGGGCAACTTGCATGGTAAATCGTGCATTGCAGATTGCACATCCTCATTGTTGGTTAAATCAATTTAACTACCTATATATGCACACACAAATGAGGGATAAATATATACCAAATGTTATAAAATCTCATACTTTTGTTGATATAACTTTTAATATGTGATATTTCATTTTGAAAGTATACATATCAGTTGAAAAAAAATATTTGTATAACGTTTAGTTGTCTAGGGTATAAACGATTGTGTCAAGTTCGAAGTCATGTACTCGAGCTTTTAACGAGCCAAGCTCGATTTGCTAGTCAAATGATTCAATAATCAAGTTTACTCGTTAATATTAATAAATGAGTCGAACTTGAGCCTCAACGAATTGAACTGTAGAAATTATACAATATTCACTTTCATTTGCACCTTAAGAATCGAGCTATAATCTATTAAACGAGACGAACTAAGTTCAAGCCTGAGTCGAAATGAGCTCACCAGCATATCTTAATTTATGTAATTTTTAACAGAATTGAAAAATAAGAAAGATACTCCACTCTACTAAAGCATCTTAGCGGTTACTGTACACTAATTTCAGAGTTAAAATAATAATATAAAAATAGAAAACTTTCCCTTTTCTCACACACAGGAAATCACTTTTTCTGTGTGAAAATTCACTCACATTGTAATCCCCGAGCTGAAATCTTCCCCAATTTCCATGGCAATTGGTTTCAACAGTCAAATCATGTGAAAGCCTAGCTGCTACACTCAAGAGTTTGGTGTTTTTTTGTTGAGCTTGGCTTTAGTTGGAGCTCTCACTTTCAAATCTGGTTTTCGAATGGGGAACTGCTGCAGATCTCCGGCGGCCGTAGCGCGAGAAGACGTCAAGTCCTCCAACTACTCCGGCCACGACCACGGCCGGAAGGAGAAGTCCTCCGGCAATGTGAATAAAGCAATCACCGTCTTACCGGATTTGAAGAAGGAGAATATCGAGGACCGGTACTTAATCGACCGCGAGCTCGGCCGCGGCGAGTTCGGGGTCACCTACCTGTGCATTGATCGGGAGACGAAAGAGCTGCTGGCCTGCAAGTCCATATCCAAGCGGAAGCTGCGGACGGCGGTGGATGTGGAGGACGTGCGGCGGGAGGTAACTATAATGAAGCACTTGCCCACTAATTCGAGCATCGTGAGTTTCAGGGAGGCCTGTGAGGACGAGAACGCGGTGCATTTGGTGATGGAGCTGTGTGAGGGTGGGGAGCTGTTCGATAGGATCGTGGCCAGGGGTCACTACACGGAGCGGGCGGCGGCGGGTGTGATGAGGACGATTGTGGAGGTGGTGCAGCTTTGCCACAAGCAAGGGGTGATTCATCGGGACTTGAAGCCGGAGAACTTTCTGTTTGCGAACAAGAAAGAGAATTCGCCTCTCAAAGCAATTGATTTCGGCCTGTCCATCTTCTTCAAGCCAGGTATTGTACTGGAAATGGTTTGTTGTGGGGTGATTTGATGTTTGGTCAGTTGAGATGGTAAATATTTGGAAACTGGGAACAGATAGGATGTTATTGATTTTTTTGGTACAGATTTATATGCATGGTTCTTTGAATATTTGGTTGGAGAAGTGTTTATGTTGACTATGTGGTTCAATTGTTTTACGTTTTAACTGGGCCATTGATGAAGACTTTGATAGTAGTTCAATCGAACTTGATGCATCAATGAAAAAGGTGATAAAGAGTAATCTTATAACAAGTAATACCATGATGATGTAATTGGAAGTTAGTGATTCGACCTCATTACGATGCTGGGTGTGAGATATATTGCTATGCCATGGCCCATGGGTAGACCTTGCTGGTGATGCAATTATTCGACTTCCTATATCATGGGTAAAATTTCTCTAATGTTCTTGATAGAAGACTCAGGAAAATTTCGGATACTGTTACTTATGGATCAATGAATTCCACGTTATGCCACATGAACTATAAAATAACTTGGTAGTGTGTTTGTTATCTTGGCCATCGTTGTCCGTTGATGTTCACTAGTTTCAGAATGTTTTGGTACTGCAACCAAAAAGTCCAATTAGATATCTCGAGCAAGAATGAAAAGTTCTGTAAAGATATCTCTACACAAGTTTCCTTTTAATCATAAGTGAACCTTGCGGTGGAATGCAAGACAACTCCCCGATTGAACCTGATGATTGGAAATGAAAAGAAAAGAAGAGAAGTGAAATATATGGTATATTTGGATATGTGTATTCCCAGAATGGAAGCTAGTCATTATTTTTGTGTTTGTAGTTGTTAAAATGTTGTGCCTCAATAAGGATTTATTACATTATATGATTGCAGTTGCATTAACTCTTGCATTCCAGGTGAAAAGTTTTCTGAAATTGTTGGAAGCCCTTATTATATGGCTCCAGAGGTGCTCAGGCGCAATTACGGGCCAGAAATAGATATTTGGAGTGCTGGTGTGATCCTCTACATCTTGTTATGTGGAGTTCCTCCGTTCTGGGCAGGTACTCTCTCTCTCTCTCTCTTTCTCACACACACACACACAAACAGTTATTGCTCTCTCGCCTCCCCTCCTTCCTTCTGCCTCACACATGTACACACACACACTGAGTTTCTACTTTCTATATCAGCTGCCAGAGTTCTCCTTTATATTCTCTTTGAAATTTTTTCATGGTACATGAGTGTCCTCAAATCTCATAATATAAGAATATAGGATATCAAACTACCAATAGATGACTTAGTGTATATAATGGGCAAATATTTTGTTTTACACAGAATCTGAACAAGGTGTTGCCCAGGCCATCATTCGTGGAAAAATAGATTTTGAGCGTGAACCATGGCCTAGTGTATCAGAGAGTGCCAAGAGCCTAGTAAGACAGATGCTCGAGCCAGATCCTAAGCTTCGACTGACTGCAAAGCAAGTTCTTGGTATGCTGGCTTCAGTTTGAGTTATATATTTTTGTGATGACTTGTCAAATTACCGACAGTTATTACATAGCTCAGTTAATTTTTTTCTTGAGGAAATCTCTTTGTGATGAAACTTCTTTTCAAACTTCAAGACACATGTTTTTGTTATTACGTTTGAGCTACCTTTAGTAAATCTAGACAACACAGACGTTATTGATATGAAGCCTTTGAACAGAATATGGATAACACACATGACATATACAAAAATATGTATCTTTGTTATATCTCCATGTGTTATATGGGCTAAAAATTTCTCAAATTGCTGAGTGCCTGATCCGTAACATTCTTTGCCTTTAATATTTTTTCTGGTACTTAATGTTGCTCTATTTGAACACTTTTGAGCTCACAGAACACTCTTGGCTTCAAAATGCAAAGAAGGCCCCAAATGTTCCTCTTGGGGATGTTGTGAAGTCAAGATTGAAGCAGTTCTCAGTGATGAATAGATTCAAGAGGAAGGCTCTTAGGGTAGGTTGACGTAAATGTCTTTATTAATCTTCTCTGCAATTTCAGTTTCTCAAAATAAATGTGTATTTGTGCTTCTTTTGCGTAGGTCATTGCTGATTTCTTGTCTAATGAAGAAGTTGAAGGCATCAGAGAAATGTTTGCTAAGATAGACACAGATAATGACGGCGTAGTCTCAACTGAAGAACTTAAGGCTGGTATGCAGAAGTTCAATTCACAATTAGCGGAGTCTGAAGTACAAATGCTCATTGAAGCTGTAAGTCTGCAACTCAATGAACCAACCACAAAGTGTTTATACCTTTTCACCTCAATATATTTGAACTTTTCATCTACCTATTTGACTGTTTCTGATGTTTAACTCATCAACATGACCACTTCTACAAGAGGAGCAACTAAACATAGATTATTGGGCTGTGTGTCTTTTATTTCTTTCATTTTTTTTTTGTTTCTGTTATTGTTAGATCACTTTACATTNAAATGGACTTTTCCAGAAGTCCTCAGCCTGTACATTTATACTTTTATAGAATTGACTTTTTGGAGAACCAACTTATCCATAAGTCACATTTTTAGTTTAGCACCAAACACAACTTCTTTATGGACTTTTTCACTCAAACGTCCATTTGAGAAGTGTTTCCAAACAAGCTCTATATGTTTTCAACAGGTGGATACAAACGGTAAAGGAACACTGGACTATGGTGAATTCCTGGCCATCACCTTACATCTGCAGAAGATGGCCAATGATGAACATCTCCACAAGGCATTTTCCAGTTTCGACAAAAACGGGGATGGTTACATTGAGCCCGACGAGCTCCGAGACACCTTGGCCGAAGACGGGGTTGATGATTGTGTAGGGGTGGCCAATGATATTTTCCAGGAAGTTGACACTGACAAGGTAAAATATATTTTAGGGTTTAAAAATTTTTAAATTACAAAAGCTACCTATAATGTTTAGCCTAATTGCAGAAACATCAGATTAATCTCATAAGCAAATACTCACTGGCTTTTGTTTTCACTTTCACATATTGCACTTGGACCCCTTGATGTGCACCATTAAATGTAGATGCATTCTCATTGTATTTGCAGGATGGACGTATTAGCTACGATGAATTTGTGGCCATGATGAAAACCGGGACTGACTGGAGAAAGGCTTCTCGGCACTACTCGAGAGGGAGATTCAATAGTTTGAGTATAAAGTTGATGAAGGATGGTTCAATTAACTTGGGTGAGCAAAATACACAGTAGTTGTCTACTTGTCCTTTTTGTTTCACCTGTGTATTGTTGAGCTTACATATTTTTCTCTTTATTATTTGCTGTTGGGATTCGAAATGAGTGGTGGATTATGAGGATAAAGAGTGAAACACAAAGTACATGTGATTAGCCTCTTCATGGTTTTGATTCGATCTAAAGCTCGGATCCTCTGTAGCCGAACCCAGCAACCGATGTGTATGTGTTTGATTCCTGTTCTTCTTTTACTTTTGTTAGCTTCAGTATGTTTATTGATGACAATGAAATTAGATATTCGGTGTTGTAGTGTATATATATCTGTGCAGAAAACTTTGCCATTGAATGGATATTCAAAGCCTGTGCGGATCAAGTTTTTCACTTCATTTTTATCTTGTGTGAGTGCACTTTGTGGAATTATTGCTGAGGATGCAAATATTTGATTTCTTTTTACTAAAGTTTTTTTGTTGGAATTCTCTAACTCCAAACCCAGTAAAATATATATAGTAGAAAAATTAATGTTGGGTTTGGAGTTTGGAATCGATTTTAATTTTATTTTGTAGTGCGTCATCAAATGGATTGCCGAAAAAAAAAATTTAAAGTGCATCTTCAAAAGAATGCGATGTTAGAACTGGGATGGGATGGTGCAGATGTAAAGATACAGAAAACATAAGAGATTTTGTGAAAAACTCAAGATCTCAAATTAGGAATCAAATTAAATAAATTAAATATTAACCTCTGTAATATAATAGATACAACACACACACAACCAAAAAAAAAAAAAAAAAAAAAANAAAGAGATTTTGGAAGAACTCAAGATCTCAAATTAGGCATCAAATTAAATAAATATCAACCTCTGTAATATAATTGATACAACAACGTATACAACAACAGGGCATGAAAAAGCCACAGAACAAGATTAGGCTTTCACCACCACCAGTGCAGAATCGAAAACCGAGACATGCCGACTATTCGGAAAACAAAGAACACACACAGAAAAAAAATAAAAAGAAAGGGAAAAAGAAAGAAAAAACAATACTGTTATACTACATTTTTGGTCAGGCACCGAAAATTCTGATTCTCAGTCGAGTAAAAGATCTTTTAGCAGCTGCTACTGCCTGCCCCGTTTTGTGCAAGAAGGGCACTTGTACTGCTTAATGCTCTCGGCTTTAGCTGGCGTTATTTTCACGCACTTGCCGTGATACCACCTCTCACATATGTCACATCCTATCCAGAACTCATCTGCATTGTAATTCCCCCCACAGCTGCCACACAATGTCTCACTGTGTTCATCTTCGTTTTCTTCTTCGTAACTTTCCTCTGCCGGCTTCGGATTGCTTTTGACTTGCCCATCGTTTGACCTCTGCAAACAATGAGCTCGATTAGTTAGGATGAGATGAGGCATGTCGGGATAATAGTTCAATGATTCGTAAAAAGCCACAAAANGGTTTCGGTTATTTTGAAATTTTGAAATATAGCTCTCTTATGATTTAGGGCGAAATCGCATTTTTAGTCCTGTTAGTTTAACGTCATAGCAATTTTAGTCCTAAGGTTCCAAGTTCCAACATTTCGCTTTTTGGTCCTGTGATTTAGAGCATGTTTGGATACAAAATTTTTCAAAAAAATCCAAACATTTTTAACTCAACCACTTTTTTTAACTCAACTTTAACTCAACTCCATTATCATCAATATTATCAATATAATTAAATAATATCAATCAATCATTCTTACACACCACCTTACCTTAATTCACTATTCATCCACTCACATAATTTTAACTAACCATCACTTCAAATTTTCTCTCACCTACTTTACATCAAATCAACTTTAATCATTTTATTTTAAATATTATTTAATATACCCACTAACAACTAACCATACCAAACTTTTTCAAAATTAACCAAACCAAACAAAAAAATCCAAACAAAACCAAAATTTTTTATATCCAATCATCCTCTAATATTTTGATGCTATTACAGTCCTTTGAGGATTGAATTGCAACAAATTCTCAAATTCCAAGATTTTCGATTAGCAATTTAAAGTCTTGTAATTTAAAATTTTGTTGCAATTTCAGTCCTATAATTTAAAATTTTGTTGCAATTTCAGTCCTCAAACGACTGAAAGTGCAGCAAAATATTAAATCACATGATCAAAAAGCGAAAAGTTGGAATCTTGGGACTAAAATTGCTATAATGTTAAACCAACAGGAACAAAAATGCATTTTTTCCATGATTTAACCTTTGCTGCTGTAATAACAAATGATTGCTCAACTTTACCTTTGTGCTGCTGCGAGATTTGCTGCCACTATCAGTGTTTGGCTTGTCTTTAACAGGTTTCCTCTCTGTTACCACTTCAAAAACAGTTGGCAGCTCATTCATCATGCTGAAAAGCCGCTTCCTGCAGTACGGTCAACAAAATATCATATAAAACCCCGGCCATAAAGCCGTTTTGTTGACAATTATACAAAAGATGTTGTTTTCTGTTCAAGTATACATAGTATGGTCAACAATATATTATGTGGAGCCACAAAGCTGCCTTGTTAACAATTATACAAAAACGATGTTTCCTTCAATCATACAAAATTCTCCCAAATGCAAATAAAGTGTGAACAGATGGTTAACGTTAACTGCAGAAAATGATAAAAATAATAAATAAACTCATAGTGGAACTACCATGTAGAGAGACCACTCAGACCAAATATTACACACCTATTATTAAACTATTAATTTTGATCAGAGCAGGTAGAGTCAGTATCAATGAACGTAAACACGACATAGTAAATACCAAATGATGCCCATTAATGATGACCATATCAAGAGTAGAATTCTATGCCAACACTTCACAAGTCTGATGAACAGGCACATAAAGTAAGACATAGCCACCAGAAGGGTTTGAGGAAGGGAAACAGAAAAACCAAGTGTTTTAGACTTACACAAAAAAATTGTGCTGCAGAATAAACGAAATTTTCTCAGGGCAAAACGCAGTAAAATAATATACTAGCACCCTATATTTCTCCATTGAATGAAACAACAAATAGCTCGCACCAAAATTGAAGTGCATACGAAACAGAAACAAGATATAAGAAAAGAAACAACACCAACGCAGATAATGGACAGCAAGAGAACACTCATCGCCCTGAAACTACGAAGATTGTTAATTTACTGGCTCATCAAAAGATGCAACTTCTGTAACAAAGTGAAATTCGATACGGGATGACTTCAGAAATATGCATATCAGTTCTAAGTTGGAAATGATAACAAGTCCGAGCATAATGCATTTCTGTTGCACATTAACCACAAGATATTTTAAACCAGGTCGCAGGAGAAGAAAATTTCTTATCAGAAACAATACCAAATAAATAATTTTATACCTTTCATTGCGGTTCAACCTTGCCCCAAGATAAAATGCCACGGAGAGCAGCCAGCAATCACTGTGGACAGCAATTAGCGAGAGCCAATCCCTTCGGTTCATCCCATCCCTGGCGAAGTTGATCCCAAGCGCTGGCTCAGGGAGCTCAGGTGGAACTTCCTCCGCCGGAAGATTTACTTCCCAAGTTTCATTTGGATGTCCATACAAACAAAGATTCTCCTTCTCTAAAATAAATAAAATTGACAAACCAAAACATGATAAGACTTTAGGATTAAAAACACAACAAGGATGTTAAGAAACCATTAATCATAACCATACACAGTAAATACACAGACAAGAGCTTCAACATATTAATACATAAGCAGCAAATTACGAAGCTGCTAAATTTCATCCATAGTAATTCTTCCTCACCAAAATAGCTAGCTGAATTTCAGGGCACCTACAATCTAAATCCAAGGCAAAAGCTTAACTTTTGACTTGGTCATAAGAATCTAAACAAGAAGGCCATTAACAATTACTGCAAAAAAAACACACCTAGTTAAAGCAACAAGATTTTATTGTCCGCGTTCCTACTTTTTGCCTAACAAAGGAGCCAACAGACCTTTAGATCAAAGAAAAACGAATCTCTACACAAACGAAAATTCTTCAAAATCCCAGCTTCAACTACTCTGCTTAACAATCAGGACCAAGTCAAAGTACCAAATTCTCCTACACGCAAGATTCCAAAATCGAGATAGCACAAATTTCCAAAATTCAATCAAACTAAACCCAGCTAAAAACAAATTACCTGGATCACAGAGGGCGTAAAATTCATCCACATCTGAACAAGAAAAAAATAATGAAAAAAGATCATCCCGTCACTGGTGTATCCATAATAAAAATAAAACTGAAATGTTTGTTGTCTCTCAAAATTAACTGCTAGAGTACCATGAGTTAGAGCACGAACGATCCCAGCACGACGAGCGCTGTAATCTTTATAGATCTCCTCTACAGTTCGAGGGCTCGAAGAAACTGCTGCCATTTTCGGTACACAAACTGCAAGATCTGATAGCTAATGAGTAAATACTGACAATTTACATAAAGAAATTGAAAAAATTTGGGTGAATTGTGAGTTTGCAGAGTTAGGAAGGTGGAGGAGGTTGAGTGTGTGCATGTAACGTGAGAACCAAAAATATAACAGATGCAGTTGAAATGGGGGAAAGGCAAGCAACGGCGTCGTTTTATTGTTCGGTGAGAGAGCTTTTGCCCAATTTTTCTTTTTCTTTTTTATTTTATTTTTATTTTCTATTTTTGTTTGAATTGACTTTTGTATAAGTATTTGATACCTTGTTTGACAAGGGTACTTGTACTTCACATTAATGAGGACCTCATAAAGAATAAGGATAATCTCTGTTAAAAAATGATTAGTATAATATCTGTATATTTGAATTATGAAAAACTATCATATCAAAAAGTAAGAGACTCGAATTTTTTTGACTTTATTATGGGGAAATAATTTAATTGTAATGGAAGAAGTTCAATTTGTACTCTTGAAATTAATAATTATATTGATTTGGTACTTTTAACTGTTGATTGTCTCATTTTAATCGAGCCGAGCTCAAGCTTGTCTCATTTTATCAATATGAGCAAGTCAAAATCGAGTTTTAACGAGCCGTAAAAGTTAAAAAAAAAATATATATCACCCACTCTACTCAAACTTTATATCGAGCCTTAATGGCCAGAGTTGTTAACTAAACGAGTTTAAAACGAGCTCGAACTCGACTCATTTATCAAATAACTCAAACAAAACTTAAGCCTCAACGAGTCAAGCTCATGAGCTACTCGTTTCGTCTTAACAATTCTACTTACCACCTTTTCCAAGAGAGAAGGAACCCTAATTTATATAATACCAATAACAGATTAGTGAAATATTGTAACCTAATATTGCACTTGTACCATTGCCAAAAATAAAAATATTTCTAAAAGTAAATAGTCATACTTATGAAAGCAATTAAATTACTCATATTACTTTATAGAAGAAGTATGAATATTTTTATTGCAAGCTTCAACGGAGATGAATATATCACGGAATAAACATGGAGGAACAGAAAAGCTGTAGGTAGCAGAAATACTTCATTAAAGTCGCAGTCTTTTTAAATACTCAACTGCCAAAATTCAAGTCCCATCTACTTTGAAATAAATTCCCACAGGTTTTTGTCCATAAAACAATCACAAACATTAAAATCGCACTCAGTACTTTAATTCTTTGTGCCTGTGTAATTTTCCTTGTTTGTTGCACTTCACTGTTCTTTGTACTTCGAACCAGCTATCCATGAACATGATATGTTTTCTTGCCTGCCCCCAACAAGTGAGTAGTGTTCATAAACACAAAGCTTCCCAAACAATTTAATATATGAAAAAATAAGTATAAAAGTTAACACTATCAGCTCAAAGATGCATATATTTCACAGTTCCGAAGATGCAAGCTGATGAAAAAAAACCCAAGCGTTGATTGTATCACATAGATAAAATCGAATTTGATAAATGAAACAATTTGATCGATTAACATCCAAAACACGGGCTAAAAAAGACATCTAAAAACAAACTCTATCTCGAAAGAAATACCTAGCATAGTGAAAGCGGGTAGCGTTTATGAAGATGACAATAACCGTTTAATGCCCGTTTTCTGTTCTGAGGTAAGCCTGCTAGGGAACTTTATGTTGAACTTGATACGCAAATTCCCCTTTTTGCCCTGCTCTTTCGGAATCGGCATGCCCTCACCTTTAACGACTTCTTCATAATTGGGACTAACGATGGTGTTAATGGGTACGGTTAAAATCCGCCCGTCGAGTGTGGTTATTTGTGTTGTGTAGCCCGTCAAGGCCTCGACTAATGAGATCTTTTGGGTGATGACTAAATCATTGCCATCCCTTTTGAAAACACTGTGCGGCTTCTCGTCGATTATGAAAACAAGGTCGGAGGGTATTACGCCTCGTTGTTCGTTCCCCTTCTCAGGAAAAGTTATTTTTGTGCCCTTTTTCCATCCGGGCTTTATGTCGATTGTCAGGATTTCTTCTGTGGTGGAGGGTCTCNAAAAAAAAGGTAAGTGCAGTTTCTTGATATAAATATGCGCACCGAGTGATTTTTATGAATAAAAATATAGGGTTTGCTTCTGTACGAAATTTCTAGATTCAGGTATATTAGCTGAAACTATTGTTACGAGGGCTGTATTTACATGTAAGTAACAGATATCTAAATTCGCATCGATAACAAGAACAATAGAAGAGAAACAATCATAATTATATGCCAAATGCAGGAGATATTCCACATTTTCACCTGAAGGAAATTGCAACTGTGTATAAAAGATTCAGATATGATATCAGATTTAGCCATTTAGGCTGATCTGATATCATCTGAATTGCCGAGTATTTCAAATACCGCATAACTAGAAAGTGGCGTATTGTAAAATCTGGTATATGACGTAACCTATCAGGATAAAGCAAAAGAAAACAAAAGTAACAAGCTCGAAAATTTGGTAAGCAAAAAATGAGCAACGAGACATAAGAATCTCACTTAGATGTCTTATTAAGTTATTTTTTGAGCTTGTCAGAGACCTAGAAAGATTACCAATGATCTTATTTTCTTCTTACAATAGGCAGTTTGCCCTCAACTTCACACAAGACCATGAAGGTGTGATTTTGGAAAGTACAGAGAAGCAAGTATCAAAAGAGTATAGCGCTCAGTGCTAACATATAATCAATCTCTCTAGTGCAGACAGCTATCCGCGCACTAAAAACTGACAGAAACCTAATGAAAACAAGTGATTTTATCCTTATCTTTTCCCTTCCAAAATCTAAGATTTGTTGTTTCGAATCTTTAAATGACAGTTCACATTCCCTCCAAGTCTACCTTTACTAAAGTAATAAACTTTGCTCAAATAAGCTTGGGACGAGATTTTTTATAAAGCTTCCTTGGGTAGCTTTTCAAATAAGTCCATTGAAAATTTTATTTCAGCTATACACTTTTATCATACAAGCTAGCTTTTCAGCCATAAGTCATAAGCTATCAGCTTTAAGCTCGAAATTCACTTAAAAGCTATAAACTAGCTTATCAGCTTTAAGTTAGCTGATTATCAAACATAGCCTAGTTTAAGAAATCATTTAGCTGGTAAATGTAATTAATCCATCAAAAATAGCTCCACGCACAAACAAAGTAACCAAAGAAGCAAAACTCTCTGCGAAAAGATAACGAACCAACAAGCTATGACATAAATAAACAAGCTCAACACTTAATGTAAGCAAATACCCATTAACATTCAATTCATACAGATAGAACCATATCAACAACTTAAAAAAGCGAACAAAAATCTAGAATTTACCCATTGGCATCAGCGATTTCTCGCGAAATCTTCATCTTTTTGGAAGTCCCCTTGTACAGATCTTCCAAACTACACGGCAACATGCGTTCAATAGCAGGAGCCTTCCGAGGAATGCTCGGGCCACCTTCTCCCCCACCGGCAGCATTCCTAAACGAGGCAAATAAATCATCCCCAAACATACTCCTCGAAAACCCAGAAGAGCCCGCCCTCGACCCGCCGGCCATGTTCCCCATATCGCCAAAAGGACTCGAGAAACCGAAAAACTCCGAGAATATATCGTCCGCGCTGCGTGGATTGAACCGGAAACTGGAGCCTCCGTCCCTCCCGCCGGAAAAAACGCCGGCACCGGGAGGTGGAACCTGCCCCTTGAGACCTTCCTCCCCAAACTGGTCGAAAACAGCCCTCTTCTGTGGATCACTCAACACCTGAAAATATTCGAAGTAGGATCAAACATACAATTAGAGTCCATTCCAATTCCAGCTCGTTGAAAAGGGGAAGTTGATGGGGAAAGGGGGTAATTACGTCGTAGGCCTCTGAGATTTGTTTGAATTTGGCCTCGGCTTCTTTCTTGTTGTTAGGGTTTTTGTCGGGATGCCACTTCATGGCGAGCTTCCGGTAGGCCTTCTTGAGGTCGTCATCGCCGGCGGAGCGGTCCACCTGGAGTACCTTGTAGTAGTCCACACCCATACTTTTTTTTTTTTTCTTTCNCCGTAAATAACAAACATAATTTATCATTATATAAAAAAAAAACTTTCCCGGCAAAATCATTAAATATATTATAATAATTGTTGGACAAATCTGAATAAGAAAAAAATCGACTTATTAATTGTGTAAAGATTTGTTGTTCTTTTTTCTATTTTTAGTATAAATCTACACGAGCTTATCTTTTTATTACAAAATCTCATTGCATAAGTCTCACGTCTCATTCCTTATCTATATAAATTTGAAAAAATAAAATAAAATAGAAATCAATTCATAATTACTACTAGAAATTCATTATCTACTTTAACGGAGATTTAAAAAAATAAAATAAAATAGAAACCAATTCATAATTACTACTAGAAATTCATTATCTACTTTAACAAACTAATTTTCATCGGTCTAATTACTAATATTTTTACAAATATTATAAGCTAACCATACAAAAAAGTATAATAATAATAATTTTGAAATGGTGTGTAATCAAATTTTTTTATATTCTCTTATACACCCCGAATCTTTAATTTATAATTATTAAGTATTGTTTATTCTCCTCTTTAATTTATAATTATTTTTTTTTTCTTTCACTTTTTAAATAGGATCAATAGTAGTTTCACTTTCGCTATTGAGTGACTCAAACTCGAGGTCAATTTATAATATTGTTAATTTAATATTATTCCCGTGCATCGCACAGGTACACATTAATAAGCAAGAAATTGTTTTAATTTTGGTATGGTAGGATTTTTTTTCCTTTCATACCTATGACTGTTTGGCGACGAATCAGGATTCATAGGGAATCAAACTGGGCTTGAGGACCTTACGATCCGGACTGGCTGGGTTAATATTTGGGCTTCTTAGGCCTATAAACGTTAAATTCAAATGTAGGCCCGAGTTCTCTTAGAACTCTCTCTCAATATAAAAACTTAATTATATTTTACTGAAAATTTATTTATAACTCGTAATTAATTTTGTTTAGATATATAATAGAAATTATTTTTTTCACCTCATTAAGCAAATTTTTTTTATTAAATTTAGTTAATTATTTTTTATAGCATAACCAAACCCTTTGAAGTTTTGCACACAATTGCTGTAATAATAATTTTGATATTTTTTTTATCCAATTAATTGTCATAATCAACTAAGATTACATAAATCCAAAAATTAATATGTAAGTTAAATAATTTATATTTATATCGTCATGTAATGATAAAATGTGTAAATGTAATATGTTCATTATCTAATTTATGATTTTTAAATTTTACTAAACACACACACACGCACACATACATATATAACGTATAAAATTTTACTTGCATTTGTGCATGTGCATAAGATAGAATACTAGTTCTAACATATGTTTGTGACAATAAATTTTATGAAAATCATAAAACTTATGTACAACTTATTTTATTTTGATCAAACGATATTGCGGGTACAATCTCTATATGTGTCATCTGATTCTTCTTTTCATGGATTTGTGCTTGAGATCTTGAGAGATGGATTTGACGATTGAAACTCCTTCGGACTTGATCTTGAATTTCTCTAACATTGGTTTGGGGTCGAATGACTTATTCTCATATTAAATGTTAGGCATTGACTTGATTGAAGAAAACTTCTTGAAGGACTTGATTCTTTGATTTTCTTGAAACACGGATTTTGACTTGAATAACGTTGACTCGAGGGCTTGATAGTTTTTTTCCAAATCAAATATTATGTTGCTTGAACTTCTCGACGAACGCGGCTTGAATGTCGTTTGAACATCGTTGATATGATTTGATGATTTGAGAAGAGTGGATGTCACCTCTTTATTTATTGGAGAAGAACCGTCACCTATTTTTCTTCTTCTTGGCCTTCTTGTCCATCGAGCGTACTTCAGAGGTTAGGAGGCTTGATCCGGATTGAACGCCAACCTTCAACTTGAGCGCCTTGGATCTTCAATAACACCTTTGGATCTTCAAGAGATTTCTTGAGAACTCTTGAACTTGAGACTTTGATTTATGTGGTGTCTTTGATTTATGAGGTGTTATTGAACGTGAAACTTTAATTTATGAGGTGTTATTTGTGGCTCTGAGGAGAACCCTATTTATAGGTGTAGGAGAGAGAGTATTGGAGAAACATACTTCAATTAGATTGGTCCTTCATGATTTGATATAATCTATTTTCTTATCCTAAGATTTGACTTAGTGGACAAGAAATATTTACTTTATTAATTAAATTTTTTCTTTATCTTGGATTCGTGTTAAAAAATAAATAAATACATTAATTAATAAAATATTAAAATTTCAATTTCTACAATGGTCTTTGACAATTATTGTAGATGTTGTAAGGATTGGCAATGCTTACAATGTGACAAAAACGATAACCGATAAGGAAATCCCGGTATTGCGTCACTTTTTCTGCCTGGCAGACGCACTGCGCATTCACGATTCAAAATCTCACTAAACCCAATGGAATGGTCTACATGTGATATTAGCCAGCAAAGTCCTTTGACTGAATTTATTATACGATGCCGGTTGATCATTTGGGACGAAGCCTCGATGATGATAAGTATTGCTTCCAGGCTATTGACTACACCTTACGAGTCTTAATGGAAGCAGCTGATCCATCGAGGGAAAAATCTCCCATTTGGCGACAAGTTTGTTGTGTTTGGTGGCGATTTAAAACAGATACTCCATGTTGTCCCTAAAAGCAGTCGTAGTGACATAGTTGATGTGACCATCAATTCATCCAATTTTTGGCGTGATTGTACACTAACTCGGAATATAAGGCTTCGAAGCCTTGGTGGGGATGATGAGTAGATGAGCTGAGGAGCTTCTCGGTACAGTCGGTGGATCGAACGACGGTTGTGCCGATATCGACATGCCTGACGATATTTGTTTTAAATCACAAGGGATCCTATTGCTGCTATATTGTCGAGAGTACCTACCCGATATTCAAGAGTTCAGACAACGATCTTAGCTATCTCAAGGACACAGACATACTCGCTCCGACTGTTGATGTCGTTGAGTACTTTAACGAATATATGAACTCACTGAACTCATTCGAAGGAAGGACTTATTTGAGTTCTAACACCCCTTGCAAGTTAGACGCTAAATATGACCTTCTTCAAGATCCTCATGCTCCTTAATTTCTCAGTGAGATTAAGTGCACATGAAGGTCGACACTCCAGTTATACTGCTCATAAATATTGATCGCACTCCAGTTATGCTGCTAAAAAACATTGATCACTCTATGGGGTTGTACAACGGTACACATTTGGTTATTACTAAACTCAGCAGCCATGTCCTTAAATACATAATTTTAACCAGTGTTAGAGCTGGTGATAATGTTCCTATTCCCAGGCTCACAACCATACCATATGATGTGAGGGTGTCGTTCAAGTTTCAGCGTGTACAGTTCCCAATCATGTTTTCTATGCCATAGTTTTTAAACCCGGCCCGTGATCGACCCGGGCAGGTCCTCGGGTCACCGGGTCACCGGTTCAACCGTCGGGTCACCGGGTTGCTGAACCGAATAATTAATTTAAAATTTTTTAAAATTATATTTAGAGTATTTTTGTTATATAAATATACATAAAAGTAACAAATTACATGTTTTGTGTATAAAATTTGTATATTAAAGTGTTAATAATATGTATTTCATGATAAATATTTACCATATAAACATATATACATATTTTTATTTTTAAAAGATAAAAAAAAATAAATGGACCGGGTCAACCCGATTGACCCGGCCGGGTGAATGCCCCGAGTCAGCCGGGTCTCTGCCGGGTCGGCCGGGTTTTGACCTGGTCCTTGATTGCCCGGTCTAAATACTCCACCCGGACCGATTCCGGCTCCGGGTCGACCGGGTCCCGGGTCGACCCACCGGGCCGGTCCGGATCTCAAAACACTGTTCTATGCTATGAAACAATGGAATATATATATTTTATTCATAAATCCGCGAAGCCTGAAATTCAAATTGCCAAGGCCAATACGGTAACTTTGTCGTCACGCGTCTAGCCCAGCCTGTCCACCACACCATCTCTCCTCCGAACCTCGCCGGAGATTCTCTCTATCCTCTCTCTAGATCTACCACAAGCGAATCCAATTAGAGAAGTCATCGAATATTGTTCGAAGAAAACCACACGTTGATTCGAAGCGCTTGCGGGCGGCCCCGTATCCAATTCCACCGGAAAATGGGGGATTTCAATTTAGCCCTAGTGATCGTCGCCATTATCGTCTGCGTGCTCGTCTTCATCTTCAACGTCTACCTCCTTGTCAACTACCAGCACCCGGACGATGCCAACCAGGCCTATTTCCCCAAATTCGTCGTCGTTTTGGGGCTCTCAATCGCCGCCATCTCCATCCTGATGCTCCCGGCGGACGTGGCCAACCGGCAGGCCTGCCGCCACGCGATTTACAACGGCGCTTGCAACCTGACGCTCCCCATGAAGGATTTGTGGCTGGCTATTTACATCGTGGATGCGATTCTGGTTTTCTTTGTCATCCCGTTCGCCATGTTCTATTACGAAGGAGACCAGGACAAGTTAGGGATTCTTAGTGACATTTTGTTTTTCTTGCTTAGCGTGATTCAATTGTGTTTGTGAAGGTTTTCTTCATTCTAAATCATCGCGGCTGTTCTTATGGGCATTTCAGGACTGTTTGGAAGAGAATGAAAGGCGCATTGATATGGGTGGTTGTGACGGCCGTTGTCTGTGCCCTTGTTCTTGGAATTTTATATGGTGAGGGCTGACTTCATAGCTATATTGTTGATTTTCTCGGGTTTGAATTCGTTTCAGGGCTTGTAATGTTATTTGCGAGCTTTGAGCTACCCAAGTCGTTCGGTTATAATTCAGTCGCTGTATATCTTCCGATATTAAGCTGTTTGTGCTATGCCACCTCAAGCCTGTTGCTCATATATTGTTATCATATATCATTCGAGTCTTACACAGTTGAATTCTTGTTGTTCCTACTATGATTGATATCTTTTTGGATTGTTACCTGGAAAACTAGCTGCAATAAGAAGTTGATCGAGTAACTTTAATTCTTTTGCTTTGGCTGCTTTTTGCATAACTCGTGGATGACTATTTCCTAGGGCTTGTCGGAAAGGTTGACTTCACGGTTAGGCATCTTTCCTCATCAACTGTGTCCTTCCCATCATCGTGGGACTTCTCTAGCTATCAACAATGTATTGGAAATGGAGCTAGGCAGGTAAGGAAGTATACTACTCGCCATGTAAGTTACAGTTCCTTTTGATTGCTGAATGTAGAACTAGAATATCATTCTATTATTTCATTTCAGTGCTCGGCATATACAGCCCATGCTTCATCTGAGACAACTTGGACCATGCAAACTACCTTCCCAGAATATGTTGTTGCACTTGCAACAATTGTTGGATCTGTGCTTTTCACTGTATGTACATCTTTCAAATATCTGACTGAAAAATTCATAATCACCATGATTGGAATATTGTGTATTCTCTTTTATGGTTGAATCTCTAATCTATTTATTAATCTCTAATCACCATGACTGAAAATTTTCACAGATTTTTGGTGGAGTTGGAATTGCTTGCCTTCCACTGGGACTCATATTTTCATTTGTCCGCCGCCCTAAAGCTGTTATTACACGTTCTCAGTATATTAAGGTACATTTGTTTAATAGTGGCTGCCAATCTTCCTTTTTTTTTTTTCCCTTTTGATGTTGTGGGGGCAACAGTGCAACTTAGTATTCCGACAGTGGGGAACTAAAAGCACCTTTTGTAAATGAGCCTTGGTTTTCGGCTTCATAGGAAGCAACTGAACTGGCAAAAAAGGCAAGAGAACTTAGAACAGCAGCTGATGCACTTCACAAGGAAGAAAGGAGTGGTAATAAGGGAAGGAAATGGCGTAAAAACGTGAAAAGCGTGGAGAAGGTTTGTTTCAAATTTTTTTTTTTCATCTTTTGATTTAATGAAATACGTGCTTTAATAGTCCTTATAATTTCCCTTATGGAAATTCACCAATTAGTGGCCTGGTTTGATTTTTTGCCTTTGCGGTCTCTAGGTTCTTTTTTAATATTGCTTTCATAAACTATAATAAATGGATAAATGAACAAAACCTTCCAGATTGTTGCATTATCTGTCTGATATACACACTAGTAATTGAAACATGCCTATTATTCAATTACAGGAGCTTCTACTTTTGGAAGAAGACGTGAAAGCTTTGGAAGAAATGTATCCTCAAGGAGAAAAGGTGATATAGGATAAAGAATGAATGACAATCCTAATTTGTATTATCAGTTTTGGGGACTAATTTTGACTCCTCCTCCTTCAAAGCTCCATAAATGAACCAATGATGATGTTGGACATGTATGCAGGCTGAAGCAACGTGGGCTATGACAATTCTTGGCTATCTGGCCAAACTGGTGCTTGGAGTTGTCGGGTATGTTAATGTTGTGCATTTTTCTTTTTTCTTTTTGGTTGCATTCTTGAAACTTCAGTTTTAGTTTGCTGAACCATTGGTATTTCTAGAATGATGAACAAAGGTTGAAATATTTGCCCCTATGTTTTCCTGCTTCTATTATAACATGCACCTATTACAACATACACTAGGCCGGTACGTTATTTTATGTGGTCATTGTTTTCCTAAAATAGTTGTTCACAGTCACTTGCTGATATCTAAAAGATGATTTGTTCTCTTTTGACTTGTTTTCTAGAGGAACTTGTTTATTGAATACTATTGTTACTGAGTAAGATCCATTTCTGTATACAGGTTGATTGTTTCAGTGGCTTGGGTTGCACATATCGTGATATACTTGCTTATCGACCCTCCTCTTTCTCCTTTTCTTAATGAGATTTTCATCAAATTGGATGACGTTTGGGGTAACAATGATGTTTCTATTTCTTATGTCTATCTTTACCTTCTTTCATAAGAGGAACGTATTTTAAGAGCTACTTGTTTCTTCTTCTTCAAGGTCTTCTGGGCACTGCAGCATTTGCATTCTTCTGCTTCTATCTGCTGCTTGCTGTCATAGCTGGGGCTATGATGCTTGGCCTGAAATTGGTTTTTATTACCATCCATCCTATGAAGTATGTATATCTTTTACACTCTTTTCTTTTCCTGCTTTTGGTTCTCTTTCTCGTGCTGTAGTTTCGGGTATTTAAGGTTGTTGCCTGACATATGAACATATTTTTCTAGGTGGGGAGCTACACTTATGAACTCTTTTCTTTTCAATGTTGGCCTCATTCTTCTTTGCTCAATCAGGTAACTGGTATATTGTTTGGTGCTTCAGTATATATGCTTATCTTGAGTGATTATTGGCTTTGATGAAAAATGGGTGACTAAGCTAGACACTATTTCCGAAAGATAGTTCATTATGTTGATGGGCTTATGTTGATTCTGTTGAGAACTTTGAAATACCATTTTGGTGATTTCATATAATGTGATTTATTTATGTGAAATATTCCCTCTTTTATACAAATAATCAAATATACAAAATTTATCGAGTTAGAAAATTGCAGTCTAGAATATCATGTTGGTTAAGCAAGTGATCTGAATTTTACCAACACTTGCGCCACTGGTTTTCACCCATTTATAAAGCTCTATCAATGCAAGTCCATTTCCATAACTCACACCTTGTTTTCATATAGAAGGTATAATTTATGATCCTGGTGTACTGTATAAGTAATATTTTGGTTGAACTCTGCAGTGTGATTCAGTTCTGCGCCACAGCATTTGCATATTATTCCCAAGCTACTGCAGCTCAAGAAATCTTCGGTCACACGTTACAGTCTCTTCGTGGCATTAAATATTTGTACAAGTCAGTTATCATTTCCTTATAGTAATTCATTAATTCTGGTATCAGAATTTTTGGTGCTAAAAATTTATTTGATGTTCCAGGTACAACGTATTTCAGATTGGGTTCATAATTTTAGCAGGGCTTACTTTTGTATATTATGCAGCTTTTGTAAGTTTTGTCACTTCAAAGAAACTCTCTCCCCTTTGTTTTATCCCATTTTTTTTATGGGTTTTATTCATACATGGTAATCTTTTCCAGGGATGGAGAAGAAAAAAACCTAGCGGCAGGTTCCAGCTATCCTCGTAAAAAGCTTGCTGCTCGGGATTTAACTGAATTTGTATGAGCTGGATTTCTTGATTTTTATCGACTACAAAAGTGGTGTTATATTCTCGTGCGGTTTTTGTTTAATTTGTTGCGTGAAGAAGAATACTAACATCATTAAAGGTACTCGGTGAAAGTTGAATTTGATCTGTGCTGTGCTCTCCTGGTTTTGCTGCTTTGGTTGTTTTCTGATCTGTGTATGTATATTGTTGTTGTATTTTTATTTTTATTTTTTTTCTTTAATTGTTTTTTTACTACAGTGTTTGTATTATCGATACTTTGAGGTCGAAGTGAGAAATTTGGGGGATGATTTCGATGTAATCAGGCAACATTCAAGTTTCCTTTTTTTTTCCTGTAATATATTTGAGATATCTTCTTATGATGAACTCTGAAATCTGAAAAACTCACTGGAAATTTCCATTTAGCTTCATATTCGAACTTTGAATTTTGCTCGATATATTATTAGTTCCAAATAAGTGCAATTGAGCCATACTTAGGTTTGAATTTGTGTTTTTTGGGATATTGATTTATGCTATTACACAAAATGCGAGAAAAATGTGCATCATTTTCTGCATTTATATGAGTTTTGGCCACAATTGCTTGAATGAGTTTATAACTACGTTGCTCCCTTTTTTTTTTTCTAAACTTTTCTTATGCATTCCATGCAAGGATAGAAGATATACATTCAGATTGAGTCCATGTTTTGGGGGCGTGATACTCGTCTATTTCAACTGAAAATGACACAGATATTAAATGGTAGTCATCATTTAGTAAAACTAAATTCAATTTTATTTGTTAACTTATTTATTTATGTTTTGTCTGTTATACACGAGAGTAGCTTTTTCCCACACAATCACGACACTGGCAAAAGACTGGATTAGTATACCTCAAATTTGAATTTGATGTATTTTATTGTTTGTTACTTTGTTTTGACCATCATTAAAGTTGCAAAGTTCTTTAGTAATGTTGTCTGTACGGAAAAACGAATTTGACCACTTTCAACAGCATTCATCTCGGCGCGAAAATTAACACCTCTCAACATCAGCAAAGGAAATATATTCAANAAAAAAAAAAAAAAAGAACATAACTGGGATATTTACAGTATATGCTAAAATTATCACAACAGCGGAAGATTTTTACATCAAAGTGATTGCGAAAAAATATTAGCGTGAGGCTCTGTATTGTCTTGCGAAGCTTCGGGGAAATTACATGTCTTTTGGTTTTTAAGATTAATATCTTCTCCATTCACGTCATCACGTGTACTGATGGCATTAGAATCCAAACATACGTTATATATGATCAGTAGCTATATATATTTTATTCTATCAAATTCTCCTCTCGTGTAACATTGAGGTAATTCTCCCATATTTTTTGTTTTCAATATTTCTTATTGATGCGCTTTACTTACACCTCGATAAGAATTTTTTCGCTGGCTATGTATATCATTCATATAAGTTCTTCTCCGAGCAATTGAATCAAGATAGTGATTGCTAATTATATATAAATATTAATATTTTTTCAGAAAAAATATGATGTGATGATACATATACGAGAGAAAATGAAATGTGAGGTTGAGATGAACACCAAATCTTTAATAGAGACAACCTCATATCTGCAAATTTAACAAACTTGTTCTTTTTTGCCGAATAATTGGAACATGACGACTGTTTTTTTCGGTTGAGGAAGAAATAGGAAGGTTCGTAGAACCAGCGTTATTTTGGCGCGCACCTCTTCAATTATAACAAGGGGCTTGTGGTTTTTTTCTGTCGTGATATGAGCATGTTGTTATAACACATACGGACCTTGTAATTCACAATTATACTATGGTATTTAATAATTTTTGTTTTATTCCACCAAATTTTCATCTGATATTAATTTTATATGACAACCACAAAAAGAGAGTGTGTATATTAATTTTATATGACAACCACAAAGTCGAGTTCAACTCGTTATCATCGTTATCTTAATTACTTTAGAACCCTAATAAACAATTTTGTTGGTCGTGTGAGGTAACTATAAATCTAAGACAAAATTAACCATCTTCTTTCTCAACCAAAAACCTATCAGCTACACGTGTCCGTCACACAACATTATTTGTAACACGACTGAAACCCGCACTGACACGTGTCCCCATTTTGCCACCTCACCCTCCGAACCCCGGAAATTTCCCGGAAAAATCCACTTACAATTTCAATCATTCATCACACTACATGGGAGCTCATATACACATATATATAGATATACCATACACAAATTCAATAACTCACATCACCTAAAGGGTTAATTATTTTCCTACCTTCACTGCATGCACATATTGTAACTTGTAAGAACCCAAATAAAAGAAAAAAATAAAGAAGAAAATAAAAAATGGCTGGAAAACAAGAAATTGTGCGGTCAACTCAAGAAGCATGGCTTCTAGAAAACGGTCACATAAAGCCTCTGAGCAAGGAGATGCGGCGGCCGAGCGGCCGCACGGCCCACAACATGTCGTCATCATCTCTCCGGAAGAAATCGGATCTTGCTCTGGTTTCAAAAATCCGGGTCGGGTTTTTAAGGATGTTTTTTGCAAACCTTCAGGAGGTGTTGCTCGGGACCAAGCTCGCGCTTTTGTTCCTTGCTATACCCGCCGCCATTGTTGCTCAATATTGCAGTTTTGGTAGAGTGAGTGCTTTTTTCTTTTTTCTTTTTTTTTTTTTNTTTCGTCATTTTTTATTTTATTTTACATTAAAAACAACAATTTCATCAGTTTGTTAGGATTTAATTAAGTTTCATGTGCCTTGAGTTATATACATATGTGTATATATTAATGATATGAAATATCACGTTTTATTATTTATGTTGTTTTTAGAGTATTGACGTTTGAGTTTGAAGGTATCGTATATTTGCCTAAATTCTTAATAAAAATGTGTATATTTAGGTTGTGTAATGTCACACTTCTTCTTTATTTATGTCGCTTTTTTAGAGTAGTTTGAAAGTAGCCGAATAATTGCCTAAGTTTTTAATAAAAACGAATATTTATGCTACATGAAGTATCACACTTTACCTATATCGTTTTTTAGAGCATGCTACGTATTTTAGTTTGAAATTATCTTATGATTGCCAAATTATTTATGCTTGTCACGCTTGTTGTTTATGTCATTTTTTAAGAGTGATGACATTAATTTGTAAGTATTCGTGTAATTGTCTAACAACAGTCTTATTTATCTGTTTATACATATATATATATATATGAAAATTGAAAATTAATCAAACTTTAAAAGTTGTGAAATTATTATATAAGAACTTTGTTTTAATATGTTATCCTCATTTGTAATTTGTTGACAAAATGATAATATATATGAATTAATTCAAGCATCTCTTTGATTGATTATGAACAGCCATGGGTGTTCGGTTTGAGCTTAGTTGGGCTAACTCCGCTTGCTGAACGCATCAGTTTCTTGACAGAGTAAGAGCAATTTGAGATTTTATATATATATATATATATATTATATATATATATATATATATTTAATTCTATATCCTTTTATCTTCTTCTTTTTAATTAAAATACATAGTTTAGTAGGAGCTAACAGCTTAGCCTCTGCAACTTCTTATGCAAATGCAGGCAAATTGCGTTCTACACAGGGCCAACAGGTGATTAATTACACAATCTATTCATATCAATCTTATTTTTATTCAATTTTCCACATACTACAGTAACATAATGTGACATAATANAGCCATACTTGCACTTGTTGAGCACAAAGTTGATGTTGTGAAATACTCTCTTTTGGGCTCTATACTCTCAAACCTCCTCTTAGTACTTGGCACTTCCCTTTTATGCGGCGGCATTGCAAACATCTCGCACGAACAAAAATTCGACCGAGTCAGTATTTTATTCGTCCAACAAAAAATAAAAAAAATGAAGTTTGTCGATCTAATTACTAATCCAAATTATACATGTTGATGTTTTATTTTATTTTATTTCATTTTATTTGTTTCGTTCAGAAACAAGCGGACGTCAACTCTTTGCTGTTGATGGTCGGGCTATTGTGCCACGTGTTGCCATTGATGTTTAGATTTGCCGGGAAATCGGCCGATCTAATGGCTGTCGGGACTCTCCAGCTGTCGAGAGCCAGCTGTATTGTGATGCTCGTTGCTTACGTGGCGTACTTGGTGTTCCAACTGTGGACACATCGGCAGTTGTTCGAGGCTCAAGAGGTACTGTTAAGCGTTGTCCCAAAAAGTGACATTTTTTTTTTTGTCGAGATACAATAATTTGACAAATTAATCAAATATGATAGCATTAGTTAAATTGTTGTATCTCTTTGGGGTGATTAATGTATCATATTTGATTAATTTGTCCAGCATCTCTTTTGATATGATCCAAATAAATGTCTTTAATTTGGACATGTCTAACTTGGTGTATCTTTTTTTATATTTAGTTTGTTATATATGATGTGCAAATTAATTACACAAATAGAAAAAAGAAAAAATCGACAAAAAATCATTAATTACGTGGAAATAATTAGGGTGACGAGGATGGTGACGTGTTACCGGATGACGATGAGTTGCCGGTGATCGGATTTTGGGGTGCGTTTATATGGTTGGTTTTGATGACCGGTGTTGTTGCTTTGCTGTCGGAATATGTGGTTGCTACAATTGAAGTAAGTTAAAATTTTGACAAAAAAAATATATAGATATTGATACAATCCTAAAAATATTGTTTTTAATTAATTATAAAAGTAACTAAATGATTTTTATTTTTTTGTAATTATACAATATGTAGGCTGCATCAGATAGTTGGGGCTTGTCTGTGAGCTTCATCAGTGTAATTCTACTGCCAATTGTTGGGAATGCAGCTGAACATGCTGGAGCTGTCATTTTTGCATTCAAGAATAAATTGGTAATAAGCTATTGAATTAAATATATATTTTTTGGTTTATGTGAAATTTTTATTATTAATTATTATATGTATTTTTGTGAAAATGCAGGATATATCTTTGGGCGTTGCTCTAGGTTCAGCTACTCAGATTGCCATGTTTGTGGTAAGCTAATGTGACAATTTATTATTTTACATGACTACAATTATTCCATAATTAATTGATTAATTTATTAACCATATTCAATTCCTAATTTTGATTTTTTTAATAATCAGGTGCCATTAAGCGTAATAGTATCGTGGATCATTGGCATCGACATGGGTCTCGATTTTAATCTCCTTGAAACGAGCTCTCTTGCCTTGTCGATAATTATGACTGCCTTTACATTACAGGTAATTGAATGAGATTTAATCTACTTTATAGGATTGACTTATCAAATCGTCTATTTTCTTAATATCTATCCTTTTTTAAAAACAAATATTATTGTTTACATTTCATTCTTAGTAATTAGTATATTGAATAGTCATTAATGAATTCACGGATTTATTTTATTATTATTACTTTTTTATTTCAGGATGGGGAATCTCATTACTTGAAGGGTCTGATACTTCTTCTAAGCTATGTTATCATTGGGGCTTGCTTTTTCGTGTTTAGGACACCACTTAGTAAGTTCTAATTAATTATATGAAAGTTGTAAATAAATATGCCAACATAAATAAAATTTATGACATTTATATTTTGAAGCTTATTATTTCGTATGTTTCTCAATTTGTATGCAGATCATGTGGACTCCACGAAACGAGGATTTAATGCTGAACGAATAATGAGAGTTTAATTAAATGGTAAATATTTTATATCTTCTACAATTGCAGTTTAAATATTTCATCAAAAGGAAAAGTAAATTAACTAATGATTCTAATTTGACACTAATTAATTTGATGTGTCTGTGTGTTTTTGCAGTTTGAGATGTATCAAATGGAGATGAGCGCTGCAAAGTTGTAGTCAGTGGGATCCAATAAAAACTTGAAAATTGAGTTTGGAAAATGTTCAAGAGCAATCCTGCTTTATTTTTTATTTCTACTTATTTTCACATTTTCATTTTATGATTACTTCATTTGCCTTTGTTCTAGTTGTTCTTGCGAATTCCGTTTTATTTCTTCTTTTTTTTTTTTCAATGAGATGAGTTGTATTGTGCCAAAAAGAGATTAATAAGCGGTAGAGATGAATACATGGCCGTTTTATGTGTACACTATGCCCTTTAAAATAAAATTATATATAAAATATTCATAAACAAGTTACAATAAAAAGAATATAATATAAATACTAATAATAAAAAACTATAAATGTTTATAATTAACATAGAACTTTAAAAATGTAAATGTAACAAAAATGTGGGTGAGCCAACCGCAATTTTATGTTGTTTTGCTCAATCGGCCAAATATTTGGGCCTACTTTAGTAAGGAACTTATGGGTCAAGGACAAGGACCCCTAGATGACTGAACAAAATGGCCCGACCTTTGGCCTTGCTTCATATAGGCCAATAAGAAAAAGACAACATTATAAATAAAAGTATACATAAATATTTATAAACAAGTTACAAATCAAAAAATTATGCAATTTAGGACCCATATACAAATATGAACCACAGGCTGATAATTCATAAACTATAAAAATTATTATGTCTGTAATTAAAAGAAAAAGTTCCATATATCTAAAAATAAAAATGTAAGTGAATGGTGTATTTTTCTCTTATTCTTTTATTTAATAATTTCTGTATTGCACAGGCTTAGCCAGTCTCTTATAACATTGGCATAATTTAATGGAGGCTAATTAACCATTGGTGCATGGACGAGGAAAAAACCGTTGTTTGAAGATGGCTTCTCTGTCGCCCCAAACTTGCGTAAAAACTAAAAAACCAATCACTGCTCTCCCTCTCCCCTTTTGTCCTGCCTCATTGTCCTCAGATTTANAAATTGGACCATTTTCGAGATTCGCTGATGAAATGGTAACTTTTGGTTGTTGTTTCTCTCCTTTTCTGTTTTCTTCTTTCTTTCGGGTTTTTATTGGACTTATTTAGACCTAAATTTTTTTGGCCCATTTAGGGTTGTGACTATATACAGGTTGAAGATTCAACCTTAATCCCCCACCCCCGCTGAGTGTGTTATTTTTTTTTAAAAAAAAAAACATTGGTGCATGGACATAAAAATTACCACAAATAATGTTATAGACGATAATTAGGTATTTTATATGACTTAAGATATTTTTTGACAAATTATAATTGAACTATATTCCTTAAGTAGCCTTGGATATTTAGCTCAACTCGGCTCGAGTCCTACTAGTTAATATTAGTAAATAAATCAAACTTGTCTTCATTTATCAACTCGTTTGGTCATCGAACTAAGCTCGGTTGGTTGAAGACTCAATCTCAAGCCTCAGTTCAAATATCAAAACTTCAGAAGCACTTGACTCGACTTGGCTCATTTATGTAAAAACAAGTACCACTAGCTTCAAACTATACATCTATACTTGTAGACTATTCAATTAATACGATTTTTCCACCTATTTTATTTCATTTAATCCAATAAATTAGTATAATATTATTATTTTAATTATTCGACCATATAGTATACTATTTATATTAATCAATTACAATTCACACTAAAATATTTATGAAAGTTACACACTTATAAAAGATTTTTATAGCATTTTTTTTCTTCAAGATATTTATTTTAAAACTAATATTACCCTTTTGTTTTTTATCACATTAATTGATTTTTTTAAAATAGGTAATTAAGTTTAATGACCTAGAAAAACTGTTAAAATCGCAAAAATAATTGCTATAATAATGTAATTTAATATTTTTTAAATTAATTAATCTATCCCGCGTTTAAATTTATAAAAATTATATTATTCATTACATTTTATAAAATTTATATATAATTACAATAATAATTATATTGTCATTTCTTATGATGATCATATCTTTAAAATAACTTATAATATAACTTATAATTTCAAATATTATATTCATATAATTTATAATATTTTATTTATATATGTGCTAATATTGAATAAATTGATTCATGTAAAACTTGATGAATTATTTAATTCAAACCAGAAACAATTACAAAAGTATAATATAATTTCGTAAAAAATAATAACTCCATACTATAGGAAAATTACGATGATAATATACAGTGAGAAAAGTCTAAAAAGCAGCCTAATGAACTCAATTTAAACAAAAAAAAATAGAATAAACCCCAAAAGCCCAAAACCTTTTTATTCCCAAAACTCTCTCAGAGATAGAGCGCAGCGACCGAGAGATGCTCCAAAAATGGCTGACAATTGAGCTAGATTAGTCCGACGGCAAATTACAGGCCCCGACGCCGATAACTTCTCCGAACCCGACCAGTGCCACGGCGCCATCAACAAACGGAGGAGGCGGAGCTTCGCGTGTGTATCGCTGTCAGAGCATAGACAACGTCCACGCAGCTCTTTAATCATCCTCTGGCCACGGTCGCGTTGGTTCCTAAGGACGCCGCTCTCTTCACTGGTGGCGCAATCGCCGGATCCGCCGCGAAGACGGTTATCGCACCTCTGGACCGCGTCAAGATCCTTATGCAGGTTATCTCTCTCATTTTCTCTGTCTCGCGTCGTTCTGTTAGGTTTAGTTATGTGCTCTGTATTTAATATTTCCGTGTCTGTTATCACTTGTCAGTAGGTGAATATTTTATTTGGCAAATTAAATTACTAGGAAAGATTTACTGTGTTTGATTCTTTGTGAATGGTTATGAAGCTTCTATCTACTGCATTTCTCGGCGAATGGAATTTTGTGTATTTAGGTTTAAAAAGTAATTTACTCTTAGTTTCCTCGAGGCACAATGTATGATTTCGTGCTAATGCAAGCCAGATGTGAATGTGTTTATGCATATTCCTTTCTGTTTGTTTTGCAGATTGTATGCCATGTCTTGATTATAATGAGGTTTTTGATGGATGCTGATAAATAATGAGGCCAGAGCATGTGTCTACTCTGAAATTTCGTGCAGCGTGCAATTTTTTGTTTCTAAATAGAATATTTGTTCCTAATAAAATATGATAGAAAGAATTTAGTATTTGGTGTGCTTACTTGTAATAAGATATGCTGTTGTCGTTGTTTTGCTTATTTCTGCTTCTTTTACTTTATTCAGACTCATGGACTATGAGTTGGTCAAAATGCAGCCAAGAAGGGATTGGGATTTATTGAGGTATGAACGGACTTAACCAGCTTATTGTACTGTTTGGTTAATGAGGTTCCGAAATTTGATTTTGTTTAAAAGGAAACTTTAACACATAAGTGCACAACTATTTTTGTCACTCTAAAATTGTTGATATCGAATAAAACACAAGTTATACAAGAGACATAAGGCATTACTCTACTTGTATGGGAAAATATTACTTGTTCCTGTAGAATGAAAGTGCTATTTTCTTTTCAAGAGCCCAAGTCCTGAATTCAACTTCATATGTGCGCAGTCAGCAATTTGTTTCAGTGTGAAATGGTTTGCTGATAGCTCTTTTGTTCGACTAATCTGTGTTCTACAGAATTGCTATATCATGATAACTTTTTTAAAGTGATATTTTACCATATGCGATGATTTTCTGAATGTGAAATTCAGGCCTTGACGTTGATTGGGAAGGAAGAAGGAATAAAAGGGTACTCGAAAGAGAACTTACCCCAAGTTTGGTACATTCTTTTTCTTTCTGGATTTTCAAAAACCACCTATGTGTAATGACTAATGATATTGTCTATTCTATAAGATATGCTATAATTAGTTTCTAAACTTCAACGACACCAGGTTCTGATTCTTTTTTCTTAATGATCACGGTCATACGAGTCATACTTTATAGTGCAGTACAATTGTTTGCTTATACCTACAAGGTACTTTGAAATTGTTTTCTAGGCATGGCATCAGTAATGATGTATTATTTGTATTTAAATTTTATTTTTCCATTTTAGAAACTTTTTCGAGGAAATGACGGGGAACTCTGTGTAATTGCAAGATTAGCAGCAAGTGCATGTTCTGGCATGACTTCAACTTTTGTAAGTTCTTAGACAACAAATATATTGCTTCAGATATATTGTAGTTTATAGCACCTCATGTCATGGGGGCATTAATCTTATTTGCGGATTAAAGAGAACTTGCAAGAGAGCTTATCAAGATAAAATGCAATAGGAAAAGATTAAACATTCTTATTAAATGTGTGATACACTTCCAAATGTTTTTATTTTTATTTCTCTATTATTATTTATTTAATTTTTAATATCTATATGTATGTTTGTTCAGGTGACATTAATATTTTTAATTTTATCGAAAATCCGCCAGCACCAGCATAAGCTTATGCTGGGGGACAACACACTCCCTAGGTATCACCTTACAATCTACGCAAGCGCTCCTATCCTCCCTCCTTGCAAGGATAAAGTCGATCTGACTTGCTATCGTCCACTATGGATGGTCACCAGGTGAGATTTCCTTTTAAACAAAATCAAAATTTGGAACCTCATTAACCAAACAGTACAATAAGCTGGTTAAGTCCGTTCATACCTCAATAAATCCCAAGGGCTGCATTTTAACATAGTCCATGAGTCTGAATAAAGTAAAAGAAGCATAAATAAGCAAAACAATGACAACAACATATCTTATTGCAAGTAAGCACACCAAATACCAAATTCTTTCTATCATATTTTATTAGGAACAAATGTTATATTTAGAAACATAAAATTGCACGCTGCACATACGGAGTACCCTTCATTTGCGTTTGCCGCCTGACTGTATCAAGTGGGTAGCACATTAGTGTGGCCACAGTAGCCGATACAAGTGTTGTTCCCAAGGTTGCTTCTGTCCTATTTTGATACTTTTTTGGGTTAGATTTATTCACTCTGGCATTTAGAATATGTCAAGTTCAGTCCAGATAATTTGAACTCTTTTGTGAACAACACTATGTAAGCAAGAAGTGCAAAACAAGTAAGCTCACAAGTAAAAGATGCAAAAGTTGACAAAAATATATGGAGCAATTCCAATAAGAGAAAGACCTAGACCATTGTAACCATCCTCTTTCAACAGCTTACAACAACCTGCATAAACATGTAGTAATTTGAGATCACATGTCGAGCCCCATCTCACGATATACCATGATATATTAACTAGTTACATGTGTCATTGTTCTATATCCAGGTTCAACAGCCAACCTCAAGCGGAGGACATCTAGTGGGTATGTCACCTGAACAAATACACATATTGATATTAAAAAATAAATAAATGACACATGTGATCTTGGCTGTGATATGAGGGTGTGAAGTTATTATGGAATTATTATTGACCAGAAACTCATTAAACTTATGCAATATTCGAGTTAAACAGTATATATTATCCTTCTTCACAGATTCATTTATTCAAGAGCGAAATCAAGCGGTGGTGTTTCCTGTCCTAAAATCTCAATTGTTTGTGTGTTTTTAGCAAATGACTCGTGAAAAGATATGCATTTAGATACATATTTATTTTCGTCTCGTTTTAATCTTCTTTCGCAGCATAAGACTCACCTCTTTTGGTGTCGTAAAGCGTTCGATTGTTGATGGGGAGGAAGAATTCCAAAAAATTACAGAGCAGAACCGAAAGCAACTAGATCAAAGTGTTAGCAAGTAACAGAGATAATAAGCAATAGGTTAGTTTAGTAGTTGATGATGAATTCATGCATACATTCCATCAATTGATTTTGTAGCCTGTAAGAAACAACATTTTAAATCAGAGTAGAAATTACAAAAAACAAAAACAATAAAATAAATGATTTTTTTTCTTGAGATGTTAGGAGATAGTTTCTTAACATGTTAGGGTATCATGTCAAAAATACACAATTTCGTTGCAATTTTTACGTAAGACACTTTTTGGTGTTGTATCTGAAATAACTTGGATTGTTTCTACCCTGCCATTCTTTGAAAAAGTTTTTTCCATAGTGGAAAACACCAAAATAAGCAACTTCTTTTCATTAAACCCAGACAGGCCCATTGAGCCACTTTGCTAATAAATAAGTACTCTCTCCATTTTGAAATATAAGGCGTATTAAGATTTCTCATTTTTTTTGAAATATAAGGCGCGCTCAAAAATCAAGACAAATTTTTGCATTTTTTTCCAAATATACCCTCATTGTGTTGAAATTAAGGAAGTGTGGAGTGGTTGTGATTAGAGTAAATAAGGTTAATTTAGTTAATTTATTCACTAATTAATGTCTCTTCAATATTTGTGTAATAACCTTAAATGCCTTATATTTCAAAATGAAGGAAGTAATATATACTTTAGAATACAGGAATACATATATGATACATAAATAAATATGAAAAGATTATTCATAGATGAAAGCAGTAATTTCATAAATAGTTAAATATATCAATAACAAATCAAGCATTAAATATTCTTGAATAGCATTTGGATCTATAAGAAACCTATTAAACAACATATTATTATTCACTAGTTCAATAACAATTATAGTTTCTTTATGTGTTTTATACATTAATTATGGTAGCTTGCTAATAGCTGAATTCAACAAATTCCAGCCCAAATGCTATAATTTTATGTCTTATTCGTGTGGGTCAATCATCAGTGATTAGTTCATTATTAATTTTGCGTCGCAATTTGCTTACCTCAAGAAAGTGGTTGCTAGTAGTCTACGGACATAAACCGAATCCTCCCGACATCTCTTATGGGAAGAAATAAAAGTTAGAACGTCATTGTCATGTATGGTCAGCTGTGTGTGCATTTAATGACAATTTAACTATTAATATCTTGTTTTGTTATTGTTGGTAATGTTTGAACATTCATTGTAGATTGATTGCCACACTAGGGCATCTTTAACAAGAGCTTGTGAAGTGATCTAATATTGAAGTCCAAAAAGAAAAAGAGAGGATAAAAAAATAAAAATAAAAATAAAACCGTATAGAGCAAAGATTCTCAAGGAAAAAGAGTGATTTGAGTGGGTTGATTTCAAATATCATGCTTTTTTATTGTTAAATGAACTCACTCATATTTAATATATTTTTGTGTGTACGTGCGATCTAACATAACAAAATTTAGTGCGTATGCTACATGTTCCTTTAAGTAAAATTAATCGGATCTACGGATTTAAGTATTGTGGAACAAAATAATTATATATTATATATATATATGTATATATATTTCGAATCAATACTTAGAAAGCTTATTTGTAAGTGGTTGCAAATGCTCCTAAATAAAAGAAGTTGATCATCGTTTAGTACGAAAATGTGCATTTTTCAACGTAGGGAGGTCCATAAAGCAATTTGTTTTAATTTTCCTAACTCAAACTTTATCCAAATTTCAAACAATCAAATGTTAGATAGGACAAAATTATTGAGCCGCTGATTTGTAGACGTGGGTCAAAACTTGAAATCGTAAAATCAACTTAGGCACATTGGATAATACGTAAGTAGTAATACTTGATTGGACAAGATCTTATCCTATCAAACCCTATCGTAATCACCATCTGATTTTCATTAACTTGATAATTGATCCAATATATTTGAGTGCAAAAAGATCATTAAACTCTTGGACATGAGTGAATCTGGTCAGATCAATTATAATATTCAAGCCACACTAGTAAGTATCAGTTTAAACTACTACTTAGAATAAGAAACACATATACCAAGCAAAATCTGAGCTTTATCACCATATTTAGATAGTCATTGATTGAAAAAATTTGAAAATGTCCACATTAGCTGTGTATCGAACCAAAAGTTTGGAGCTTTACCCATACCAATAGGGTGAAATTAGATGTTTAAACGAGTTGAACAGAGCCCAAACTTCCCAAAATGTTTCGAGCCAATTTCGTCTTGTTAACTAAATAAACTATATTGAGTTCGAGCTCAAATTAAGTTGAATTCTAAAGTTACTGTTTTCGTTAACAATTTTAGGTGAAATCCACCTTTACATAATGGAGAAATTAGTGGAATTACATTTCTCGATGTAATTTGAAAAATAAAATAAAAATAAAATAAAATTAATGAATATCTTATTTTTATTTGAAAAAAAAAAAAGAATATCTTATTTTTAGGTAAAGTCATGATCAATATTCCCACTTAGGTCTTGTTTGGCGGAAAGGTGAATTTGTAAAGGAAAAGGAGTATTCGTTTACTTGGTACTAGTACGAATCCCGTGCGATGCACGGGTAAGAGATATTCATTAGTATTTATAAATTAAAAATAATTATTAGATGATATTTATAAATTAAAAATATTGAATCAATATGTAATACATTTACCTATATTAATTTATTGAAAATGTTATATGAAGTTATATCGTGCAAAATTACATAAAACATGTCAATTTAATTAGTATACAACTTGTATGGTGCACGTAACTGATAATAAATTACATTATATTTATTTCAAAATAAGTGTCATTTTAAAATATTTATTCAGAAATTCGATTGGACTACAATGTGATTCCATAAAATAATTCTTTCCGTAAAATTTTATCATATATTTAAAAATCTATGTGAATAGTACAATTATAAAACTTATAGTGTTCATTAATTAAAATGAATTTAATTTTGTATAAACTATCGAAATAAAAAAATTTAAGTTGTTGAGTAATTTATTATACTATAATTAATTGACTACTTCATTTATGCCTAAGTTAATATTGACACGTAAGTTATGAATAATTATTTATTTGACTTTTAAATTTGAAACCCAAATTTGAACTATACGATAAATTTTCTTATATATATATATATATATATATTACCTTATATATAAATTCCCTTGTATACATATTATCTCACAATTTTTTAGAGTTGTTGTCGCTTAATTTTTAAATTTTATTAACCAATGTTTGTTCAAAGATGTTTATGATTTTCAAGAGGAATACATATTATTTTCTCAAATTATCATTAATATTTTATGGCAAGTTATTATAGAAATATACTAAAATTTGAGAATAAAATTCGACTTTCATACCCATAAAATTTAATACCTCATAATAACAAAAATATCATTTTTTAATATCTTTTTGTTCGAAAAGATACATTTATCCTTCAAAAAAGTTGGATTGCGTAGAGCTTTCATGATGTTTTGCTTGATGAGTCCTCATGATTTCTTATCAATATAGAATATCTATTTGTTCTTTATGTTTTGCTTGATTTTTTGATGAGTGGGGATACAATAACAACTCAGAGTGTGTATGTTATTTTTATAGGCAAATTGAGTGTTAATTTAATTGGTGAAAAAAAATATCTCGATATTAGATGATTGGAGCTTTAGAATGATATTATCTAAATATTTGAAATGATATTCGCGTACATTATTAAAATTTGGAATGATTTGATATTATCCATCAAATTAAACAAAAATTATAATTGGTAA